GAAATGAGAAGCTGGTGCGTGCAAATAAATATCAGCGTGGAAGACTGTGCCGCGCTAGTCGGTTTCCTCTGCCTTTTCACGATATTAACGTTTGATATATTAACACGATGCGGCGGCGGCGGTGTTCATAGCAGGGCCAGAGAGAGAGAAAGACTTAAAATTATAGCGTCATACATTTTATGCCCCTACACACCGCAAACAAAACTGCTCTTGGGTGTACACACATTATCCATGCATGGCCCCACGGCTCCTTTATTTTATCTCTCGCCTGCGCCCATTCACATATTATTCCCGCTCGCCGCCCTTATAATATAAAACTGCAGCGAGCTGTTTTGCGCGTGGTGTGTGAAAGCAAAGACCACACCGATAAACATAAATATCAGCGCGGGCCCGGCGTTGGATTAAATTCCATCAGAAAAGGCGCCGTCGGCAGGCCAAAGATATCCGCTTTTGTTTTAATATGCGTCCTTGGGTGCGCGAAATTAGTCCACGTGAATTCCTATATAAATAACTGGGAGGAGCGAAATCAAATTTAGGCTCTAATAGGTGGAAAAAATTGGCCCTCTGGGATTTTCATGAAAATCAAACAAAATTTTGGACAAATATGGCATATGTTTGTCTGCAAAATTTATAATTTGAAGAAAGAAATGCTTAATTTTTAATTTTTTTAAGTGTGAAATTCTATTGATGTTAAAATTTATTGAAAAAAATCGACAAATGAAATAACTGTTTAGAGCAAACTATAAAATGGTGCTTTACTAAATTAAAGCACGCAATTTTATTCCACAACCCTTCGACCGATTTGTACTGAGTTTTGTTATAAAATGGGTAAAACAAGTATAAATAAGAAAAATAATCCTGCCAAATTCGCCCGCCAGCTTTTATCGTGCAGCACGCAGGTTAAATGAGCAAAACAAGATCAAATTGTCAGACTTTTCTCTAAATAATATAAGCAAGCCGGCCGAGTATTAAAATTTTATTGAGCTCTGAAAGCAGAATAAGAGGCAGTGAAATTGCACGAGGGCTTAAAATTTGTCCGAAAACAAAAGAAGAGAGAACACGCCGAAAATTATATAATAATAAAAAGAGCACTTTCCAATAGAAGCCCCTATAAAATTGGAAGTGAATGGTTTAGAAAGAAAATTTTGAAAGTAAAATGAATTATATAAAAAATTAACATATTTTTTTTTTATATATACCGTTCGTTTGCAAGTTTTGATTTATTAATTTATTATTAATTATTATTGCTATTTTTGTTTTTGAAGAGAGCCTTTAAATTAAATTTACTGCTTGTAGTAGATTGTAAAATCTATAATTTTTTTGGCAATTTTTTAATGAAATCAAAATTATATCGATCCAGTTTTTAATTGTGTTTATATTGATTAAAAAAACCGATATTATTTAAAAAAAAATATTAATTGAAAATTAAATTGATCTTTATAAAGAAAAACTAAACATTTTATCTGCAAATCAAAAGATAGAAGCCAGAAAATCACTTTATTTTCAATCATATTGCAGTTAAAAAATTTGAAAAAAAAAATACATTTTGCTTAACTTTTTTATCGGAACGAATTGCAAGGGTGTGGAATATCTTTGCAGCTGCCGGTGGTAGCAACGCCGTCGGAATTATTACGACTCTACATGCCCATAAATCCATTTTATGACGTCTCTCGTCCGTAATCAAGCAGCAGACAGAGCATCGCAGGAAAGAAAACTCTCCAAATTTGCCCGCGCGCGACATGCATGGTGGCGAGTGCATTTCCAGAGATATCGTTCTAATTAGAATCAAAAGGCAATAAAAAAGGATCCCACGGGCCATAAATACATCCCCTTGATGCATCACAATGGGCAAGAGACCGCGTCCGACCAGAGCAAGCGCATCTCCCATTTCATTATTAATAAACATAAATTACGGCGACTTTTTAGAGAGAGACGGACGCGGACGGATCTCTCTACATAATCCCTTTATGTGTGCAAGAGAGAGAGAGAGAGAGAGAGAGAGTGTGTGTGTGTGTGCGCCTTTTCTCTCAGTGCGCCCTTTTTTGCAATTTACTTTGCACATAGATCATAGCCTTCTCCGCCCCCTCCTCCTCCTCCTCGGCGCCTCCCCTACGAGCGAGCGGCAGAAAAAGCGGGCGAGTGACGGATGGCTTGGAAGTTACGCCTGACAAGGTTGACAGATTTATGACAGGTTGGCCCCTTTTCCATTGCCTCATATATATTAAGCCTCAACTCACTAACAGCTGCATGTAATGCCGTTTCTCACGAACACATACAGACAGAACCAGCCGAAAAGATTTATAGTAAAACCTTTCGTTTGATGATCGTAAATTTTCAGCACAGCCAGCGCACTGGAAAAAATAATATAAAAAAGAGGCCCTCGCTTGCTTCTAGCCACTCTTTCGCCCCTCCCATTCCGCCGCCGCCGCCGCCGCCGCCGGGGGCTGCTTGCCGCGCTGGAGAACGTCTCGATTGTTGCTGCCCATTGTTGACCAAGGATATCGGCACAAAACCTACAAAGTCATTCAATAGGTCAAAAGAAATGACAAGAAAATTGCACATTGTAAATTTAATTCAAATTAAAAAATAAGGAGATATAATATTTTGGAGTAAAACCATTAGTAAATTAAAATTTTCACAATATGTTATTAAATTAGATTAATTTTGTGCAAGGTTTTTATGGTTTTTATTACTCTTCAATCCTCAACTTCAACGAGAATTTATTAACCTTGGCATTTCATTGTAGTTGAAAATCTGCTTAAGTTAAAAAAAACTATAGTATTTTAATTTAATTGAAATTTTAAATAAAAATTGCCCTTCCTCTTCCTATATACAAAGTTTCAACCAAATTCTCTTTGTCAGCAAACTGAATAAAAAAATCAAAATAATTTATGATTCCTGCGCTAGGTTTTAATAGTGGGGTTTCTGCTAAAAAACGACCTGATTAATTTTTATGACAATTTTTCACTTTGTTAAGATAAATTATTTTTTATTTGTAAAAATTTTGAGTAAAAAAAGTTAATAAAGTTTTAATTTTTTTAATTTTTCTGATTTTTCTTAGGATTTTAAACCATTTTTTCATATCAAACTTTTCAAAATTAGGCCCCAACCCTTGGCCCCAACTCTTGGCCCCAACTCTTAAAAATAAACCTTTTAAATTTTTTTAAAAATTTGACAAATATATTTTTAGATGTAATTTCCAAGGAGACATCAGAGAGGAAAAATTAAATTTATTTGTACAACTGAAATTTTGAAATTTTTAACATTGTTTTGTATGGAAATTTTCTTAAATAATTTTGAATCAAAATTTGTTTATTGAATACTCACGGCTTATATTTCACAAATTTTTTGCTCCTCTTTCTGTGAGGCGCGATCGACACACCCGAAATGTTGGCTGGCATCCCTCATGGCAGGCCGCGGCTTGTACCCACCTTTTGTGTGGAATGTCGTAATTCATGTGATTGACCCAGCTGGATGGCTGCTGCTGCGTTTGAAAGAGGCCAGAATTTCATCTCGCGCGCCGCGCAAGTGACACAAAGCCCGAAATTTATTGGCGAGTGATTTGGAAATAACAAAGATTTATGGCGCGTTTCATCGCGTTATGAGTGACTGGAGAATAATGAAATATCTGCGCTGGCACTCCTAGATGTGCGCGCTCGCGTATATAAATAAATTGGAATTCGTCAGGCCGCCTCGACATAATTCATTTCGGGGGACACGAATGAGAATTTGTGGTGAAATACACACTTCTTCCGTGCTTATTTGAATATTTGAATAAACCACTGATACCTTCTGAAAAAAAATCAGACAAAATCTCAAAATTTAATTTTATTTCAAATACAAATAAATTCCTGTATACACAGATTGGAAATTATTAATTTATCAAAGATTTTGAAATTTTCTCTAACAGAAAATAAACTTGAAAAAAATTCATATAAAAATTAAATTATTTTATATTTATTTATAAAAATTAATTAAATCGTAAATTTTGAACCTAACTAAAAAACGCTAAATTTTTGATAATTTTTTATTTTTAATTACTTTAAAATTCGAAATGAATCCTACCAGATTGCCAGCGTATGTGACCGGCAAGCGAGCTGCGACCGACAAGTTGCCTACCTAGTTAGGCGCTTTCATACTTATAATCATAAATTGGATAATATTTTGTTGTTTTAGTAATTGATGTTGAATTCAATCAAAGGAGCTAAGAAACATAAATTGAGCAAAATGTTTTGATTCCGCGAAAACAAGATTCGAGCCCCACAGGAGAATTAATTTTGAACTACTAATTTTATAATCCCAGGTTTAAGATGTATGCTAAATTATATTTTCTAGTTCAATAAACAATAATATTACAATATAATTTTCTTATTTTCAATTAAAAAATTAAAATTTTGGATTAGTACTATGAATTTAGTATATCATTTAGAACTATTTTGGGTAATACTAAGAAAAAAAAGTTAAGAATCGTCCTAATATCATTTTATTATGTACCAAATGGTAGTACCGATTTTCACCTGGGTATTGTGTGTTGTATGGACTTCAAAATAAATATACAACAAAGATTGCAAAATAGTTAAAGAAAAGGCATCGATTAAAAAATTTAATTTGTACATTTATTTGAATATAAAATTTGTTATTGTTCAGCAAAAAGCACAACATTAATAATTAATTATAAATTCTTTATTGTGTCAAAAGCAAAAAAGCGAAAAAAATATCATGATTAATTTTTTTTTTGCAACAATCAAATATTATGCTCCGATTGTTGTGATGAGCAAACTTTGTTCAGTTATATTTCAATACCTGTTTTCTTTATTATTGAAGAAAAATTGTGTATTTTGAGCCACTTCAGACATCAATCAAACACTAGCAAACGAACGAATGTCATTGCGCACGTGGTTTTGGCGGCAAAACGGTTAAAAACGAGTAAACAGGCACGGATCGCCCGCCGCCGCTGCTTCCGGTGGTGCGTTGGTTTCGCGTGTGACGTTGCGCAGAGGCGATTGGCGCGCGCTCTGTCGGCCGTGGAAGGAACCGAGGCCAACAAGAATTCACACGTCGAGCCAGCCACCTCTTTTTTCCCGTTTCGTTGCATGGGCCAGACAGCATGAGTGCTCCAGCCGCACCGACACTGCACCGAGGAATCGTCAAACAGGTGAGCACCGGCCCCCGGAGGCCTGCGGAGGCGGCACCGCCCCCGAAGGACCGCCGGCCGGCCTCCGGAGCACGGCCGCCTCCGGTCGTCGCTGGGGCGTTCGCTGCGGCGTGCATCGTGGCACTGTGGCCGTAAACACATGGCCGACTGGCACACCGGGGGCGGCGGGCCGCCTCCGACCGCCCCCAGCACCAAGTTTTCCTCCGAGGAAAGGCCTCCGGAGGCGGCACATTCGATTCGAAACGCCACTTTTGACCTGACCGGATTTTTAAATCCGGCCAGCTGTTGTGGCTTTTGATAGAGACGAATGCCGCCCCCGGAGGCGGTTCACTCTTAGACTTGGAACTAATTTTTCCCTCTTTGCAGATCCTCTCAGGGGACTCTGTGGTGATCCGTGGTCCTCCGAAGGGAGGCCCTCCGCCGGAGAAGACGATCCTGCTGTCCAACATCTTGGCCCCCAAGTTGGCCAGACGTGCTACCACCAGGTCAACAAGGATTTCACCCTCTTCCCCACCCCTAAAGCTAGAGTCACCCTTCAAAATCCATTTATAATTTAAATCTTTAAAGAAGTTTTACTTATCTGCTAAAACAATCTGTCATTTCATTCAAAACTATTCAACTGGAAACTTTCCTTTTTTTTGTACCAAATTTATTCAAAATTTATTCTCATGCTCAATGGAAAAAATGTAATTTCAGCGCTGACGAGACGAAAGATGAGCCGTTTGCTTGGGAGGCTCGCGAATTCCTGCGAAAGAAGTTGGTCGGGGAGAGTGTTCTTTTCACCCTCGAGAAGCCCCCAAATGCCACTAGGGACTATGGCGTCATCTACTTGGGCAAAGGTAAATTCTATGAATGAAATACTTATGCGTATCCAAAGCCCAGCATTTCGGTGGCCTAATTATTTCACTTATCTTGACCTTGAGGTCATAATCACATGATTGGAGAATTATTATCTTTGTGGCTTTGCATAATTCTTATAATCCGCAAATAAGGAGAAATTGAAAGCGAAATTCCATCATAAATTGCTTTCTAATTATTTTCAAAAAAAATAAAATAATCAATTGTGAACTTTTTAGACGCAGCCACCGGCGAGAATGTGGTCGAGACCCTTGTGTCCGAGGGTCTGGTGTCCGTCCGAGTTCGTGACCCGTCTCGTCCATCGGCCGAGCAGGCCCGCCTGCTGGAGATCGAGGCGGCCGCCAAGAGCGCTGGCAAGGGCAAGTGGAGCCCAAACGCTGCGACCCACGTTCGAGACTGCAAGTGGAACATCGAAAACATGAAGCATTTCGTCGAACGCAACCAGGGCAAGCCCATCAAGGCCATTGTGGAGCACGTCAGGGACGGATCGACGGTCAGGGCTTTCCTTTTGCCCGACTTTTACCACATCACCCTCATGATATCCGGCATCAGGGTTTGTTTTTCATAGTAAAATTCAAAATTAATTCTAAATTTGGAAATCAACAGTGCCCCCAGACCAAGATGGAGAACAACCCAGACTCGGTTTCTCAGCCCTATGGAGACGAGGCCAAGTTCTTTGTCGAGTCAAAACTGCTGCAGCGCGATGTTGAGATCATCCTCGAATCGGTCAACAATGCCAACTTTGTTGGTTCCCTCGTCCACCCGGTAAGACTTAAGGATGAGATGAATAATTGATTTTTTGTGGGACTTTTTATCACATAATAATCGACAAATAATCACTTATTGTCAAAAAATGTAGCTCATAATGATCAGGATGGTCCATCTGAGATGTTATTATTTCTTTTTTTTAGAATTTTTTTTATAAGGGATTTTCTTTGAAATTATTATTGAAAATACATTATTGCTGAAATAATTGCTAATTAGCAAAAGAAACAAAAAAAAATAGAAATAAAATTAGTTCTTTCAATTTTAAATTACAAGGTTTGCAATTAAAAAAATGTTTTTCGATAATTCAATTCAAGTTTTTAAATAGCTTTTTCTTAAATTTCTTTTAAATAAGGAAAAACCAATGCGGTTGTAAAAAAAATTGATCAAAATTTATTTGGCCTTTTCGCAAGTTTAAAGATTTAAAAAAAAAATCTAGTCTTCATTTAAAATCTTCTAATAAATTTGCAGAAGGGAAACATTGCCGAGGCTCTTCTGTCTGAGGGTTTTGCCCACTGTGTCGACTGGTCCATGGCGCTGGTGAGCTCCGGCTCAGACAAATTGCGCGCCGCTGAAAAGCAGGCCAAGGAGAAGCGGATTCGCCGCTGGAAGGACTGGACGCCGAGCGCCGCCTCTCTGCTCACCGGCAAGGAGAAGGAGTACACGGGCACCGTGATGGAGATTGTCGGGGCCGACGCCCTCATCGTCCGTCTGTCCAACGGCCAGGACAAGAAGATCTTCCTGGCCTCCATCCGCCCCCCAAGGCTGGCTGAAGAGAAGCCCAAGGAGGGAGAGGCCCCGAAGCCCCCTCAGCCGAGAGACAAGAGCTTCCGCCCACTCTACGACATTCCTCACATGTTCGAGGCCAGGGAGTTTCTGCGCAAGAAGCTCGTTGGCAAGAAGGTCAACGTGGTCGTCGACTACGTCCAGCCGGCCTCTGACAAATTCCCTGAGAAGACTTGCTGCACCGTCACCATTGGAAATGCGTAAGGGTCTTTTTCTTTATTAAAATTTCTTTCGAAGTTGCTATAGAAAAGCCATTCCAAGTCAAACCATTATATAATTTTATAAAACTTAAACTAAATTGTTTGGTAAAAGGAAAAATTTGATATTTTTATTGAAAGTAATTTTAATGGTCATAAATTTATTTATTAATATTTTTAAAAGCCATCCTTTGGAATTTCAATTGAAATCAATACAGATACAAATGTAAATTAAAATCTAAGCTAATTTTTAACTGATAAGTCTTGATTTAAATAATTCGTCACAAAAACGCATTTTTTTTCCAAATTACTTTAAACATATAATTTAAATTTCAGCAATGTTGCCGAAGCCATGGTGTCCAAGGGCCTGGCCACTGTGATCAGGTACAAGCAGAACGACGACCAGCGCTCCTCGCACTATGACGAGCTCTTATCTGCCGAGACCAAGGCCTCCAAGGGCCTCAAAGGTCTGCATTCCAAAAAGGACACTGGCTTGAAGCGAGTCAACGAAGTGTCTGGAGTGAGTTTCAAACCAGTAATAATTTCGAAACATTTCTTACATTTTAAAAATTACAGCAAAGCTCCAAAACATACCTGGCTTCATTCCAACGTGCGGGACGTCTGCGGGGCGTGGTTGAGTTTGTTGCCAGTGGATCCAGGATGAGAATTCACATCGAATCTGAGTCTTGCGTCATCACTTTCCTGCTTGCTGGTCAGCAGTCCTCAAAATTATAAATAACTTATAGATTTTAATTTTTATCTTTGGCAAATTTTAGGTATCAGTTGCCCTCGTGGATCAAGACCAGCTGCAGGTGGACAGGGCAGGGTCGAAGGTGAGCCTTTCGGCGAGGAGGCCCTCCTGTTCACCAGGGAGAGAGTTTTGCAGCACGATGTTGAGATCAAGGTTGATAGCACCGACAAGGCAGGCAGCATGATTGGGTAAAATTTTTGTAAATACTTTCATTATTTGGATTTAATTTATAATCTGGTTTAGCTGGTTGTGGGCCGAGAACCACAACTTATCGGTGCTGCTGGTTGAGGCTGGTTTGGCAAGTGTGCACAACACTGCCGAAAAGACTGAGTTCTACTCGCAGCTCAAGAGAGCAGAAGACAGTGCCAAGGCCAAAAAGGAGAAGGTTTTTATTATTTTAATTTTTTCACTGGAATTGGTGTATTAAACGTCAACAAAAATTTAGATTTGGAAGGACTACGTGGAGCAAGAAAAGACTCAAAACGAGGACGACATTCCCGTCGAAGATGAAAAGGCGCCAGTCGAACGCAAAAAGGAGTACACGGCTGCGTACATCACCGAAGTGGCTGATGAGTTGCATTTCTATGCTCAGAAGGAGGACCAGGGATCCAAGCTGGTCGCCATGATGGACGAGCTGACCCAGTCTTTCAAGACCAACCCACCTCTTGGTGGCGCTTACACCCCTAAGAAGGGTAAATTCAAATGATTTAGTGAAAAGGATCTTAAATTCCAATATTCATTTTAGGCGATCTCTGCGCCGCCAAGTTTGCTGACGGCAACTGGTACAGGGCCAGAATTGAGAAGGTTGCCAAGGGAGGTGCTGACGTGGAGGTTTTCTACGTTGACTACGGCAACAGGGAATCTGTTTCCACCTCAAGATGCGCTGCCCTGCCACCAGCCTTCACTGCTCCCAAGCCCTATGCTCATGAGTACACCTTGGCGTTGGTGAAGCTGCCATCTGATGTGAGTTTTTTTTTTTTTTTTGCTAAATTAATTATTAAATTAATTGGAAAATCTCCTAATTTTTTTGTCAGTGTTCAATTATGAATAGAATAATTATGATTAGAAAACCGACTGACACAAATATGACAAAAAAAAGAAGCCTGATTTTCTAAATTTTAAGGAATGGGAACATATCATTTTTAGTCCTTCAAACACAACACTATTTGACATATTGAATATTTTCAAAACTCCCATGACATATATTAATTAATAATTAAATTAACTATAATATAAACTTAATTCAATTATTTTTCACAATATTTAATATTGCATTAATACACACCTAAAATTTAAAGTATATTTTATTCATATTTATACCCACCTACTATTTTATTTAAATAAAATACTTTTCATTATTTGGTTTTAGGTTGAGGACAGAGCTGATGCAATTGACGAGGTGAAGAAGGTGCTCATCACCAACGACCCTGTCTTCATCAACGTCGAGTACAGAGTGGGCACCCAGGAGTTTGTCTCGGTCGCCACTGACAAGGAGGGCAAGGACGACATCATCAAGTACCTTCTGGAGGAAGGATTCTTGCTGTTGGAGAACCGCAGAGATAGACGGCTCAAGAAACTGGTCGGTTTTTATTTTCCATTGTTGAGGATTTACTTAAAAATTAATTGCCCCCCAGATGGACGAGTACCATGCGTCTCAGGAAGCTGCCAAGAGGGCACACGCCCGCATCTGGCAGTACGGTGACATCACCGAGGACGACGCCACCGAGTTTGGCATCAAACGCTAATCGAACAAGCCGGTTGCGACATGGGGGCGACGCCAGTTTTCCCGAACCCTGATTTTATTGCGAGACTTGCCCACGAAAACCATCGAGAGGGTGGTCTGCGTGCACCCCCGTGTTTCGCCCAAACATACATACAAAAAAAAAATCACCCAAGCGAGAAACAACAACTACTGCCCCCACCCCAGTGAAGAAATTTGAATGATTACGGGAACAGACTGGAGGATTTTTGTATCGCGGAGAGATTTTCTTGCTGGAAATCTCCCCTCTTTGGAAATCCACTTGACCAGACAGGAATTTATAAAATATGCTGATTAATAGTTGATTAAGGGAATACTCGAGGTTAAGAAAATTTATACACACAGACAGACAGACACACACACTTAAAATGATGAACCCTTTTTCCCACCCCCGAATGCATTGTGTGAATGTAGAGATTGTTTCAAGAGCTGTGATGTCAAATGTGAACTCTTTTTAACGATACGTTGAACCTCCCCAGGCGTCGTTGGTCAGGGGTCTAGAAATTTGTGTGATTGCGAGAGAATGAGCTGGAGAAAAAACGTCAAACAGACCCACACATTGAAAGAAACACCTCATTTTTTTTAATGATTCTTTATTTCACAATTTGGTGCCGTCAATCACGAAATTTGCTTACGAGAAAGAGCTGCTTGAAGTGAGCACTGGACAGTGCCTTAATTGTTAACAGTTTTAATTGAGACAGCCGTCGCATTATTTATTTTGCGCAGTAGGGACGGACATTGTACTTTTTGCATTGCCAAATTTGTGCAACCAGACGACTGATCTTTTTTATTGATTTCATTTTCTCCGTAAGCAATTGTATCAAGAAAACCTATCCCCAAATATGCGTTTGTGATAAAAATAAAGGAAAAGTAACCCTCTCTATATAATTTTTGGCCTAACGGATTCGTGGAAGAGAAGCTTTTCGATTCAAAGCCCGATTTTAGATTTCCATTTTTTTATTGTTAATTTTTATACTGTGTTTGAATCATATCAAGAAGAATGTTTCCAATCCCTATCGCAGCCATCGGAGAAACTCAAGCGCTTCCTCTCCCCTGTAATTTCATTGGTCTACCACTCCATGTTTTTTTAGCCTTTAAACGATTGATTGCTGTTTGTTGTTGCAATTCATTGTGAATGTTTTTAGTTTGACAGAAGATATCCCGCTGCCGATTACTAATTTTTGTATTCGAGTAAACTAACTGATTAGGTTCTTTGTTATTTTGGGATATGGGGGTCACGTTAAAATAAACAACTCATAAAAATATAAAAAAAAAATCGTTTCTTTTACTGCTTTTACTGTTCTAAATTCCTTTTTCTAATATGAATTTTCTCTGATATTGACTGCGTTTCTGTGGCAACGGATTGTTGAGTGGTTTGTCTGTGGACAATAAGTTGTGAAAGTGTTGATTTTGGCAAAGTAAACTTTATTTGTTATTATGACAAGCCAGGCTCGGAATAGTCTAAAAGGTGGAGAGACCTCTGGTCCTTCTGGTTTGGTCGCCAGGAAACATGAGAAGGGTCACGTGAAAATGACGATGGTGCGGAAAGACGGTATTATGTGAGAAAGCATAGAACGCGTTGTGTGTGGTTTTTCCAAGCGCAGAAAATATGTTTTAGGAAAGAGCTCATCGAGAGGGAGGAAAAGTCCAAAAGCGAGTGGGAGGAAAAATTTGGCTTTTTAAAAAATACTCATAAAGTATTCTTATTTATACTGCATACTGAGAAATCAAATAATTATAAAAATGCAACAGGACTTTCAAAAAAGATTGATTGAGCTAAAATTAAGAGAACCATCAAAGGAGGAAACTGCAGATTTTAACAGCTCAAAAACGCCAACCGGAGATAAATTGCCCAAAACAACCTCTGGTAATTTTACTTCTAATTTGATTAATTCAATTTAAGTTCTTTTGCGAGAAGGTCTTGTAGGATGGAATGCAGATGGAGCTTCACTGATAAATGCAGTGGCAGGACCTTTGTACATTTCTCCAAAGCTGACGCTGAGAGCTGAGGGATCTGTCCGAAGCAAACTGATGGAAAACCAAAAGCACATTATCCTGGGGTGAAATTTATGTATTTTTGTACAAGAAAACAACCGGTTCACGATGAAAAGCTTTTTAATTCGCCATGTAATTACATATGCAATAGGAGAGATAATAAATTACGGTAAAACATAAAAATGCCCCAAAGCTTAGAGATGTGATTCTCGGCTCTTGAGGTTTGATTTGTATTGGATATAATGCAGAATTCCTTCGGGATTACTTTTTTAACTTTGAATTTTAGACTCGCTCCCTAAACCTGCTTTATCAGAGGTAAAGTCCTCATTGTCACAGTAAAATTTGTGCTCAAATCGCAAAGAGTTGGGTACGTGAACTTGACTCTACGTAATATATTGGAATAAAATTTGTCAGAAAGGTGCATTTTGAATTTCGGCACTAGCTCTCGTCTGAAGTTTTAAATGCAAGCATTGAATAATTTCATTTTTTTTTTTGTGTAAATACAAGAAACTCTCTGTCCGATTCGGTGTCTGACTCTTTTACATAAACTCTCAACTCCGTAACAAATAGGCCTGAAAGCAAATCGGCCTCATGAATCAGGGCCCGCTTTTTCACACTCGACATTCTTTTACATAGTTAACAGCCTTTTCCTTGAAAAGATGGTCAGCAATTAAATTTCAATCTAGAAGGCACAGTCGCACCAAATGCTGTCGCCTCCGCACAATTTTTTGTAGAATTTCAAAATTTAGGGCAGTGTACAAAATTTGTTTGAAAAGTTCTTATAAAACGCTCAAAAGCCATTCCAGGTGAAAAACAAAATAAATGCACTGAATGGTTCAAAGGTCTGGATAAATCTACTGTTCCATGCATGAAAACAACTACGAACACTTTGCTGGAATGGCCACGAAATGCATTAACATTTTAAAATCTTCTTTTTTTGGTTAAAAATTTGGCCTCAACTGCAACAAGACTTTGGCAAACGTAATTTCAACAGCACCGCAATTTTACCCAACAACTAATTCATTAAATTCTCCACAAAGGCGTGACATAATAAATAACTTGCTACTCTCTTGTGTGATGTTTTTTTTCTTCGATCGATCAATCGCTCCAGTCGTGAATTCACAGAACATTTTTCACCCAGTCCTTTTGTTCTTCAAAGTGATATGACACATATACTTTTGTTGTATAGTTGATTATCCGTTAATTACTATAGAGGCAAAGAGCATAAAATTCTCCACCAATGACTCAGTTGACGTCAGAACGAAAGCAAGCAGAAAAAGATGCTGGAATTGATCGTTTCGGCGCTGATCACGCTGCCAGCAGCGTTTTTATGTTCTTTGGCGTGGCGTCCTCATTTAAATGTTTGGTTGTGTACCTGCATCAAAAATTATAAAATAAATTTTGAATAAAATTTTTTGTCTCTACCTTAGGGCGTTCAAAAGTCCTTCCGATTTCACTGCAGGCTGTTCTTTCAACAACTTCACACAGCCTTTCACCTGTGATTAAAATTTTATAAATATCAAAATTGTAAAATTTAAATAAACTTACATCAACATTCGACGCTTTGACGAAAGCACCTTGCGGGTGAACATGGTCGTAGAGAATCACCAAGCCGACCATAACTCGTAAAACAAACAGTTGTGTTTCCTCTCTTTGGAATTGAGCCATCAGTTGCCTGCAATTTATAGAGGTGATAAATTTGAATTCATTTATGAATCAGAAAGAAACTTACGGACTTTCCAGCATTCGCAGGCAAACTTTTGCCATTGTGCTCAAGGTTTCGGTCGTGTTCTCTATTGGAATGTCTGTTCTCTAAACAAATACAAAATATAAATCAATTTCTTTAAATTGGTAGTAAAATTTTAAAGAAAAAAATGATTGGGCATTTCAATGAGGCCTTTGGCAGAAAGTTTTTTTTAGGAAACGTTCATTTTGAGTTTATATGCTTAAGGGCTTTTAAAAAGGAATTGACATCAGGGTACACGTGGAAATTCCCATATTTTTTAATTAATTGAATCTGTCGTTTCTTCTTTAAAATTGTTATCAACTATAGTTCCAAAATGGAACAAGTTTTGTGGAAATTTTTTGAAACCAATTTAAAAAGTTCAATTAATAAAATCATAAGAAATTTTAATTAAAAATCAAAACTTACTACGCTAACAAATAGCGAGACCGCGTCACTGAGCACCCTCAGCATAGGGGTGGCGTGGGCATAGAAGAGAGACATGCGGTTTGCCAGCTCCGTGCTGACCTCCCTGGCATCAGGACCGTCGTCGCTGGTGCTCATTCGTTGGCGGGCGATGGTCCTTCGGTAATAACTGAAGTCATTTTGAATCGCTGGAGTTTTCATCTGGTTGAAAAAAAATGTCATTAATTAAAAAATATAAATAATAAATCTGAGCAAACCTTATTTTCGTCGAATTTCAGGACAAACTCGAGGATCTCTGCGAACTGTTTGACCAGAGCTTGTTGCGTTTCCAGGTGTTGGGTCGGAATCATGTCCCCTGAACACAACTCGCTCAGGATTTGGGGAACAATGGCCTCTGAAGTTAGGAAGAAATAATCAAGATTTCAGATTAATTTAATTCGAACCAACCTAATTCCATGGAAAATTCAAAGAATCGCTTCAGTTTCGATACGAGCGGCAAGACCGCTTGCAAGGCTCGTTTCTGAGACTCCTCGGTCGGATTGGAAATGGCCTGAAATTTCAAAACTAAGTAACTTTTGCAAAATACAAAATGAATCAATCACCTCTCGTATTTCCTTTCCCGCTCCTTTGTACTGTTGCAGTTCGTCCAGAATCATTTCCGAATTCTTCAGCACTTTCTGGACAACGCCAAAGGTCTTTTGTTCAATTTCTGTTGGTTGAGCATCTGCGGAAATAAAATAAATTAAAGAAAAGAGAAAATTAAATAGTTAGATTAAAAAAATCTTATTTGATTTAAAACGAAAATAGATGATTATAAAATTATAATCTCATGTGATGCCTGTTGATGTGTGTCACCAGCAAGTGGTCGATGACTAATCAACTGGTCTTTCTCTTTTTATATGAATAAATTATTATTGCAAAAAGCAACTCTTGTGTATTAATTTTTGCAAATTTAATTGATAATTACTTTCAAAGTCGAGATAGACGTCGTATTTTTGAGGAGAGCAGCAGGTGGACGCGTCGTCCCTCGCCAAAAGACTCAGAAGTTTGCCCATTTTCGTTCACTGCTCGTCAGGTTGTCTCAGTCTCTGCTGCTGCTACTCGTCGTCCGTCATTATCCGGCCAGATGTTGAGCAAATCTGCCGAAATTAATTCGAGAGTGGCGATTAGAAAGGTCGAGGGGTCGATTGGGGACGCGGGTTGGGCGGATTTCGGGGTGTTTTCGAGACTTACAAACAAGGAACTGGTGCAGAATTTATCACAACCTGGGGCACAACCCAGCAACTCGTCGTTCCTACGCCCACTTATTTATATTTCTGCACGTATTTTATTCGCTGTCGCGTGCGACATCTGTCGGTGGAAAGTGAAACTAATCACAAGTGAAAGGTTGTTGCATCAAAGGGGCATTGAACTTTTGAGTTTACAGGTGAAGTAAGGGTGAGGTCGTTATATGGGAGTAGTTTAAAAAATTTCAAATAGGAAATAAGTCGAAAAAAAGGAAAATAAATTGAAATTTAGTTGTATAACAATTTTTTTATGCATTTTTTAAATCTTATTAACACTTATTGAAATTTTAATCCTTTTTAAATAATATGATTGTAATATATTTTATAAAATGAAGGACTCCGATCAAATATCAAATCAAGTCTTTACAACTAGAAAAAATTAGCGATTATTTGAAGATGTTTATGATTGACGTTTATTTTAATTTAATAAAATTCTTTTGATCTTGAAGTATATATAACATAATAAATTTGTAAAAAATTAAGTTTAATAAATAATAATATTAATAAAAAACATAATTATAATTAATAATAATAACAATAGCAAAAAATATACAACAAAGATATAAAAGAACTTGTTCGAAAACCAAAATTAAAAAACGTTATCTTTAATTTTATTAATTTAATAATTAATTAAATTATTGAAAAAAAAAAACAATTTTGGCTCAACTCTCTTTCTAATTTTTTTGAACCCTTTTCTCGATGATCCTTGCCTTTTTTGCCTCTAGAAATCTAAATCTGTGCCGTTCGCAGGCGTGCTTTAGCTTTTTCTTTAAAAGTGTGTTCTGGTGAATCTCTCTTTCGCGCCTGTTCGGAATGTCACTGTGAGCAATGTAAATAGCAGTGCTGCTTCCGAGCAGGATTAAAACAGACCCAGCAGCCGGCGACGACCGACACACACTCAATTCCAGTGCGTCGTGCTTTATTGTTTGTTTGCGGCTTGAGCCAAGTAGGGGGTCTGCGCGTCCGCATTGACATAGTGAAAGGGGTGATTTGCCGGCAGCGAGTTTAAATAAATCTTTTGCTGCTCGCGCAAATCAAATAAATGCAGCAGTGTTCGAACTTTGCACCTAAAGTCATTTTTATTACTAAAAAAATTCGCATATAATTATTTCATGCAAACTCCCAAAACTAGATTTGATAAAAAGTATGAAATCATTATTTGAATGAATTTTTTCTTTGTCCATACATGAGAGTTTGTTTGAATTCTTTTTCGGAATCAAATATTTATTTCAAAGTTTTGAGAGAATTAATTATTATTTTTATTTTCCTCTTTCAAAATAAAGGAATTTAATTACCGAGAAGCCAAAGGAACGTTTTTTTGAAGGAAAAAAATGCCTAGGCCTGGAAAGCCACACCAGCCACATTTTCCCCTGTAAAGGATGCCAACGTCTTTTTGTGGTGAGATAAATGTAGAGCAATCTAATCTTCCTTCAATTAGAATTTTAATTACTAAAATGTGTTTGAAAACGGTTTTGACATGCAAATATTTCAGTATTTAATAAAATAATTATTAATTATTTCCTTTTCTTTAAAACTTTTACCTTTTTTCAAAAGAGAGAATATTTATTTAGGCCTATTACCATTTTTTCTCTATCTTGCTTTTTAGCAAATTACATTACATGTAAAAAACACCAACTGTTGAGTTCGGCTTTTGCTGATAAAAATGAGATAAGAGGCCAGGATATTCGATCTGTTTATGGTTGGTCGCGCTTGCAATAATTAAATGGGCCGCCATAAAAAAATGTAACAATAACAAACAGCCAAGGCAGATTACAGAGACAGAATGGATTTTTTTTAACTGAAATGTTCAAATACAATATTTTATTTTTCTCGTTGGAGTGTACTGAATTAATTTCCTTTGGAATTAGGAAAACTGTCATCTAATAAATATTTTTATTTTTTATTATAAAATTTTAAATGGACGAATATTGAATTAAAAGGGTTGATCATGATCAAATAATATATAAGGCCTCAACCCAATCTTACCAGATTAAAAGTTATAGTTTGTTGTTTATTTTTTTTTACTATCATCTACTTTCTGTTTCATTCAATGCATTAAATAAATAATTTTTTTAATGTTTCAAAATTTGATCCTTTTCATGGTTTAAATCAGTTTTAAATACTAATTATTCGCATAAGCAAAACAAGTCTTAACAATAATACAAGCCATTTTGGAAATAATTTAACCTTCATTGTTGTAGATCCTTGATTTGATGCACTTTGATAAGTATTTAAAGAAAACTCCACTTGCATCTATCCCACAACTTTTCTTGCAGTTTTTGAAGCAGTTTTTTTTTAAATTATGAAAAAATTCAATCAGACCACAATTTTCTATCCATTTATCCTTTTTGTGAAAATTTGTCCCATTGTTGAACTTCTAACTTTGTTACAGTGAAATATGAATCTTAAAACATATTTACTTTAAAAATCTTCCTAACATCGAGAACACGTCGCATAAAATCTCTTTTTGCAGATGAGAAGCTTTGCAAGAAAAGTGTGAAACTCTCTGTGAGATAAGCCGTGTTCTTTGTTCAACCTTACACGCAGCATGACCCTGATGCTTTTTCTTTATAATATCTTTTTGTTCTGCGTGTCGCCGAATTTCATCCGGCGGGACCAAGAGAGATGATTGTGGCGCAGACTCATTATTTCTTTCAGCACCAGCGAACCGTGAAAGCATCCCAATACCAAAAAAAAGAGATCTCTGCTTATTTGTTTGAGCCAAAAGAGAGCTGGCTCGTCGCGCATTGAAAACGAAAATGTAAATCGGCGGGCGTGACATCACTCACTCCTAGCAGCTCTACTTCCCGCTTCCTGTTTTCGAATTGGGCTCCCAGCCAACGATATAAATTATCTTTGCCTTTGATTTCTCTAAACCATTCACAGAAACCAAACTGCCTGATAAATTTAATAAATAGAATTAAATTAAAACTGTAATTTTTTATAATTATTTTGTTAAAATCACATTTTTTCATTAAAATTATTGTAATGATTTAATTAAACCTCAAAGAATTATTTTCTTGCAGAAAGATTTAAGTCCTGACTGGTTTTACATTTTACCAAATGCTTCATAATCTAAGTAAAATTATTTTTGTAAGGTTGAGGGAAATAGAAGGCTGATAAGTGATAAGGAACTTCCTTTGAAACAAATATTTCAAATCTTATGAATGGTTTCGTTTGCGGTCGTGTTATTTCCTTCATGAAATCACAAAAAGAGTGTTCGCAAATGTATTACAATATATTAAGTACGACACCAATAAAAAAATCCGTTCTTGTACATAATTTGGAGTTTTGAATAAAAAGTAAAATAGGCGGGTGGGATCTAAAGAAAGGTTGTGTTAAAATGTTATACTCACTTATGCTGCCAGAGCGTCCAACAAGTGGCTCCAATTTTCTAATTAGTGGCTCGATCGAAGTTTAAAAAAGCAACGCGGAGAACGAGAGCGAAGCACTGAAACGAAATGCACACGACACTCGACTGCGACGGCCGCAGAGAGCAGTGCGCATGCAGAACCGTGAAGAGAGGGTCGCCTGCGTTGCTTGTGCGCCAACCGCGGAAAGGCAGCTTTTAGATAACTCCGCCGGCCGTCTCTCATTTTAAAATAGTTTCAGATTTTAAATTGTCATCATTGATGTCAAAATGAACATTTATAATCCCTTAAAAATGCTGAAGCACCAAGACTGATCTCAAATTGATATTTCTTCCTACTGAAAATTGCTTCAGAATAGATGAACTATTAATTTTAGTATTTCTTAAAAATTCCTACCTGTAAATTGAAATCTCGAGAAGTTCACATAAATAACTCATTTCTAGTAAAATCTGGTATTTTATATCAGTGGTTGATAGTGTCCTAGATATACAAATCCAAACTTTTATTTTATTATAATTAATTTTCAATGTTAAGGTTTCTTTTTATTGGCAGAACAATCACAACAATGGTAGCTTAAAATTTGCTAACAATGTAAAAATTCACTGAAACTTCTCGAAATAATAACAGAATTATTTTAAGATAATTCTAAAATTTAAAAAAACATCTCTAAGTAGTAAAAAAAAACTCTAAGAAGAATTTTTTCCCAGGAAAACAACTTTAGAATCAGCATGGAAACAATTCCCTAAATTCCATTGTTGGAATTCATTTTGGAGCGAATAAAGAAAATTAAAAAGAATATTCTCTGTAGTTTAGTTATCGGAGTGATCAATTTATTAATCAATCCTATAGATACTCGGCGGATAAGGTCTTTTTGATACATAATTTTAATAGGGTACTGTTTTTTACCAACAATGCAATGTTTCCCTCCGAAGGATTGTTTATTTTTTAAGGACATTTTACAGGCATATTTGTTCCATAAAATAATAGAAGCCATTTTTTACAATTCTTGGAAAACATTATTTGGAATTTTTAGCCTCCATTGTTGATATGTCTTTGTCAATTAAGATAAAAATAAAAATTAGACAATTTAAAATAATAATAATTCATCTCCGATTTAAAATCTTTTCGAATGGCGCCCACATTTGCATTATTTATTGCAGAGAATTAGTTGGTTGTCGCGAGGTGAGATGTCAGTGCAATATTTGAGCAGCAGCAGCGGTGTTCGCCGGCAGTGCCGCTCTGCCGGTCCTTGCTGGCGAACCGGCGGCGGAGGGGGTGTTCTGGCGGGGGCAGCAGCCACCCCTGTGCCGCACCAGCGAGCAGTATGGCAGGCAAAGTGGTTGCAGAGTAGCGCGCCCTCGCTCGTCGGCTCCTTTATTTCCTGCAGAACCTGCTGTTCGGTCCTTTGACCCTCGCAAGGGTGCTGGCGGGGCCGGGTCGCGGCCAGGGTGGGGTCCGTGCCGACCACCCTGAGGCGGCAGTCGTCGCCGCCGAGTGCGCCCGAGAAAAGGTGAAATGTCAGGGCCGCAAGCTGGCGCGCTGCAAAGCTCCGAGCAGGTGAATAGCATGGATTTTATTCTTAAAGAAGAAGTTAATTTTATTTTACGAGGGGGTGAGCGATTGGTCCCTCGACATGAACCGGATATTGGATTCGGGTGGAAAACTCGGATTTATCGACTCTTGCTGTTTTAAAGCGGTGGTTGAACTTCGCAATAAGGGTTGATCCGGAAAAATTCCAAAATTGCTTAATTTCAATTTAAATAGGAGAAAAGCTTTTGCTTCAAAAAACTGGTTTCTGATTAATTTTGATAATAATTGTCTGCATTTGCATTAGTTTTTAGAAGGCGATTCAAAGGAGACTTGAAAAGACAAATTTAATTAATTTAAGGATTGATTTTTTATTATAAAATGTTTTTCTATGGGAATTTCTAAAATAATTTTCTTTTCTAAAAATTGGCCTGATCAAAATTGATAATAGTTTCATCAAACCAAATTTGATAACAAAAATCATTACTTATTTTTAAGAAATTTTAATTTCCCTTTTTTGATATAAATTATGAATTTAAAAGGTCGTCGGAAGAAATTTACAACCGGAATGTAATTTGTGTTCCACTTCAAAGTTTGGTCGTAAACTGCGATAAATATTTAGCGCCTCTCTGCTGATTGCGTTTCCGCAGTTATACAAGTGAAAACAAGTTTGCGAAATTGAGTTTGCCTGCTCCGAGCAACGAGTTTATTTTTTCCATATCGGAAAAACTCACTCTCTCTGCTATATTGAATTTGCCCGGTGCAAGGGAGCTCAGTCTGCGCTTTTTCTTCTGCTCATGTTTCTATGTGCAAAAGTGCAAGTGGCGAGTCTTTTTTTTTACATGTATATTCTCAGTGGAGGTCGCTCCTTTTTCTAGCTCCATTCGCTGGCTGCAATTTATTTTTTTTTTCGCCTTTGTGCATGTCAAATGACGTCTGGATTTTGAATGGGCAAAAATCAATGGACCAAATCCGAGTGTGAAGCAAATGTATAAAAATTTCAGATTAATTAAATATTTTTAAGCTTGGATATTTTTACAACAATTTTGGGGCATTTATAAAATTTTGGTAATTGCTGCGTTCGCCGTTTCCCTCGCTCGCTCTCTCGCACTCACTCACTCAGACATTGTGCGAGTGTTGTTTGGATGCCCGCGCTCACTGTTGGAGAACATATATCGATTTACGCCTACTACGCCAGCAAACGCTCCTCTCCACCGCGAGCGGGGGCTCAAAAGCGATGCTGAAGGGGCGGATTGATGCCTTTCTCTCATCTCACTCCGCCAGATTAGCCCAATGTGAATTCAAGATTATATTATTTTCCAAAAATCTGAAATTAAATTTGGTTGAAATCAAAATTTTAAGGAGTAAATTTTATCATAATATTCTCCATGATTTCACCTGAATGAAATTTATAAAAATTTGAAAATAAGAACAATATGAATCGCCTTTAAGATTTCTTTTTAGTCTCAAATTTATAGTAAATTAACAAAATTCAACAATTTCAAAATGATGTTGAGTTTTCAATCCTTCCACTGATGATGTTGTCTATGAATCTGATCAAAAATTTTATTGATTTTTACGGAATTGAAAATTTTTCTTTATTGAAGAAACACTGATTGTGAGGCCGGTTTATTTGATATTTATTTAATAATATCTTAAAAAATTGGCAGATTTAATTATTCAAAAATCTCATCGCATTAAGAATTAAAATATGAAAGTTTGAACCGCAATATTTTGTAATAAACTTTTTCTTTTTGACAATTTAGTGCAAAAATTATGAAAAAATACATTATATTTGGAGGATTAAGATTACAATCGCTGATTTCCAGACACTTTATATAAGTCCCAAATTAATCTTTCACATTTCAATTTTATTGACGACTTTTTTCGGCCTTTGCTTTTGTTGCCGTGGCCTTCTGATGCATTCAAGGGTGTTACATTGAAGGCTGCTGATGCCACCACCAATTACGGGCGCTATCGTGATGGTCTTTCCAAAGCAAACAGCTGTCTGCACTGCCGATAAATTTCCATATTTTTCTTCTCTATCGATCTGAGGACACCTTGAGTGGCTGCTCTGGACTGAAAATATAAACAATAAAGATAGCCACGCTTGAACTTGACATTAGCAAGCTGAAAATTACCTATTTAAATCAACGCTGACGTCCACTTTTTGCTTCGGTCTAAATCGGAACTCTCGAATTATTCAGAGTAAAAAGTTTATTTATCGCTGATGGACTTTGCATTGCAAAAGTGGCTTGGCCGCCTGCACTCTTTTTCCCCCGAGCCGTTTAATCCTGAAGCAAAACAAACGTAGCTTGAAATAACTTGCTATGGGCGCGCAAATATAAAAGAAGCGATTCATGCGCCTCTTCTTCTTGTTGGTGCTGAGCCCGCGCGAAAAGATATATCAAGTGATGAGGAGAAGATTCGCTTGTTTGAATTTCGAGGGCGGTCGGCATTGCGCGAGTTTTTGCTTTCAAATTACAGTGCAAGTAGTGCTAAGATTATATAAAAAAGTCAGGGTTCTGCTTCAAAAGTATCCACTTTACATGAATTGACTTTTCAGGTGCAAAGATAGAGAGGCTATACTTGAAAATTTATGCTTTGAAGTGTTGAGCAATTTCACTTCCTTTCAATAAGTAAGTAAAAGGATTGGACTAGCTTCATAACAAGATTTTGGTCAACAAGAATTTCAAAACGTTAGTAATAATTCTTTTATTTGACAAAACAAAAATTCAATTGAAGATCAAAAGATAATGAGGGCGATCCAAAAGGCAAACGTGGCCCAGGCTAAAATAACCTGGCCCGGGCTAATTTAACCCGCCATTCAATTTTGCTGGTGGGCTAAGTTAGCCCGGGGCTAAGTCAGGTTACCCTGGGCCAGGTTAGGCTTTTGGATCGCCCTCAATAAAACGCTTATTTTTTTAAATTTTAACCAAAAAACATACATAACAAAATAAATTACATTAATTTTGAATCAATGGAGATTTTAAAAGCAAGTTCTTTTGGTACAAAATAAAAAGATAACTTATTTTTTTAAATGTGTTGTTTTAGGAAAAGTTTTAAATTCGGGCATTATTCTGAAAAAAAGAAAATGTATCTATGGGTGAATTATTTATTATTATTTTAAAACATGAGAAAGTAGGTTGAAAAAAAAATAAATAATTCCTTTGATGTAAAAATAGATTCCTTAATCTGAAATATGATCATGAAATTCTCAGTTGTAACAAAAGAAATAGGGGCGAATTTAGGCTTAAATTGGTTGTATTTTAGTTCATTTCTGAAATACAATGCTCATTCCTTTTACTTTCTTTTAAAAAGGTGATTTAAAAAGTAATCCACGCGGAGGAAATTTATCGTTCTAAAATCCAAGTACAAAGCTTTTGCTAAAAACAACAAGAGATAGAAACTGTTCTCAGGATTCTTTTCACAAGAGAAAACAGGGCATTGCGAAATTTCAGTGGAATTCCGCGAAACAAAAGCGCAGAGCACAGGACGTGCACATTTCTCTCTGTAGCGAGCAAAGCAAACATCCGCCGATCTCTTCACTGTTTTGTGTGCGGCGTGCAAAAGTAATTCTATTGGAAAGTGTTGCAACTGGTGCGCGAGTCAAAAAAGCAGTCTCTTCATCCTTTTCCGCCCCCTTTGATCCCATGCATGCTCACAACACGTCTTCCTCTTCTTCCGAGTCCCCCGGGGGATTGACGGGGTTATTTTGCTTCCGCCAAAGGTCAACAGCTCGGCCGGCTCTCTATATATTTGCAGATTTGTGCACACGTGATAAAATCTGGCAAAGACCCTTTCGGCGCCCCTGCACGCTCACCCTAACCGCGCGACGGGAGAGACGCAAACACCCCCGACCGAGCCGGACAAGTTAGCCCCTAATTTGGCGTATAATTTGATAAAACTGGCAGGGAGCACCGAAAGTGGGGCGATTGCTGCTGTTTGCGGCGCACACCAACTGCGGAGATCATTAATTGAAGATGTGGCAAAACTTTGCCTAGATTTATAAGAGGGTTGAATCAAACTCAAATTTAATATGTTAGTGAAATAATTAAAAAAAAAAAAAAAAAAAAATAGATTTATCAGAATTTACTACTGATTGATTTTTTCCTTATTTTATACCATTTAATTTTATCTTCTTTCTTTTACTAAATTCTTGAATTCAAATGGTATATTTTTGGGAAATACCCTTAAAAATTTAAATCAAGTGAACTATAATTTTTTACTGAATTATTCTACAAAATTATGGATAAAGTTCCTTTAAAATTGGAGTTAATTATAAATTTAACAGCAAGTAAAAATGTAAATTAATAGTAATTAATATGCTGGGCATTGTATTTCAGTAAAAATAAAAAGCGTTTTTTTTTAAATTAATTGCTTACTTTACTGTTAAATATTTACTAAATTTTAAAGCTATCACAAGATTGTTTGGAAAACATTCAAAACATGCTACTTTTTGATTAAATAAAAAGATTCATGCTCGGTAATTTTTCTCTACATTAGCATTGGTTTTTGAATTTTCGAAAGTAATTGTTTTCCCTAATTTTTCCTGCCCAAAATTGATAAAAATTTCACTAAATCAAGCTCTTATCAGTTGTCACCTCAATCACGGAACAATTTTATTTCAGTTATTTTAAGAACTTTGTTAAAACCAATTTAAAAGTTTTCCATCTTTGTATTGTAATTAAAAATTAAAACATTAATTCAAAAGGAAATTACCCTGTTTGCAGTGCGGAGGCCTGGTGCGCGATGTTGTGCATCCCCGTCGGTGGTGCAGCGCTTGAGAGTTTTCCTCCTCTCGGTTATTGATTCGAGCCCACTGGTCATCTGCATACACATAAAACACAATCATGAGTGAACTTCAGGCCACCATGGAATTCTGCATCGAGCTCTACAAGTTCTACAATGTCGACCTATTCCAGCGAGGGTGAGTTCGCTCGACACGACCTCATGCAAAACTTTGAATCGCACTCACACCTTCTGCGCAGCTAATTAATTGCTCGACTCCGACTGAGCGCAGAAAACCTTGAGTAGGGAAAATTAATAGTCAATTACAGTCGAGTTGCAGAAGGGAAAACCAAGGTTGATTCTGATTTCATTAGACACAATTAACAATCGTTTAAGATGGAATTCATCATGGAATGTGAGAAATTCTTCAATTAAAGATAAATAAATAAAAATAAATTTCATTTCCAAATTAGTATAAATACATCATTGTCTCAAAATTAATACTTTTTTTAAGCTTCAAAAGGTTTTAATAAAAATATTTAATATTTTGAACGACAACAGATTCTTCTACTGTAAAAATAATATTAAATTCCAGTGTTTTTGTTGAAAATCCTGCGACTTATTTCGACACGTACTAAAACACGTCGTTTGGATCTTTGCAAAATGATGCTTTGCGTGCGGGCAAAATGATCACTCGGCCCATTAAGTGTCGTAAAATTAATAGACAGCTCGGAGAGAAAAAAGCGGAGGCGAGCGCCGAAATTACATCTGGGACTGGCGCTCCGACGACGACTAGTCTCCGGTGCCGGATTTAATTTTGGCCCTCATTCTTTTCTTTCCTCGCACGAGATGATCTGGGAGGGTGACCAGCATAACGCGCCACAACTGATTATTTTTTTAACAGCGCCAAGATCGTATAAACACAGACACACGCGCACAGCAGCTGAGCGTCTAATAAAATTCACGTGGTGAAATTTGTACATAATTTTTGTTCAGATAAACCTAAAAGTAAAGATTTCCTTGAATGGTTTACACGTGTTGGAAGTGAAATACTGAAGGAGCAGGAGCTTTGTTTATAAATCTTTCTCTTTAAAAAAAAGGTCAGTGGAAGTAAAAAGTGAAAATACTTTTATTTTGTAAAAATTGAGAGGAAAATATATTTAAATATAAAATGGTTTGTATATTTATAAGAAAAACTTACTAATCAGTGAAATATTCGTCATTTGAAAAAAGAAAAAATATTTCCAAACGAAATTTATGATAATTATTAATATTAATACAATTATAAGACAAGAACAAATGAATCTTTTGATTTGATAGTTTCATTCCTCAAACTTAATGCAAATAAAGGCCACGCTTATTTTCTTAGCAAAACAAAACTAAAAAAATCCATGAATCTGAAATATTTTCTATTTGAAGTATTTAATAATTTACGAATTTTGAATTCTAATTTCATCCTTTACGGATACATCAAAAAAATTACTTTTGAAGTCTCCAATTAAAAATTAACCATCTCTCCGCCCTAAGTTTTTTAAATAATTGATCTGAAATTAGATCAAACAGCGTTTAAAAGTTGCAGTTTTTTATGACGGAAATGCTGCCAGAAGAGAATTTAATAGCGTTAGAGAGGAGATTTATATGAAGTCTTTCTAACTTTCGGCGCTACTTTTTGTTTTGGATTCCGCGAGGGAGATTTTTCACTGCCCCGGTGGTGCGATGAGCGAGGCGGACATTCTCTGCTCCTTTGTGCGGCGCTAAATTTAGAAAGAGCGCCGACCATTATATATATTTTTTCCCTTCAAATATACACGCACGCCAGTATTAAATACATACATAAGCTGGCTTTTTATTTAAATGCTTTGCGTATGTATATTTAAAATTTTCTCTATATATTCGGCGGAGGACGTATTGTTGTACTACAATAAAGGCAGAGAGAGAAAGCGAGCTCTCTTTTTCTCCCCTTTGTAATAATGGTCCACGTAGAGAGACCAGCAAAAAAATAAAAAGAGGGCGATGACGCCTCCAGGTTGAACGAAAAACCAACGGCTGAAATGAAAGAGTGAGAGAGAGACGATGATCATTTTCGTAGCGAGATTGGGTCGGAGAACCGAATGAAACGCGCCTAATTAGCAAAAGGGGGATCGAGCGCGCTATATTGATATTGCTCTTTCGGCATGGAGGGTTGCACGACGTCATCATACTGAATGCTCTTATTGTGGGAATAAAAAAAGATTATTAGAAAAAGTAAATTATTTTTCAACAAATATTTAATTATTTATTAAATACGTCTTTTTTAAAACTGGATTTTTATTTGATTTTTCATGAAGATAATTTGATTTAAAAATTTTTTTGAATTCAATATAAATTTACAATAATTTTCTTTTTAAATTAATATTTTACATTTATCAATTATTTACTAAAAATTGAAATCATGATAATTTTAATATGTCTCCAAATTTTATTTTCATTAGGAATAGACGGTGTTTTTTGTAGAGTCTTCATAATTAAAAATAATTCCTACTAAAAAATTTAGAAAAAAATGCAAAAATGAAGCTATTATCTTGATTTTATTTTCTTCCAAACAATTCCTGAAGAAAACTTTTTGCTGGAAAAACTTGACCTGCGACCTTTTCAATAATATTTGAAGCCAAAATAGTGCCCTTTTTAGTGAATAATGACTTTTTGCCGGTCTAGAAAGTTTGGGAGTTTCACTTTTCCCTTAATTTTTTCCTCTCCAGCCAAATGGTTTAGTCCGCTGTATGCCTCTGACGTCGGCCGGGAAAGGGAAAAAAATTACCTGCGGTCTAGCAGCAGCAGAAGCCGCACGAGTGCAGAACAATTTTCCCACCTGCGCTTTCAATAAGCATTTTGCCAGGAAAGCAGAGCAAATCGATGTCAAAATTTAGCCAGAGAGAAGTCTTTGTACTGGGAAAAGGGAAGGACTCGGAGGCAAAACCAAATCAAAGTTGCGCACAAACTTCAGTTGCAGAAGGAAGAAAATTCTGTTTCATGTCTCTTTGAAAGTTTCTGGAGGCAAATAAGGAACGACTTGATTTGATTTCTTCGGAAAATTAATTAGGTCATTCAAAAGAGAATTCCATTCAAGTCTGAAAGAACAAAAGAAAATGCATTTTCCTTATCAATTCCTAAATGTTCCTTGCAACAATGTGCAGAAGTAAGGTTAACAAACCTTTTGGTCAATCAGAGTTGTGCTTTCATTTTTAAATAAGAAATAAAAATACTGTTATAATAATTGTTTTATACAATTTTCATTTTTCCAAGGAAAAAAATTAAACCATTTCCACTTAATCTATTCAAAGAATTCTAAACAATTCGCAATTAAATTTTGGCTGACAATTATTTTGAAAACTTGTACAACTTTTGTTTTTATATCAAATTGCTTCCGGAATTTCTCTCAACTTTTCTAAATTGTTTGCTCACGCGCGTTTTATTTTGGAGTTTTGTGCCCCGAGGGACTTCACTCGCGCCGCTTCAGAACTTGAATTTTTAATGAAGATTGTTTTCAATTAGGAAAAGTGGCTCTTACTTTGAATGCGCTGGAAGTCGTTGCAATTAATTTAGACATGTCGTAATCGCGAAAATCGATATTGAGACATTTTATCAACATGCTGGGGAGGCTGTGTGTGTTTCCTGCAACAGTGTTGCCAGAGTTTACCTGCCGCTTTTCCGCAACCCGTCACTTGCAATCCGCGGCAAAAAAAAACTCGCAGCCATTTCTTTATCTCCGGCTCGCTCGTTAATTGGGAGGAAAAGTATTGCTAGAGGACGGATTTTTAAAATATATTCTCTGCGTCTGATTCAAATAATGAGGGCTTAAATTCTGATAACGGTTGTGAAAAAAACAACCTTATGTTGAAATGTTACAAAGGTACGAATTTTCTGGTAGTAAAAATGAATTGAAATGTTATAAATATGCTAGCAATTACGCTGCATTAATTAAATAAACTAAATTCTCTTTTTCATTATTTTCTTATGTTGTAATATTTTATCTTGTTTGTTGTTATTTCCCATTTTTAGTCAATTAAAAACAAAGCTTTTGAGTATATTCGAAAATTGATCTTTTTCAGGCAAAATAAAATTCTAATGTTTTATATCTCAATTGTCTACTCTTTTCCATGGAAAATAATGTAATATTTGATGGGAAATTTATAAAATAATTCAAAAAGCCCGTCAATCTTCAATAACTTTTAAATATTATTTAGAAACGCCTTCGCTCTTGTATCAGACAAAAATATTATGCTTTGTTGGGCGCTTGAATGGCTGTTGCGGAAATTGGCGCTGCGTTGTTATTGAGTGAGACGCAGGCAATCTGATTTGGCGAGGTGTTGCTGATTAGCGTCGCACACACCTTGACAACACAGAGGGAGAGACGGAGGAGCAAAGGGCTTTTGACAACAGTCTCGTCTTTGGGCCCTCGAAAGACAAAGCGCGGCAACTTGAGCGACAAAAGAAACGGCGAGGCCTTTTAAATGCAGATCGACACTACTGTTTTCTAAATAGTCGTCTAGCTTGTTGAATGCAGTGACTTGCGCCGCCGGCGAATTTAATTGCAGCCCTCCTTAGACAAGAGTTGCAAGCACCTTTTGTCGCACCAGTAAAATCTTGTAATGAGAGAGAGAAATCCAGAGCAAAAGTTGTTAAAAAGATTTAATTGTATGATTAAATTAAAAATCTGGGACTATTCAAATTAAATTTGAATAATATAAGTGTATAATCTAATATCTGGATTTTGATATTTAATTTTTTTTTACAAAGTAAAATTCAAAGAGACAAAATGACAAGATTTTGTTATAAAAAACGTGATTTGTTTTGTCAATTCCTGCAACCGACACGACTCCACTGTCGAGCAAATTGCCTACCTTCGTCTTCCGCAGGCGCTTCAATTTACTCTTTTTTTCCATTGCAGGTACTACCAGATTCGGACTGGCCTCAAAGTGTCCCCAAAGGTGCCGGTTAAAATCGAGGTCAGCCTGCCCAGAGCGCAAGGAGAGTATAAAAGTGAGATTCGAGAGGAAATTTGTCAGATTTGTAAATTAATTTTGACGAATTCAGAGGCTGATTCGGTTTTTCCTGCTTGCGTTGTGAACGGCACCGGCGTGAGCAAAACCTTCCAGATTTTGTACCGAAATGAGGAGGTCCTTCTCGACGACGTCTTCACATTCAGAGTGCACATTTTGGTCGACAGTCAAAAGGTGACAATTTTTTTTTTTTTTTTTTTTTTTTAATTTTAATTTAATATATTTGTCAGATTGAGGAGACTCTGGAGCGAGCAGACTTCCAGCTGATCGTGGAACTTTGGTTCTCGGACCAGACGTTCGCCTCGGATCAACAAACGGCGATCGCCAGCGTCTCTAGTCGCACTTTGCAGCTCAACTTCTCGCCCACGCGGGGCCTCCACTACCACCTGCCAGTGTTGTTTGACTATTTCCACTTGGCGGCTGTCACTCTCACCATCCACGCCAGCCTTGTCGCTCTCCATCAACCGTACATTAAGTGAGCAAAATCATTTTCTATGAATGTGTTTGTCCGAAATTAGACAAATAAAGAAAATTAAATTGTTTTGTTTTTACAGGAAAAGCATCCTACACTATGTGCAAAGTTGGTGAGTAGAAAAATTGCAATGTTTTCTGTTAAAATGAAAAATATAATTAGATACAATTGATTCAGAAAGTTACTTAATAGTTTGTGAAACGGTTTTATAAAAATGTAAGGAATATCGGATTTTTTTGTCAAATACAGGGCAGTAAAATCTTGTAATCAAACTAAGAGTTTAAAATTTATTTTATTTTTAGTGACATTTCCAGAATTCAAATAAAATTAAGTAAACTTTGATTAAATCATTATAAAAAGACGTAACAAAAATTGTAAAAATTTCAGTACTCCGAGATCAAGTAAAACCTGGTTGGGCGGTTCTCAGAAGTTCAATTTTCGGCCTCCTCCATCTTCCAACATGGACACGGTTTTCTTTGGCCAGCTGGTAAACGACTCGGGAAAATTGACCTTTGCGCTTCAATTGATTTCCTTCCTTTTTGCGTCTGCAGAACACGAACAAATGTGTGGGGTCAGGGTCGTCGCGGATCGCCCACGCGCGGCATGTGCACCGTGAAGTGTGCAGCATCCTTTTGGCCTCTTTTGAGGCTCTGCAGTCGCGGCTGCACGAATTCATGCGACTTCTTCCAGCGTGGCAGCAGCTGCGGCTCGAAAAGTCCGACTGCGTCTCCAGGTACGCGACGCTGAGCGAACTCTCAAAGGTAAAAATAAGTTTAAAAAAAATTCCATTTGTTTTGTACTTAATCAAGAGCATGATTATAGTTCTACGTTCATTAGAAATAAAAGGAAAAATGTAAATAATTTTTTAAAGTATTAATTAAAACATAATATTAAAATTAATTAAAATACCATGTTCATGTGCATGAATTAGTTCATGTATTACTTTTGGGAACCTCTTATTGATCCTAAATTCAAATTTTCGGAATGATGTCCAACTATTGTAATTGATAATACACCACTTTAAGTAAAAGAGATTCAAATGTATATAAAAGAAAATTCTGATAAATGATATACAAAATTTCCGATAACAATATTTCTGATATGTGAATTTCTGACCAATAACGGTGACCCTAAATTCTAACTAGCAATAAGAGATTTAAAAAAAGATGCAATGTTTCAACGCCGTTGAAAATTTGGTATCTCTAAACTGTTATTTGTTGGTTGGCAACGAACGAAACGCGCAGGACACGCATCATCGCAGTAATCTTCTGTACGGCACCCACGGGACCCGATCCGCAACGTCGACTCCACCTTGGGAGAGACTCAGGGTAATTTTTCGCATTTTGTTCTTCTAATTTAAAGAAACGCGTTTCGCTTTGCTTGTCTTGTAAAATAACCAGAAATTTTTATACTTAAAATCGACGTTTGCAGTCTGTTGAAGGCGAGGAGGAGTTCGTCGCCCTCGCCAACTCAGACATTGCCCAGTTGTGCGCCGAAAACATTTTACTGTGGCAGCAGTTCTTGGAAGCTTTCAGTTGCAAGGAGCCAGTCCACCAACACTTGGCCAGAGTTCACCACCAATTACGAGTATGATCAAATTAAAATATTTATTTTACAATTTTTTTTTAAACAAATTTTGTTTAAATACCAGAAATTTTTTACAGAAATTATTTTATTTTCAAGGTGAAACGATTCGCCGAGGCGTTCTTCGTCATAGACAACCCTCGGCACAGCGCCGGCGGTTGTTACGACGCTAATTATCAGAGTTACTTGACGGTCAGTGAAGCTGTGAGGCGATCACGGTACCTCGCGGCTCTGCCTCCACTTCCGGTGTCGTGTGCCGAACTCGACGGAGAGCTCACTTCGATGCCAATTATCTTCGAGGATCAGTATCAAGACGTGGCCGAGTTTGCAAGGAGGAGAAGTGGCACTGGCAGAAAGGCGGGCTCTGGTAAGCAACAAAAATTTGTTTTCACAAATTCAGAAATAATTTAAAAAAGCATTAAAGTTAAAAGTAAATTTAATTGTAGATATAGAGAAAAAAATTAAAAAAAAATGGGATAAAATTTAGATTATGATCTTTTTTAAATAGATGATTTATTTATTTATTTTTTGATCATCTAATAATAAATTTCAATTTTTTTTCTCCATATTATCTGTTTTATTTAAGCAGGGGCTTGTTTTATTAAGGCCTGATTTTGATTATAATTTTATTCTGCATTATCATTAGTTTGCAGATTTAAATTCCAAAGAAAAATTTAAATCTTGGAGAGAACTGATTTTTTTTTATTTAAATTTAAATTATTTCTTAGGGAATTTTTATTGAATCATATATTAATTCAAAAGAAATTTAATTTTGAAATTCATTTTAGTATTAATTTTCAATATATTTAATTTTTGCACAAATAATTTGAAATTTGTTATGAAATTCTTTACTTATTATTCTTCTAGCATTCAAATTATTCAATATTCCGTCTTTGCGAACAGACCCGTTCTTGAGCGCCACCGCCAATGACAAAGAGTCGTCGAGCTTGGGTGGTGGCTCTCTGAACGCAATCGCGATTTCGAACCCCACGCCGCCGCAACACACGCCGTCGAGCACCCCCGCCAGCGTGCAAAACTGCACGCAGGGTTCGACGCCGCTGCCCCCCGACGACTGCAGCTGCGGCATCAACGCCATCCTCGAGTCGCGCTCGCAGAAAATCCAGCAAGTGGTCAAAACCGGACTGCAGCCGGCGCCGTCGCTCAACCGGGCCAGACTCCAGCACCAGCCAAATGTATCTTTTGAAAAAAATTATTTGCTCCCGTCGCTCACCATTCTTGCTCAGCACCTTCGCTCCATTCCCGCCAACTCGGCCCCGAACTCGGCCTCGGCGTCCCGAGACGAACTTCTGCTGGCAGAAGCTTTCGCCTCCATCGTCAACAACTCGTCCAGTCCGCAGCAGGCTGGCGAAGTGCTCAGGGCCACCCTGACGCTCACACCCAGGGTCAAACCGTCCGACGTTCTGGACACGAGTACTCTTCCTGGTTTTAGGTAATAAAAATCATCATGATTTTCATATTATTTAAAATAAACTATAAATTTTTTGATTGGATCGACGAAATTTAATCTAAATTTTTGATCATAATTTAATTTAAATAAAACAAAAAGCAAAAGAATAAAATGCTAATTAAGGGGTTTCTGCTAAAAATCAGTCAAATTAATTTTAATGACAATTTTTCTTTACATTGTAATATTGGTTTTTACATGTCAATTCAAAGGAGACTTTGAAAGAAAATTCATTAGTAGAATTTTGAAAACCAAACATAGTTTCTTGTAGAAATTACTTTAAAATAATTATCATCATAGAAATTTCTTGACCAAAATTGATAAAAATTTCATCAAATCAAGTGCAAATCAACCTAATTACACTGAAAAATGAAATCTGTAAGTATCTTAACTCCAAAACTTACATTTTACAGTAAAATGTTATGAATTTTTAGGCCATAATCTGCTGAATTATGCGTTTCTTATCAAAAATTCTTGTATACTTTTCCTCTCAGGAGGTCTTTGCCTTCGCACAGCAAGTCTTTAGACTACCTGAAAAACGGCACTGGTCGCTCTTACCCCACCCTGGTCGACATTCCACCCCCTCTGCCGCCACACGGTCCTCACGAGCCACCCTCCTTGGATCTGATTCCGCCGAGCAGTGCCAGGGTAAAAATCGCCAGGTCGAGGTCAACGCAAATCAGACGTCAACGCAGCGAGGAGGAGAGACTCCTCAGCCAGCTTGCCCTGGTAAGAATTTATTTGACTTGTTTTTTAATTAATTCAATAAGACTTAGAACAATCTTAGAATGACTGCATCTCTTCAATCTAGATGCAAAAAATAAAAAAAGTGGCGTTCATAAGATACAATTAATCAAAGATTGCTGTCATAATAATCAATGCTATTGAAATATAAAATTTATGAAATTGGCGGTTAATTAATAGCAAATTAAATTAGGCTCATCAGCGTGAAAAAGATCTGCGAAACGCTTTGCAACTTGAGCTGCACAAACTTCCGCAGACGCCGACCAACAAGCAACGGCGGCGGACGCCGCCGCCGAAAATGGTGAACGGAGAGAATTCCTCGTCGGACTCGAACGGCCCGAGTTCCGACTCGACGGCGCTCGTCTCCAGCAACAATAGGAAGTTGGAAACGAGCGTCAGCGTCCCGTACTCCCTCAGCGAAACCCTGAGGCATTCCCAAAGCACCATGTCCGTTCCTGCCATTTATTGGAGGGGAATCACTGATCTCAACAGCGAGTCCATGCCTAATCTCGGCACCACTCCCCAGGTACGATTTCAATTTTAATTTAAAGTGAGGCTTTTTTTAAATATTTGAATCACATTGAATAGATTCTATTGCATTCATTCAAAATTAAAGAATTAGAAAAAAAATTATGTTTTGACAGGATTTTTATACTTAAATTGTGGTTCAAAATTTAATTATGTTTCTTTTTAATTAGGTGGAAGTAAACTCTCTGTCGCCTCAATCATCATCACCGCCAACACTGCCACTGTCGGCGCCGCCAATTCCCAGCCCCTCGACGCACAACCCACCCTTCCCGATTTTCCCTCCCACCACCGACCTTCTCCAGCCGGGCGCCCTGAAGAAGAACGAGCAGCTCAGTTCGTCGGCCAGTGACATCACCTCCGAACAAAGCGGGTGGGTGTCCAACTCGAGTAGACGATCCTCCAGGGACGTGTCCAGTGGACAACTGACGCCTGAGGAGTATAACAACAACATCAACGACAATCTGGGAAAGCTGATCATTAACGACACGGCCATGGTCAATGGGGAACAATTAAAGGTAATTTTTTCATAAAACTAGAAAAATTTGTTAGTTTAAAATATTAAAAATATTTTTCAAAATATTTAAAATTTTAAAATTAATAAATGGAATCAATTTTTATATTATTTTTTTAGGCCAAACTAGAGGAGTTGAAACAGTTTAGTGTGAAAATGAGAAACAAAGCGCCCAACACTGCCAAGGCCCTTCTGCAATACCAGGCCAAGCACCCCTACGAAGAGGTGCCGCTGCCACCACCGAAGCAGTTCCGCGACCCGCCCCTATTCGCACCCTCGGAGGACGAGGACGAGTCTGTGCAGAAGCCACCGGTGATGTCGATGCCCAACATTCTGCAGCAGCCGCTCAGAATTCCCAAACTTCCGCCAGAGCAATTCAGAGACTCCCCCGTCAGGAACAACGTGCTGAGAAGACAGATTTCTCAGGTATATGATTTTTTTTATCCAAAAAGTCTTTAATGATATTGAATCAATAGGAAATTTAATTAATTAATATTGATTATAGGGTTAGTCTCAAAATATAGAAAAATTACTATAAAAAAAAATTAATAAAAAATTTGCCACCTTTCAAAGATACTTTTTTACCTAGGCTTTTTTTATAAATATCCATTGCTTTTCTTGTGAGAATTTTTGAAATAATTGTTTATGTTAAATTATTTTTACCATTATTAAATTTGAGGCAAAAATTTTATCTGTTTTCAAATTTCTTTTGCAGCAACTTGAACCTTTCCACGTGTACGAGAGCTTATCGGACTTTGTGGCCATCGAGGGAAAAGTCTCCGCGCTGGCCAGGAAGGCCGACCTGATGCTGCCAGGAAACACTTCGACCCTGCCGCCAAAACTTCCCAACAAGCTGACGCGACTGCCAACGGAGAAATCGGCCACCATCAGCAGACTGCCGGACAAACGCAGCGCCAACCTGTCCGACCCGCAAATCAACAAACGCACCAACCAAAATCTGTCGCCAAAGTACATACAATTGCGAATAATTTTTGTTTCAATTTTGATTAATTCCAATTTTTTCCAGAGCTGACCAACAGAAGACTTGTTCCTGTCCGAGCGACCCCCTTCTGCCGCCCCCGGGGGCGCCCAGCCCCCAACACGTGGCCTGCGAGTGTTTCAAGGAGAACAAACCGGCCGAGGCCCCTGCAACGCCCAACGTCAATTCTTCACCCAACAATGGAGGCGAAACCATCGAGGACTTGCACAACAAACAGCAAAAGGCTGGCACGGTGGAGGACGACGTCCTCAACTTCCTCAAGTACAAAGAAGACTTCAAGCGACAGATGAACTTCTCAGGAATGCTGTGCAGGTGAGTTCTCTTTGTTCAAAGTTTTTGTTTGTGAAAATTTCCCTTGTCTAATTTGAAATAAAATTTATTTGTTCACTTTTCGTCTTGAATATAATTTTGTTTATTTTAAAACTGAGATTTTGTTGTTTGAAACTTTAAAAAATATTCAAATTTACACAAAAACTTGGAAATTTGCTTCAAACAGAATGTTTCTTCCTTGTACATATTCCAAACATTACACTTACATGCATCAATCACGCACTGTTTTGATGGAGTGTTTTTTTGTGCCGACGAAAACACACAGAATAATAATGCGCAACACGAATTTCTCTCTCTTTTCTCCGGCACTGCTGACGCGTAGCTCTATTATGGATCACAGCGACTTTCCCACCCTCGCGTCCACCCTGCCGTACTTCCACATCAGCGACGAGTACCGGATCTTCTCGCCCGAGGGGCTGCACCTCATCGTGTGCGTGCACGGCCTCGACGGCAACTCGGCCGACCTGCGGCTCGTCAAGACATATCTGGAGATGGGACTGCCAGGCGCCAACCTCGAGTTTCTCATGTCGGAAAGGAATCAGGTCTCAAAAAATTAGTTAAAATAAATGCTAAAAACCTATATCGTCATGAATAAATCTTAAAAAAAAAGCTAAATAAATAAATTTGTCATTTACATTTTGGAATCATAAATAATGAAATTAAAATTTACAAAAAAAAAATTAAATTATAGCAATTAAATTTTAATTTATTTAATTTTTCTTTGAAATTTTTTATAACTTTTAAATTCTCGTTTTCAAATAAAAATGTAATTAGAAATTTGAATTACTAAATTTTGTTCTTTCTCGTCTCCCAGGGTGACACGTTTTCAGACTTTGACACTATGACTGATAAGTTAGTAGCCGAGATTTTGTTCCACATCGGTGCTTGCAGCCTGAATCCGGCCAAGATCAGCTTCATCGGCCACTCCCTGGGCAACATCATCATCCGCTCAGCTCTCACCAGGCCTCAGATGAAGCCACTGCTCAGCAAATTCCACACTTTTCTCTCTCTGTCCGGCCCGCACTTAGGCACCATGTACAACTCCAGCGGCCTCGTCAACATGGGTCAGCAAATTAAATTAAAAGAAATAAATTTTTTTCATTATTTTATTTTGTTAGGCATGTGGTTCATGCAGAAGTGGAAGAAGTCGGGGTCGTTGCTGCAACTTTCGCTGAAGGACTCGCCGGACGTGCGGCAAACCTTTTTGTACCGGCTGAGCCAAAAGTCCAACTTGCACTGCTTCAAAAACATTCTGCTCTGCGGCTCCAGTCAGGACCGATATGTGCCGCTCCACTCCAGTCGCATCGAGCTGTGCAAAGCCGCTGTGAGGGACACCACGGTTCAAGGTAAATCACAAAAAAAAATCTGAAATTTTACTATTTTTGTTTTATTTTATAAATAACAAAGGTTCGTATAGTTTTATAAATAATGAGAAATTATGTGAGACAAGCCGGTTGCCTATATCTGAAAACTGCAGGCGCTAAGTGAATCCAGAGAATTATTGTTTATTTATTTTGCTCCTTAACTAATCGAGCCTTTTTTTACAAAAGCCTCTCCTTAAAAATGAGTGTTTATTTTATTAATAGACTGTTTTAGTGAAGTTTGGAACAATTAGGTAGGTTTTTACTATCGCTGAAATAGAGGACAAAATGATAATAAATTTGGATTAAAAAAATTGGGGACAATATGTTTTTCCTTAATTTTATTCCATTAAAACATTGATTGTACTTTTCATTCTAGATTAATATTTTCATAAGATTATTCGATTTAAATTAAAAATTAATAAAGAAATTAGGAAAAAATTGTAATAAAAAGATAATCAAAATATAAAATCTCTTCCTTATGATTTTTCTATTTATTTAATTTTGTTAAACTTATTACCTTTTTTGACAAAGGTGCCGCGTATCGGGAAATGGTGCACAACATCCTGACGCCGATCATCAACAAGCCGGAGGTGACGTTTGTGCGGTACGACGTGCACCACGCGCTGCCCAACACGGCCAACTCGCTGATCGGCCGCGCCGCGCACATCGCCGTGCTCGACTCGGAGCTCTTCATCGAGAAGTTCCTCGTCGTCACCGGACTCAAGTACTTCAGATGAAAGGACGAACGCCGCCGAAGCAAAAGTGCTCCCCCCACCCCCAACCTGACCACGCGTCCCCCAATGCGTCAATCCTTTCACTGTTGAGTGCGAATTCCGCCGAAGAAAAAGTAAAAAAAAAGTGACAGATATCGACGTTTTCGTGTTTCCTCCCGAGAAATTAACTGAGACCAAAAACTTACACAATTCTCTTTTGGTTGCTCAAAAATTTTCTGCAAAAGGAAAAAGAAGACACCAAAATTTAAAAAAAATCCAATCTCTTAAATTGTTTTCTCGTTTGAAGGAAAAAATATGTTAAAAATTAAATGTAACGCATTTTTCATTCTTGTCCTTTCTGGAAAACCAATTAAAGTATGAAATGTTATATAGATTTACTAACGGAATAAACAACAATAAGTGTAAAACCCAGATATATACGGAGAGCTTAGCGCTGAATCGACAGAGCACAACATACAGCTGTTTTGAACGGAGAAAGAAAACCTCGAATCTATTTTGACTCGGTATTATATATACATGTAAACGTGACAACTTTTGACAAAAGAGATTAATTATTATGAGAAAAAAAAATGTGTATTTATGGATAAAAAAGTTGAAAAATATATTTCGTAAAAAGATGCATAATATGTAACGTCGGTATACATTCGTAGGCGTTTAAAATTTTAACAAAAACATTTCCAGGATGTAAAATTTGAAACGACGAAAAAACGGCAGCACAAAACTTCCCTTTAACAGACAAGCAGATTTGAACTGAAAATAAAAAATACGCAGGAATTTGAAAAAAAGGAGCCGGACAGGTTTGACCAAAATTTCTTAGAGTAAATTTGTAATTTCTTCCCATAAATAGTGGAAATTAAAAAAAAAATAAAGCTACGAAAGTGGTGCTTATTTTTTAAATTATACTTTTTAGATAGAAATGAGCCTAATTTAAAAAATGGTTTCCTAATTTGCTTGATAATAAAATTATAATTTTGTTACTACTGGATACGAATTTAAAAATGCTCAACTGCAATAATGCGATTTCCTTCGGTCAAAGCTCAAGGTTTTATCACGTCGCATCCAAAACTTGAAAGAAGAAATTTTTAAAGCATCTCAAAATTGGAAAAAGCGTGACTTCCTCTCTCTCTCACACATACTTGTACTGCTTAAAAAATTATGACAAAGTTTTTTGAAAAGCTCAAAAACTTACGTATATCTCGTACTAATTATGTATCATTAATTAATTACTCATTAAAAACACAACACACTTTAACCCGAAAACTAACGTTACCGAAACAATTTTATATTGGTGGTCGTTTGATGAAACAAGAAAAAATAATATAGAAGATAATTTTAAAAGAGAGCGAATGCGTATGTTATTGATTGGTTATTGTATTAACAAAAAAAATGTATAATATTAATTATTATTTGCAAAGTAGGATTTTTGACAAAAATCAATGAGATTGGTATAAAAAAACTAAACTCATACGCAACCTCTTGCTGTGATTCACAACCGATTACCACTGATTACATGTTGGACGACCAGGCATGGGATACGGTTGAAGACGGAAAGGAGCATTGACAACATTTTATTACAGTTTAATAAAAATCTGTCAATCATTGTAACACCTGCGTTTTATTCAAATACACCTTGCCAAATATATTTTGCAATTATCAGAACAATTAGGAAATTTAAAACCATTTTAACAAATATTTTCACTATCATTAAATATGAGAATATTTTTGTAATTTTTTAATTTGGCTGAATTGAGAACAAATAAATAAATTATTACGCCAAGCATTCAGTTCCGCTCTTCAGTACTTCGATGCAAGTTGCATAACCTTAGAATAAATCATTATTTTTATTATTGTTGTTTATTGTTGCATCACATTGTTTACCTTCAGTTTTCGAAAACAATTTATTAAAAAAAAAAAGATTTGCTGGGAAAAACCGCACCAACTCTAGCAAGGATTTTACTAAAACTTCTCAGATCAAAAAGACCCTAGCTGCTGTAGTGAGCCTTGGTTGACTTGGTTTTTGTTATTATTTACTTAAGATAATTTTTCACAAAAAAGAAAAAAAGATTACAACTTAACTGAAAAAGTTATCATTGTGGCGCGAGATCGCAAAACCAATTAATTATAATTATAATTAAAAATTTGCTCTAAAATTTATAATTGCACTGAATCGTAAATCTATAAATAAACAACATTCTAAAAGCAGAGGAGGCCGAATTTTCGTGCTCGCTGAAATATTAAAATATTAAGCCCAAACAATTATATTAAATTGCCACTAATAAGTCCTAAATAAAGTAAAAAATACTCGGGATTAATTGAAAACTATGGCAACGGTCATTATTTCAAATTGTGAGTTAGCAAATCTCTATCAACTTGATGGTGCTTGAAAATAATATCATATGAGATTATCGTCTGTATTCAGCTCGACGTGGGCTGGCTGGACCAGTCCATATGTGACGTGCGAATTCTGGAAATTAATATTGAGAGGAAACGAGGAAAGTATCAGAGATCAAATCATCATTTCACTTCGAGCAGTCCTACAGGCAACGCGCGCTTTAGTCAACTCAGATTTCCAGGTAGATTTTCAAGCAACACTGTTTGCTAAATTTTTTGTCAAATTGATTTTTTGATTGAAATTTCAAAAAAAAAAACCTGCACTATATTTTACATTATTTTTTTTTTAATAAAAATTAGATGTAAATAGTCATAAACTTTATAATTTTATGTTATGTTTCTTTAAATAACTTATTCCCAAATAAGTAGTTTTTAATTTTTATGATATTTTAGATTTTGATCATTACCAAAAGTTCAGAGGTGGCTAATAGATTTAAAATTTCCATTAAATTTGTTTTCTTTGCAAGATAATCAATGCTAACGTGCGTATTATAAAATAAAAGTAAATAATTCCTAACAAATTTGTATGTTCACAGATTTGAGAAATGTCTCTAGGCGTAGAGATCCTGATAGTTTTATTGTACATCGTCTTGGTTGCGTGCATTATTTGGTGCGACATTTGCACTGAGGAATGTTGCTGCTGTTGTTGTCCGATCTGTGAAGTCGACCAGGAGGTCGATAGTCCCAACACACCTCGTCGAGATGTTCAACTGCAGATAATTGTGAGTTTTCTTTTTAAATATTTGGGAAATATTTAATTTCTATTAGGATAGCTTTATATTTTCAGATTTTTAAATCAATATATCAGCATCGATGAATTTTTAATTTAATTTTGTTTCCATTAATTTGTTTGCAGGAAAGCAGAGACTGTGCAGAACCTTGTCAGATCCATGGAGCAGCCCGCAGCTTTTAATGGCTGAATAAACTTTATAACTTTTTCGCTAAATTTCAAATAAATAAAAAAAAATCAGTCAATTATTGTAAAACCACGTGGTTTTGTTTAAATTAATCCAGCAACTTTTCTTGCATTCGGTTAATTAATATCAGAACTATGAAAAGTATATTGAATTTTGCCCTAAAAAGGATCTAAAATTAAATTATTAATTAATGGATTATTTTAGAAAGCCAGAGATGTTGAAATTAGTGCTTAACTTTCAAGCACGCTGATTTATTTAATATTGAATTGCTTTACACCCGAACGATATTGTTGATAATGCAAATAATTTCTAACTGAATAAAAAAATACTCAGAAAACAGATTCATTGAAAACTATATGATAACGATCGTTATTTCAACAAAGGAAAACTGTGTATCATGAAATTTGCTTCAGAGGAAAATCCAATAATCTGATTGCAAATGATATAAAATTGTGTCTATTTTCCGTTCAATGGAGGCTGGACTAGTCCATGTGTGACGTGAGAATTCTGGAAATTAATACGAGGGGAAAGTATCAGAGATCAAATCATCATTTCACTTCGAGCAGTCCTACAGGCAACGCGCGCGCCGAAGTCAACCCTTGTTTCCAATTTTAATTTGTAAGTTAGTTTTTTCCTAAACTATTGTTCTTTGTTCATTCTTTTAAGACGTTTCTTAATTTATTTTTTACAATGAAAAAAATTAAGAACGTAATCAAAAAGTTAAAAATTTTATACGCAAGGTGTTTTTGAATCGTTTAACAATTTCTATATTTTAAATTTCACTAATTTTTGTTATTATAATATGAAAAATGTTAACCTTCAATAAATTAAAATTATATTTCTGATAGAATTGAGAAATGTTCATGGGAGCAGTGAATGCCATTCTACTTTTTGTGTTCCTCGTCCTGATTGCGTGCATAATTTGCTGCAATATCTGGACTGACGACTGTTGCTGCTGTTACTGTCCAAGCGGCGACAGGGAGGACAATAGTTTCGGCTCATCATATCGAGATGTTCACCTGCAGATAATTGTGAGTTTTCCTTTTAAATTTAGTGTCTTGTTCTCACACTATTTTGAAATAATGATAATCTGGAGTTTGTAATTTCCATCATGCCGGTTTTCATAGTGTCTCTGCTTCGTTATAATTGCAGGCTGTCGGCTATAAAGGTTAAAATCAAACTTTATTTTTTAAACGGAGATTGACGAATAAAAGTTTATAAAAATATTTAGGGAAATTTTTAATAATTTAAAATTTACAATAGTCAAAATTATGATATACTATGTTTTAATTTGTAATTAATATATCAGTTATCAATCGATTTTTTAATAATTTTGTTTGCATTTCTTTATTTGCAGCCAAGCAGGGACTGTGCAGAACCTTGTCAGATCCATGGAGCGGTCCGCACGTATTAGATAAACTTCGTAACAAAAAAAATAAATTCTAATTTGCGTGAACAGAATTTGGTTTTTTTGACACTTGACTCTACTTTTGTGCAGTTCCAATCAATGTATTAAATGAAACAGGTTCGCAGAATTCCTTGTCATCATCACTTTTCTATATTGGCAAGAAAGAGAGCGTGATATCAAAACGCATCTCATGTTTCCCTCCAATCAGAACAGGTATTGATTGCAACACACTTCTCACCTACTGGACTGCCAAAAATAATGAGATTTTGACACTGTTGACTATCAAATTTCAGTGTGTAATATTTTTTGGGTGTTATTTACTTTAGCCAGAGAAAATAAAAACCAATTTAACATTAGCAAAATTGTGTCTTTAATAAATCCTTACGAATAAACTACACCGCTAACACAAATATTTGTTGTTCAGCATGAAAAATCACATGTATGTATATAATTTTTAGTTCTGTGAAGTAAAAACAAGTGCAACTGTCAACGCAAGTAATAAAAATTTAGTACAAAGCTATGGCACACTTTAAAATATTTGTTCCAATTAATTATGTAAAATTTTAATAATACTCGAGTTGCACTGGTAAAATTATTGAATTATGAACATGTAAGCTTGAGCACTCATTTAAACTTGTGTTAATCCGAACATGTCTAAAGTAGACTACGCACAAAATATAATATGTGAAAAGTGGCCAGCTCCAACCTCAGAGTGTATTTAAATTCTTCTTAATTTTAAATTCTAATTTTGCTTTTTACAAAGTGATGTTCCCATTTTAAAATTATCCGAGGAATGATGTAAAAATATACAAAGAAAGGACGACACTTACAGAGGGAGGGGCCTAAGAGTACTGCTTGACAAAGTTCAGGTGGAATTCCTTGAATTTCTCCAACATGAACTTGAGTTTTTCGGGCATAGGCAGAATTGTTGTCCTGAAATTTAATAAAATTCAGCGTCAAAACGCTATTTTATTAAGATAATCTACCTGAAGTGATATGTTCCTGGAATTTGACCAAATCCTGATCCCGGAACGATGCAAATGCCGGTGTTTTCGAGCAGTTGGAAAGCGTAGAAAGCATCAGGCGCCTGTCCCAGCTCTTTAGCCTTCGCAACCGCCTTTTCGGGGATGGTGATTTTGGGAAAGGCATACATGGCTCCCTGGTAACAAAATGTTCAAAAAATACACCTTCTTCCGGATTAAATCACTTACTTGTACTGGATTGCTCTGAATTCCGTCGATGCTGTTGAAAGTATCGGCGACCATTTTGGCGCGAAGGGCCAGTGAATCCAGCACTGCCTTTTTCTCCTGCTGGAACTTTTCGTACGAAGGCTCGCCGGGCTGTGGTGGGTTCACGACACAGTCCATCGTGGCCTAAAATGATAACAGTGTAAATTGGAAATTTCGAACAAAATTTTTACACACCTGGCCAAGAACTGTGGGACAAAGCATGGCGGAAATGCTCTTCAAAAGCATTGCACGGACGTCAGGGTCGAGGTTGATGACCTCAGAGTAGCCTCCTCTGAGGCCACACTCGCCCATGTAGCCCTTGGAACAGGACATGAAAGAGGCCAACTCCATCTCACTGTACGGCTTGCCGAGTTCCGTGAGCACCTTTTTGAATGAGTAGAACTTGCTGCCTTCGGCGTAGACATTGTCTTGGTACACCTAAAAATATTCAAAACATTCTTTATTCCTCAAAACTAAATAATATTATTTAAAATGAAAATAGATTGGAAAAGATTGAAATAATAAGATTATTATATTTAGAAGTCAATTTTAGATTGCCATCTTGATTGGGGTGATTTGAGCTTAGTTTGTAAAAACTTTTATTAAATTTACAGGTATCAATTTTTTGAAAAATATTATTTTAGAAAATTCTTTTTAAGTATAAAAAAATTTGATTTTTAAATGAATTTAATTTATCGCATGATTTAAAGCTACAAACTAATGCTAATAAAATTAATTAACTTTATCAACTATTAAAGGAGCCGTTTTTTTCAGCAGAAGCACAAAGAGGAGATTCAATTTTAATTAAACTCGTACCTCATCAGCAAAAATGAAGAGCTTCTCCTTGTAAGCAAACTTGATGACGTCCTCGATGTTTTGCCTGGACAAAACTTGGCCTACAATAATTAAAAACAATTATTTTTACCAAATGGAAATAAATCTTTTTTCATACCCGTTGGATTTCCCGGATTGATGATGACGATTGCTTTGGGATTGCAGCATTTCTTGGACTCTTCGTAGGCTCTTTGCAGCTCTGGAATGTCCAAAGCCCACGCGTTGGACTCGTTCAAGTAGTAGCCGACCTGGTGCATGTCGAACTCTGCGATGGTGGCCGAGTACAACGGGTATTGGGGGATGGGAATCATCACGCCTGGCTTCTTGCCACCCTCCTCTTTCACCAACAACTTCATCACAGCCTGAATTTCAAATTAAAAATTAGTGTTAATAGTAATAAGAGAATATTATTTAAAAAAAAAAACCTAGAAAAAAAAGCATTCAAGATCCATAAATAGTGTTTCTGTGGCGTTAATTATCTATTAACTGTTTATTTTAATTTTAAATTTCTTGAAGCGAATTAAAATAAAATTTATAAATAAAATAAACCTTGATTCCGTCGGAGGCTCCGGCACAGAGGGTGATGTTGTTCCAGTCGCAGGGAATTCCTCCGTCGCGGCGCTCAATGTACCTGGCCACGTGCTGCCTGATGACCTCGATGCCTGGCGAGTCCGTGTACGAGCCGACGCTGCTGCCTCGACAGCCGGCCAGAATCGTCCGGGCCCGCTCTTTGGCGTCCTCAGGGAACTGCGGCGACTCGAGCAGGGGAGGGTAGGCGACCAGGGCCAGCACTTGCCGGATGAAGGTGATCGGAACCTGGCCCATGGCGTGGCAGTCGCCGATGTTGGCCTTGATGACCTCGGTGAAGGGCTTCTTCACACCCTGGGAACAAAATCGATTGATTGGTAATTCATAATAATAATTGCAAAAACAAATCTTTTCATAAGTTAAGTTGTTTCTTGTTTAGAAATAACTAAAATAATCTTTATAGATTTTTATGATTTGATTTGAATATTTATAAATTAAAATTCCTTGTTATTAAAAGGTTGTACTTTATTTTTTCAAAAATGGTACAATTAAAATGGATAAAATTTTCATTGAACCAATTTCATATTTATATCAACCCAATTAAAAAAATCGTACCTTGACCTCAAAATTTTTAATAGAGCTGAAGGGAAATGTGTTTGTAAAACTTTATTAAACAGCAAAAACACCGGAATCTCTTCATTAGAAGATTTTTTTTTTTTAAATATAATTTAAGTTTAATAAAAAAATTTCTATTTAGAATTTTAAAAAAATCGGATATTTAATTGAACACTACAGGAGAATTGATTTCAATTATTCTTGACAATGATTTATTTTAGGCCAAAAATTGTATTAAATTTTAATATTTTAATTTAAGAAATGCTGATTTAAGTCACTCAGCTCTGAATAGTTCTGCATTTTGTCTGCACCCTGTTATAATCCGACTTTAATTTGCGTTCAATGCAGGATTATTTAATTGTAAAGCAACGGGTTTTAGCCAGATTTGCATTATAATGGTGGCTTTGTCGTCTCGTGATGACTCGCAGGCCTTGGTTTTAATTTCGGTGGCACTTATTTTGGCCTCGCGTTTGATAGGGTTAATTCCAATGTCAACAGCACAAGAAGTGGCATGTGATCGCCCCTGCTGTTTACTCTCCATAATTAACAACGCTCTTCAGAGCAATGCACAAAACAAGCGAGTCGACGCGTTGTGCATTTAAATAAATTTCCCAACACGCCCTCGCGTTTCGCAAAGTTAAAAATAAAACTAGAGCGTTTCCGTGTTTTTTCTTTTTCTACGCTTGTCTTTTGTCTCAGTTAATTCAAAATAAACTGCTAAATTTTTGGGTTTCAGTGAGGAAAAAAATCGATTTAAAATTACAAGACGAGACGCGGAATTCGAAACAAATGAAGTGGCTGTTGAAAATTCTTCGTGTTCGGCACGCAAACCAGAATTAGAAAGAAGTCAAGGACGGCCAAATTGCCCATTAGAACGATCACGGCTTTTGATTAATGGTGTCGCGACGAGCGGGGGTGGTCGATTTGTTAAGAGTCGAACCCAAATAAATGATCTGAAAAAGTAGCTTTTTGACAAGATATTTTAGAATTATTTTATTAAATTAGAAAAAGAGAAAGGTTTCAAATCGGTTAGCAATGAAACATTTTATCGTTTTCATAAATATTAGTTTTTAATTTTAACAAAAAAAATTATTTATTAAAATTGTTGCCACTTCAGTTTCTTCTATATTTATTTTGTTTTATATTTAAATTATTTTTAATTTTCATATGCAGAGATTAGAAAAATACTGATTTTAGTATTTTTGTTCAGCAGCAATTAAAAAAATCTTAAAGAAAAATAAGTTTTTTTTTTACTGAAATAAAAGTTTAAAAAAAATTATTAAAACAAAAGGAACGCAATTTTATAACTTTTATTCCTATAATTTTGCAGTTTTAATAATTTTTTCCAATTAGTATTTCAAAAATTTAATTTAAATATTAAATTGCATAGAAATCTGCGAATAATTAATAGATTTTTCCCTGATATGAAACAAAATCTTGAATTATTTTTAATGAAACCACAAAATATTTAAATTAAATAGCTGCGTATAGCGACAGAATAATTGATCGACCTGTGGCCTTGATCTTGGTCGACCTTGGTGGTAAAAACACGGCTTGTGAGTCCAGCCGAAATAACATTTGTATAAAATAAGTACGACGGGGGCTTGTCTCTGGGCAAACAAGACACAACACCATGTATAGAAAGGCTTAAAAGCTGAATCCAAAAAAGCAAACATGGTCGTTTTTATCAGAGAAAGGGAACGTTTACTCGCCGATAAGCACTTCCAGCTGTGCCTTTTTAATTAAGGCAGCCAAGTGGAGAATGAAGAAGTGATGAAGCAGCTCAAGTGGACAATGAAGGAGCATTCAAGTGATCAATTGAGGAAATCAATTAAACTTTCACTCATTTAATAATTTAAGAAAATTAATTAAAATTAAAATCAGAAGTTCATTAATCGGAATAATTGCTTTAAAATGTTTTGCAGAAGGACCGGGAAAATTTAGATTGAAATATATAAATAAAATCATTAAAGAGAAATCATAGTTGACAAATTCGTCATTGAAGCATTAAAGTATATTTTTATTTTCAGAGAGAAAGCGTGTCCTGAGGCAAAAATAAGTAAAGTCGCGGATAAACACAAAAAAAGAATAATTCTAATTATAATTTTAAAATTAAAACAACATTTTTCTTTTCTTTTCATTTTTTGTCATAATTGATGACTTCATTTAATTTAGGGATGTTAATTAAAAGTAAAAGAGTTGAAAGACTCATTTGAATTGGGCCGAGGAGAGTAAATCGACCTTTGAAGCTCTACTAATTGAATCAGATTAATTAAAGCAAGCCACTCAAGAGCTATTACCAGGCCAGTAGGGCCATCTGCAAATTTTTGACACACGCGAAAGTTGCAAAAAATTATCTGTAAATTAAATTGAATTCCCAATTTTTTCGTTTAATTTATTACAATTTAAATTCTAACGGAAATTTATTTTATTTTTTATCTCCATTATTTTTGAACAAACCTGTTGCAACTCTCGCTCGATCTCGGTGGCCCTGATGACGAGCGGGCCACGAACCGCGTACTCCATCGTCTTGATGCACGGGTTCATGTTGTCCAGGGTCAGGCATTTGCAGTCTCCGGACGCCATCGTGGACATTGCGGACACGCTGCTGCTCCAACAAGTAGTCTTCCGCTCGACGGCCCGCCTGTTTCTGCTCGGGCCCCCCAAAAGAAGGCCCCGCTCAGCTGCGGCCACGCCCCCTCCGCCCCTCACGCCCCCTTGCAGGCATCTCCGAAGACCAAGCATAGCTGCCCTGCGCGACGAATGCGCCGTCCCTGAGCCGACTCGGCCGATGATTCGACGCGCCCTTCGCCCGCCGACGCACCTCGAGCCCTGCCCGACGCCCTCGCAAGCGATCTTCGACGCCCGGCACCTCCTGTTGCGACGTAAAGGCGAGGGTGCGAGCACCGAGAGCAGAGGTCGAACACTTGAATGACACCTGCCGGTGGTAACTGGAACTAACTCCATCGGAGAGGGGGATGGGGTTGAAAGGGCAAAGTTTGCCCCGAAACCGCGCGAAAAGCAATTCGCAAATGACGAGAATTCGTATTAAATTTTTATTCTAATTTAAAATTAAGTATTTTAATGTTTTTATTATAAAACTGTCAGATCAATTTTAGAATTAAAAAATATTACAAACTTATTTATTAATAATTTATTAGAGCCGTCTCAATGAATCCTCTATAATATAAAATTTTTGGTGGTGAAACAATTAAGAATATAAAATTTATAATTTAAAAAACAATAATAGAATGTATCAAAAATTGTTAATGCGACTTGTACATCTTTCCAAAAATTTTTTTTTTATTATTATTTAATTAAAACTTGTCTTTTTTTTCAGACGATTATAGATTTTCCTTACAAAGTGTTTTGCTTATTTTTTTATTTAAATCACTTCTGTCATATATTTGAAGACAATGAGAACAAAAATAATAACCTTATATTCATTAATTTCAATCACAATTCTTTACTTCAATTTAACTTGAAAAAGTATTATAATGATAATTAAGGACATTAAAATTTTATATTTTTTATTGTCATTTTTATAAAAAACAAAATAAAAATTTACAAATTTATAAAAAAAATCAATAAATGAAAGGAATCATTCTGTAAGGAACAGCTTTTGTGTATTTATGCCAGGCAGGGCCGTACTTTGCCTGGCACTTGTCCTCGTCTCGATAGACTCGGTGCACCAAAAGGGCGAGCAAGAAGAAGAAGTAAAGCATGGACGGAATGGGTCCGTGTCCGAAGGCAGCGGGCACTGTCCAGAAAAACGTGCAGAGCAGTTCGAATGTGTAATTTCCGTGCCGAGCGACTCCCCAGCAACCTGAGGTTAGAAGGGCACTTTCTCGAGCCGCGCCTGTCGCGTCCACGTACGGGGCGGGGATGAAACTGACGGGACGACTCCACAGACGAGGCCTACTGTCACTGCCTTTGCCCGCCTTCCGCTCTTTTGAATTCCACCACGTTGCAAATACCTGCAAGAAAAATAATAATTATAAAAAAAAAATGACAAAAAATTGCTTTAAAAATTATTGATTTGATTGAAACAAGAACATAAAAGCATTTTTCTGTGAACACTAAAAATAATTTTAAAATATGTTTGCAATCGTCATTTTGTAATTGAACGACTATTTAAATAAAAGTAAAAATATGAAATTTATAGAAAAAAAATTTAAAAATCTTAAAATTTATTTTAATAATTGTTAATAAAAAGATGATTTTTTTTTAAATTTTTAATATTATTTCAAATACAATAATTTAATAATACCTGTTTTTCGTAGTCTATTCGGTAGTTGACAAGGACGCAGGCTATGCCGAGCAACAATGCCACATTGGCAGTGCCGGTGCTCATTGTTGAAGGAAAGGCAACCTGGTGGTACGAGTGGAAGGTGTACAGGACTGGCACCCAAACTAGGCAGCCCCAGCACAAGTAATAGCCGGCGCGGTCGTAGGTTATGTCGAGGGTGTTGAAATAGCCTGTTTCCCAATGAAAGAACTTGGCCAGGTAGATGGTCTGCAGAATTGCAGAGGTCATTGCACCTGCAACTCCGTCTCCGTTCCGCCATTGCGTCAACACGAAGGCAATTACCAGCACCTAAATTTTTATAATTTTAACACTTTAAAATAATTTAATTTAAAATTTTCATGAATAATTTATAATTCAACATTCGTTAAATTTTTTATACATTTTTGAGCCAGTTTTAATTAATTATTTCTGCCCTATTCTATCTCTTTCATCATATTTTGACTAAAATTTTTAGTATTAAATAAATAAAAAGTAATTAATTTCTCGTTTTATACACTAACCTGCCATAGCATGAGGCCAATGCGGCAGTTTGTTAGTTGCTTGACGTCGCACCCGAAGAGCTTCGGATGTAATTCGCAACCGCGATAAAAATCGTAGAGCAGAGGATTACGCGACTTTTTCTTTCTTCTACCATCAAACAGAAGCCATACGCACAATGCAAATGCCACGATGTTGAAGCAGCCCAAAATTTCTGGCACGTTCTCATAAATGAGATGAGGTAGGTCTGGAAAAATTAACTAAAAAAAATTGTTAAAAAAAAGGAAATAGAATTTATATTCTAAAATTTTTCTTTGCGACCAAAATCTATTTGAATAAGAAGAAATAAATTTAATTGATGAAAATGCAAATTATAGAGCATGGTGTGTTAGATTGTGTGCGCCCTTGAACTTGAACTTCGTCTCCCAAGCTCTGATTGCGTGATTGTTGGTCAACGAGTCGTTATATTAATTGGATGAATGGCCAGAGACAAAGAGTAGCTTTGGCAGAATCTTAGATTTTGATTAGATAATTTGCATCTATAATAAGAGGCAGCTGCTTTTCTTCAAACAAAAAGACATGAAAATCTTTTGAGATATATATAAATTGCACACAAGATAAAAAAAATTGACACCTGCGTTCTCGTGAAAAAAGATTGATCAATTAAAAAAATTTGATAAAATCCCAACAATGGTTTTGAAATCTATGATAAAATATAAATACCTGAACGAGTATGAAAGATATGCTTGTTACAGTGTAGTAAAGAAAGCCATTGGCTTTGTACGGAGGTCGATAACCTTCCGGAGTGGCAGGGCCGATAAAGGTTTTCCCAGGCACCCACAGGCCCACCATGGCCCAGAAAATTGAAAATGTGACCTATTTTAAAAATAAAACTGTCCATTGAAATTTAATTTAAAAATTCAAAAAAACTCACAAATTTCCAAGCAAATGCATTGCCGCAAATACTCTTGCACTGATTCAAGTCTAGCGGGCACGGGGACTGGCCCCTTCCGATGGACACTAAAACTTGCACTGCCCCCGTGAAGAGCAGAAGAAAGAGGGGAGGCACCACTTTAAACCGAACAAAGTTGTAAAATGTGTTGGACTCGAGGGCCCCCTTCTGCTGCTGCTTCCGTGACATTGTCCCGCGCCAAATGAATGAAAATTTCTGCCTCGCCGCACGACGGGATGTAATCTAATCAAGCGGCACCGTTTGTTGCCTTCATAAAACAAAGCAATTCAGGTTCTACCATAAATTACACTTTAATAAATAATAAAAAAATTAAAATTATGGAAATTTTTTCTAGAAAAAAATCGGTCAAAATCAGTTAAAAATATTTTGATTTTATAAATTTATTTTTCCAAGACAATTTCAGTTTTAACAAAAATATTCTCTCACTTTGAGATATAACAATAAAAATAAGATCTGCTCTGAGGTACATTTTTATAAAGGCACGTAATGATATATATTATTTTATAAATTTCTGATTCCGATTTTTGCGCAAGATCCACAAGTCATGGCATTTTGTGAGCAATGGCACTTTCATTTTACAAAGAAAATTCAATTTTAGTAATTGACGATTTTCTTCACAGCTTCAAGGCAGCGCCACTTGGTGGGCAAGTAGAAAGGCTCGAAAATGTGAGGGAACGGCGTATCAAAGCCTGTGACCCTTGTGACCGGCGCCTCTAAATGCAAGAAGCACTCTTGCTGGATTGTGGCTGCGATTTCAGCTCCGAAGCCGCAAGTCAGCGGCGCCTCGTGGGCCACAATAACCCTACCTGTTTTTCTTGCCGACTGGCACACCGTTTCTTTATCCCAAGGCAAAATCGTCTGCAGGTCAATGACCTCACAGTTAACCTTGAGTTGCTCCTTGGCCAGTTTGGCCACTTCCAACAAAACGTGAATCTAGAAATTATTTCAAAATTTAATTTTCGTTTAAAAAAAATTATTAAATATACCTGAGTGCCCCAGCCAATCAGGGTGACATTGTTGCCAGAGGCTAGCACTTGAGCCTTGCCCAGGGGTAACGTGTAATCAACCTTAGGCACCATTTCCTCTGCAGTTCTGTACAAAACTTTGGGCTCGAGGAAAATGCACGGATCCGGATCTCTAATGCAAGCCAAGAGAAGTCCCTTGGCGGCAATAGGGCCTCGAGGGACAACCACTTTCAGTCCTGGGGTGTGCGCAAAATATGCCTCTGGACTCTGCGAGTGGTAGACGGCGCCGTGTCCGACAGCACTGCATGGAGACCTTGAAAAGGGAAAAATATTTAATTAATTACACAAAATATAAATAATTATTTTAAGTAACCTGATGGTAAGTTTTCCACACTCGAACAGCCCTCCACTTCTGTACCGGTACTTGGCTGCTTCGTTCACAATTTGGTCAAAGGCAGGAAACATGTAGTCGGCAAACTGCAGTTCGGCGATGGCCGTGGCGCCGGCGGTCGCGACCCCGATGCCGAATCCGGCAATGCCCTGCTCGCAGAGCGGCGTGTTGAAGACTCTGTCGGCGCCGAACTTGTCCTTCAGCCCGAGGGTGCACCGGAAGACGCCGCCGAAAGCAACGTCCTCGCCGAAAATGATGGCACTGTCGTCCTTCTCCAGAGCGGAGTGCAGCGCACTATTTATCGCTTGAAACATGTTCAGTTTCGTTGTCTCCCCGGACACCGGTGGTTTCCCGGTGTCCGGATGGTAGACGAAGTGGACGGCACGGGCGGACACCTCCGCCGAAGCCCCTGGCCGCGCCAAAAGCGGCCGCGAAAAGAGAAAATTCAGTCTCTTGGACACGATTGCTGCCATTTTTCACCCTCACATATGTGAGCAGTGGTGCCAACATAATAATTTTAAATGTGTTAAAATGGATGGTAAAATTAATGAAATAGAGAACTATAAATTTGTTTAATTCAAACTAAATAAATAAAAAATTAAAAAATTTTTGAAATTATAATTGTAAAAATACATATAGATTTAACAGTAAAAAAAAACTACAAAGGTTAGATTTTGTTTTGTTGGCATCAATGTTAAAGGGGTTTCAAAACATATGAGATGAGGGGAGTGAACCAACAACTCGTAAACTGGTTCATTCAAGAAGAGGAGAAACGGAGAAAGATGGTGGACGCGGCAGTGGTGACAGTGGTCAGACAATGACGTCCTTCTTCTGTCCCAAGCAGCCCTTGGTGTGTTATTTTTAACCTTCGAGCAGGTGAGCATTAATTCCTTTCGGCAACATGTCCTGCTTATACCGACGCGTGCTCTCTGCCCGTTTTCAGGCGAAAATGGAGGAGGCGAACGGAGGAGTTTCGCCGTCAGTGGCACCGCAAAAGCCGGTGGCCCACGTCCGACCCATGCTGGCCGCCTCGACGCCCAGTCCGACCACGAGTCCGAGTCCGTCGCCGAAGCAACACGTCCTTCAGGTGCAACGACCAGCGCTCGTTCACACCGTGAGGGCCAAAAAGTGTCGCTTCGTGCGCAACGGCGACAGATTCTTCAGGGGTGTCCACCTGGCCGTCAACCTCGAGCGCTTCCGAAACTTTGACAGTCTGCTCGCGGAGGTCACACGGCTGCTGCAGGGCACTGAATGCATGCCCCTGCCCAGTGGCGTGCGAACCCTCTACTCGACCAAGAATGGAATCAGGGTCAGTTTTATTTTAATTTTTAGCTTTCGATATTAAAATTAACCTAAATATTTGAAATAATATTTTATAATAATTATGTTTTTTAATTTTAAAGGTCACTAGTGCTGAAGATTTGAAAGACGGAGAGATATACGCTTGTGCCAGTGCTGGCGAACTCTACAAAAAGACACAATACGGTCAGGTGATGCGGAAGCCTCGTCACCTGTCGCCTCATCTGTCAAAGGTGCCGGAGCACTCGCCTTGCTCTTCCGACACAGGGACCTCAGGCAAGTGTTTGTTCAGTTTTTTTTTCAAAATGAAATCCAATTACAAATTTCCCCACAGTCCGACCTCGATTAATAGTAATAGTTCGAAGTGGCAACCGACCGCGCCGAGTTGTCCGAGTGCTGATTAACAAACGAAACTCGCCCTCATTCGAAGTGGCGTTGAATCACATGACTGAGTACGTCAAACTAGACACTGGTGCGGTCAGAAAACTCTTCACTCTTGAAGGAAAACAGGTTTGATTTGATTATTATTATTTTTTTTTAATTTGGGATAATTTTATTTAATTTTTATTTGCGTAGGTGCAAAATTTGGAAGACCTGATGGCGTGCCAAAGTGGAGTTTTCATTGCTTATGGTACAGAAAGGCACAGCAGAGATGACTTTGAACTTGATCTCGAAGAATACAAAAGCCTCCAGAGCTTGACGAAATCTACTGGCAGGCGAGTCTTCCCTCCTGCGCTGATGACCATGTCTGTGAAGCCAATCAGGAAATTCTGCGGATCCGCCGAGCAGCTCAGTCGTAAGTCCAAAGGTCGATATTTGAATTTGGTGGTAAATAAATCAGGCATCGCATTTTGGATTTTGGAAACCTGGGTAGATTTTTCAACATTATGCACATTCTTTCGCCACTGACCTCCGCTAATCCTATTGAAACTATAACCGTGACATAATTCACACTTTATTTGATTTGAGTGAAGCCACCGTGTTAGTGATTGCTGTTTTTATGCCAGTTTGTGTGCATCAAGTGGCAGCAAACATGGCTTGCGGAACGACAATCACTAAATTGAAAAAACAAACAAAGAGGCTCAAAATGAAAAGACCTTTTCCAAGTAATTCCAAATCTTTTTTTAACAAAATTTCATTTCGCTGTGCCATCTTTTTATTTTTCTAAATATTCAGATGAACTTATTTGAATTTTCTTCAGGATCTTGTTCGCCTCTGCTGAGAACATCCCTCATGAAGAAACCTCCGCCACCAAAGCCAAAGATGCCTCGCAAAACGAAAACGACAGCCAAAAAGCCGCCAGTTGCCTCTCCACCTCCGTCCGAGGAACCCGACAGTCTTCCAGAAACGGTGGCACGTGAGTACGAGGCTGGGCGGATAATTGGCGACGGAAATTTTGCCGTCGTGAAGGAGTGCGTCCTGAGGAAGACAGGCGAATACTTTGCCCTGAAGATCATCGACAAGGACAAGTGCAAAGGCAAGGAGCACATGATTGCCAGCGAGGTGGCCATCCTCAGAAGGGTCAGACACCCAAACATTGTACATCTGTACGCCGAATTTGACTTTCCAAGGCAGCTCTACTTAGTCATGGAGCTTGTCAAGGTAAAAAATGCTGCATTAGATAATAATTTAACAAAAATTAAAAGAGTGAGTTAAATTTTTGGAATTTTACCCAATTTCCTGGGAATTTCCTTTGAATAAAATTGATATAATTTTTACCAAAATAAGTTCATATAAATGCAATCAAGTCTATAGGCTTGACCTTAAAATATAAATTGATCTTATTAAAAACCAACTTTTATTTATAAAAAGAAATTAATTAAAAAAAAAATACTATAAGAGTAAGTTACATAAAAATAATACATTACTCTTCATTCAAATTTTATTACCTTTAAAATTATTGTATAAAAAAACATTTTCTTTAATTTCTATTAAAATCTGTATTTAATAAACAAATTTCCAGGGTGGCGACTTGTTTGATGCCATTGCTGCTGCCAACAAATTCAACGAACGAGACGCAGCCACTATGACGCGCCACTTGTGCTCAGCCTTGAGCTACCTGCACCAGCGACGAATTGTCCATCGGGACATCAAGCCTGAAAACCTGTTGGTGGACGTGGATGAGAGCGGCTGCCGCATTTTGAAACTGGGCGATTTTGGCCTGGCGCAGGAAATAACTGAACCCCTGTACATGGTGTGCGGAACACCCACTTACGTAGCTCCCGAAATCCTGGCCGAGACTGGCTATGGTTTGAAAGTGGACATTTGGGCCGCCGGTGTGATCCTGTACATCCTACTTTGTGGCTTCCCACCCTTCGTCAGTGCCAGCAACGATCAGGAGGAACTCTTCGACGTGATTTTGAGCGGTATTTTTGAATTTCCGTCGCCCTATTGGGACCCGATCAGCGACTCGGCCAGAGAACTGGTGGCCAGCATGCTGCAGCCAGACCAGTCGCTCCGATTTTCTGCAGAAGACGTTCTTGATCATCCTTGGCTTTCGGTGAGAATTATTCATACAAGCTTGGCTTTTAATGCTCGTTGGAATTTTTAGTAATTTTTATACGGCTGCTTGTTGCTCCACATTTGGTTGCGCAATTTAATTTACAGCAAGTTCATTCACCCTTCCTCATTCAGTCGTCAAGAGGGAGAATAATATTTTTCTTTTAAATAACTTGTTTGTGATGAGATGTGGTGTTGGTTTTATATATTTTGCCATCATAACCATTGCCCTATTTTACTAATCATTGCAGGAATGCTACTCATCAGACGATGAAGCAAGTCTTCAGTTATATCATCGTCTCGGTGTGCGTTTTGAACTAAGCCAGGTACACATAATTTGAACTAAAACAATAACTTTTAAAAGAGATTTGAAAAAAAAATCGTTAAGGGCGTGAGTTTTGAAAATTTACATGTTTTAACAAAAAAATCAATCCATTATAATCCATTTCATAAATTCATTGCAATTCTATAAAAAAAAATTAATTGCTAGTTTTTATAACATTGTGATTTATCGCTATTAACCTCAAATTTGTTATTCCTGTTTCAGGAGACAAGATCTGACACCCACCTCAGCTCATGAAAGACATTCCAAACTACGATAATCTAATCAAGACGAAACTAATATAATACGACAAGCAATGATTTTGATTCAGGAAGTCCCTGGACAATTCCAGTATTCCCAAAGACTTTTGATTAACCTATACCTGCTAATCATTTGATCTGTAATAACATGTGTTACGCAAATTGCTAAAGATGATTATAATTTTACTGAAGCTATTAAAAAGTAATGAAGATTAATAAATTATAACGTTTTAGTAATTTTTATCTTGAATTACTGGTATTTCATTTAATAGAAAGCTCATTTTAAAGCATTAAAGAAGAAAATTTGGCCTAAATTGCTAAAGGTTTAAATCTAGATATTCTTTACAAATTTGAAACGTTGGTTTGCGAAAAAGTTTTCGATATCACATTATAACCAAAGTAGAATAAAGGTCATGGCGATGAGTAGTAAATAGCTATTGAACAGTTACACAAAAAGCTCATATATTTAAAAAGCTTGTAAACAGCTTAGCACATATTTATTCATCAAATATAATAGTTACGTATTATAATATCTCAAATTATTAGACCTATTTTGCACATAGATTACAAGGCTGAATATTGTTTAGTCGTTAAATCTGAAACCAACCCAAAAGGGTTGCCATCACCCCCAGTAAAAAATTACTGGATTTTCTACAATATTTAATCACTTCAGCAGGTGATGCCAGATTGAGATTAAATTTATTGAATATCAAGTAAAATAGCTTTTCCTTTAAGGACATTGACGTCATTGACAATAAAATTTCTGCAAATGCACACAAAGGCACTGTGATATTAAAATAAATGGCCAAGTTTGTAGACCGGGTAGAGAGGTGCAAAGTTTTTGTTGCCAAAGGTGTGTTCATCTTTGTCATCATCGAATACGTTCTTGGCGCCAAACATAGACTCCTCGAAAGTTGGAGGTGCTGGAAAAAAAGCAAATTTTTACTTATTATTCTAAGTGATTCTATAAAATTATATACCAAGGCTGGGGTAGGGAGGAGGAGGTTCGTCCATTTGTGGCGCCGAAGGAGTGAAGTTCTGCTGTGGGGGTGGCTGCGGTGGGGCCTGCGAGAACTGGGCAAAATTCTGCTGAAGAGGAATCGTGCCTATGACCAGGGGCATCCAAATAAAAAAATTGCGGTGGCAGCCGGACGGAGAGAATGACGCCTGCAAAAATTACAATTTGTTTTTAAAATGTGGTCAAAAATCAAAGAAAATCTGGTAAAAATATTACGTCTGTGGATAATGCCAAAATCATCCCATTTAATTTCTATTTTTATAACTTTGGACTGAATTCTGACAAAATGTTTTACTCTCAATTTTGATCTACTGAAAATTGAACCTAAGCATTTGAATTAAAATTACCTCGACATAGTAATTCAAGTCGATGATGTTGCAGTTACGCAAGTAAGAGGGTGGCAGAGACGGAACGGGCAGGGCCACCCTTTCGTAGGTGGAGGACTGCCCTGAATTGAGACGCCCCAGGTTTTGCTCAACAATCGACACTTTTGTATCTTTTGTGCGACCTCCCGCCTTGAAAGTCACCAACTGAAAACAATCGCCCAGATTTATTATTATAATTTCTCAATTATAATTTAGGAGAGAAGCTCACTTTTATTAACTTGACCGAGACTTGGTTCAGGTCAACCCCGGAGTTGTTTTCCACATCTAAGGTTGGCATCAGGGTTTCTCCAGGGACGACACCCCCTGTCGGAATGGTGAAGATGATGTTGAGGGGGCCGGACACGCAGCAACAGCAGCCGAACGTTTTGAACTTTTCCTTTCTTACAGGAGCCTGCAGATTTATAATTAAGGTCCTATTGGTCATTGAAATTAAAACAGAAAGAGTGTGAATGTTAGGAAGAAGTATTTATATTTGTCGATATTTACAAACATTTTTTCAAATTTGCTTACGACCAACTCAGGAGAGCCGTTCAAGTCAAGCGGACAGGTGACGGTGAAGAGCGCCTTGGCCTTGTAGTCGAACTTCCAGGGTCTGTCCACCTCGGCCTTCAGGGAGTACCTGATGAATCCGAAGTCACCCTCAAAGGAGGAGGGAAGGTTCGCCGGCAGGGTGCAGTAGAAAGGGTAGGTGTAATTTCCAGGCTCCAGGATCAGTTCTTCTGAACTATCTGATTTGAATTACAACTTTAAAACGTCGAACTTAATTTTTGTTTAAAAAATTCTACTTTTGCTTCCCAAAACATGGAATTTGGTGTTGAAATATTCCTCGAAAGCTTGGTGAACTACAGTTTCCGACTTCCCGTCCTTGTTATTCCGCCTCGTCGTCCAGCGCACATGGGACCGTCCCCTGATCTCGACTTTAATGCCTATTATATGAGGGAAAAAATTTGTAAGTAATAATTTTAAAACAAAAATTGTTTTAATTTTTCACCTCTGATTTTTTTTGGCGTTCTGTTGACAATCTCAATTCTGCCGGTCACAATCCGGCCGGAGTAAAACACAGGCGGCTCCAAGTCAAAGAAAATCTGAAATTTCTCTAGGCCCATCTTGATCCTAGTTCTCGTTTATGTAAAAACTACGTCGATAGAAAGGCGGGTATAAAACTGAAAGCAAAAAGAAGAAAAAACTATAATGGGCTGTAATTGCGAAATTTTATTTAATGAAGCTAGGGAATAAAAAAAATGTTAGTAGAGAATGACAATCCAATTTAAAAAATACAATATTTTTAACACAGAATAAAATATAATTTTTTGTTAATAATACAAATTCCATACTTTTCAGTGTTAAAATTCGGCTGCTTATTATTATTTTGATGTGGTCAAAGAATTTCGTCTTTTTTTAACAAAATGTGCAAATTTATCGTGGGAGTTTACTACACTGGCCATACAATCGATAATTGTGTGTTGTCGGTTGTCGTAGCAAATTAAGAAAAAACCCCTAAAAAAAAATAAATACTTTTGGTGCTGGGCGGAAAACACGCAGACACGCCCGGGCTGCCAAACCCGGTCTCAGAAACTTCAGACGACTAACACAATTAAATCTTACAGCGGCTAAAGAAAATAATTTTCTGTTACATGATCACCAACGAACATAAGCCAAAAATAAGTTTGCCGGGAAATCCTCTCCAGTCCGCGGATAATCACGAAATATGACACGAGAGTGTAATGTTGTTGACTCTTACTCTCTTTTCAAGGTTATTCTGTCTGGCGTCTGCAAAATTCGAACCGACGGCGCATGCGTCGGCTCAGCGCCTGGTGCCTCATCGAGTTGCTGCGGTCTTATTTTATTTTGGTGTTTGGCAGGATCCGCAGGATCGACACAATAATAATTAAACATAAAAAGCATTAACGATAGAGAAGGCTGCAAAATAATGAACATTTGAGTAATTTCTTTGCTCCAGCATAGTATTATAATTTAATAAAAATTAAACTACACAAATTTTTGAATTCACAATAAATACATAATTTTATGGTTTTTCCTCCCAGCGTATTTATGCTAATTAATTATGTACCATGAATTTCTATAATATAATATAATATATATTTTTTATTATAAGGGTATAATATAGTATATTACACATCTGATGGTAATGCTGGACTAATTGAAATTTTAAAAGCTACAAAAATTAAAAATTGTATTTTCTTCATAAATATTGTTAGATATACATTTCCCAAAAATTGTGAAAAATGCTCAGATCTAATCGTTTTACATTCGTAAAAATACAAGTCACAAACAAGCATCTTCTTCATATAATAATCTCTTTGTCTCTTCAAATTTTCTCTTGTAAATGCAAGACTCTTGATTATTAGCATATATAACAAATTTTGTCGGTAATGTTATAGTACGCGCGACGTGTTTCCCAAAATCCCTGATTTCAGTTGGCATCACTTGCATTACGTCGCGCGTTTAATAGTGGTTTTACGTCGCGCATACAATAATGGTTTTACGTCGCGCGCTCAATACTGGTGGCGGTGAAATTGTTAAGGAAACCGATTATTCGCGCGACGCAATTCTTTTCCTACAATCTTAATTAAGGGGACTGCTAGGAAGAATAGGGGCCCTTGGGATGGGTTCAGAATGGGGCAAGACGACCTCTGGAGGGCCGTGCGCACCCTTATAGCAGGCGCGACGTATCACTATGAGACGCGCGACGGTCGAAAAGCGAACTCCGGAGGGCGCTTTTCACCATCGTCAGAGGCGCGACGCATGGTTATAGTACGCGCGACGTATGCTTATAGAACGCGCGACGCACGGTTATAGTACGCGCGACGCATGCTTATAGTACGCGCGACGCACGACTAATTAATTATTATAAAAGGTGTTGCACGCGGCCGGAGTTGTGGGCACCCCACGAACCGGCAACTCGGAGTTGGGCAACCCCCAAGATTAATTTTTGCAGAAGCCGCGAGCGAGGGGTGGAGGCGCAGCGAGGTCGAGGACGTGGGGAAGGCCGTGCGGAGGGCGAGGACAAAAGGGCGGCTGTGTTCGTGGGGGGGCTCCGCAGGAGCCCCCTCACGATCCCCGCCCTTTTGTCCCGCCCGGAGCCGGCCTTCACCACGTTCTCGGGCGAGCGCGCCTCCAGCCCGAAGCTCGCAAACCCACAACGGAGTTGCTTACAAAAGGAATTGTCTGCAAAAAGGGCTTAGAAAGCAAAAAGTGTGGTGCCCACAACTCCCTTTGCAGACAACACCTTTTGTGGGCAACTCCGTTGTGGGTTTGCGAGCTTCGGGCTGGAGGCGCGCTCACCCGAGAACGTGGTGAAGGCCGGCTCCGGGCGGGACAAAAGGGCGGGGATCGTGAGGGGGCTCCTGCGGAGCCCCCCCACGAACACAGCCGCCCTTTTGTCCTCGCCCTCCGCACGGCCTTCCCCACGTCCTCGACCTCGCTGCGCCTCCACACCCCTCGCTCGCGGCTTCTGCAAAAATTAATCTTGGGGGTTGCCCAACTCCGAGTTGCCGGTTCGTGGGGTGCCCACAACTCCGGCCGCGTGCAACACCTTTTATAATAATTAATTAGTCGTGCGTCGCGCGTACTATAACCGTGCGTCGCGCGTTCTATAAGCATACGTCGCGCGTACTATAACCATGCGTCGCGCCTCTGACGATGGTGAAAAGCGCCCTCCGGAGTTCGCTTTTCGACCGTCGCGCGTCCCATAGTGATACGTCGCGCCTGCTATAAGGGTGCGCACGGCCCTCCAGAGGTCGTCTTGCCCCATTCTGAACCCATCCCAAGGGCCCCTATTCTTCCTAGCAGTCCCCTTAATTAAGATTGTAGGAAAAGAATTGCGTCGCGCGTGCTATAGAGGTTTCCGTGGTAATCGGGATATTAAATCGGTTTCCTTAAAAATTACACCGCCACCAGTATTGTACGCGCGACGTAAAACCATTATTGTATGCGCGACGTAAAACCACTATCGAACGCGCGACGTGATACTTTTACATGGGAGCATAAGTGCTGCCAACTTATGAAAAAACACGTCGCGCGTACTATAACATTACCATTTTGTCAAAGCCGTTTTAAATATCACCACTTTGCTTGTAGCTTTTGTAAATATTTTAAGTGTGCACATATAAATTATAAATCTTATTTTCTAATATGTTATCATTTTCACGGTTGTTTCAAGCGTATAAGTTGTCAAGGAATTATTAAAATAATCTGAATTCCCATCAATATAGATTTTAGAACATAAAATATAATAAAATAACCTAAAAAGGTAAACATCGCCAAAAAAGGCTTTTACCATCATTAAAAGCATTTGGACAAAGTTCACAAGATTTTCAAGCTTTTACGATTTGAACATTTTAAATGCATATAGCTGGTCCTCTAAAACATTGAACATTAAATTGCTTCAAAAGCACACAAATGGACATTAATAATTTCTTTACGGTTTGTAATAAACAGGATAAAGGGGTGCAAAGTTCCTCTCGCCAAAGGTATGCCGGTCTTCGGAGTCGTCAAAAACGTTTTTGGCGCCAAACACAGATTCCTCGTAAGAAGGAGGTGCTGAAAAAGCAACATTTCAAATAAATATTCAGAGAAATTCAATCAAACTTTATACCAAGGTCAGCGTAGGAGGGAGGAGCGTCCGATTGAGGGGTTAAACCCTGGCGCAGGGGTTGATTTGTTGGGTCCTCCGAGTACAAATTTTGGTGCACGGGTGGAACTGGAGGGACCTCTGAGAACTGGGCAAAGCTCTGTCGCGGGGGCGGATTTGGAAGGACCTGCGAGTAGAGGGGGAAGTTCTGCCGAAGAGGAATTGTGCCGACGACCAAAGGAATCCGAACTTTGAATTTGCGGTGGCAGCCGGACGGAGTAAATGACACCTTGAAAACAATTTTCATTATCATTTTTTAAGTAAAAAATTAAAGTATTTAGTATTAAACTCACACAGCTATTTATATTATTCAAAAACGGCTACAAAAATTTAAACCACAACTAAAAAGATCAAAAATTACCTCGATAATGTAATCCAAGTTAATGATATTGCAGTGCCACAAGCAAGAAGGTGGCAGAGCAGGAATCGTCAGGGCCGCCCTTTCGAAGGTGCTGGACTGTCCGGATGCGAGGCGTCCTAGGTTTTGTACAACAACCAACCTCTGGAAGTCCCTTGTGAGGCCAGACGCTGCCTTGTAAGTCGCCCACTGAAATAAACTTAATTAAATTTTGTAGCGATTAATAGAGATGAAATCACTTTAATCAATTTGAGTGTGATGCGGTTGAGGTTAACCCTGGAGTTGTTTTCCACATCCAAAGTTGGCAAAAGGGTCTCTCCAGGGACTCCACCCCCTGTCGGAATGGAGAGGACGATTTTGACAGGGCCGGAGTTGCAGCAAAAGCAGCAAAACTTCTTGACCTTCTGCTTTACAACAGGATTCTGCAAATTCAAATTTTTAAGTAATTTATTTTAATTTCTTTAATTTTGAATTTTATGCAGCATGACTGATTAAATTAAGTTAGATTATAATAAAAAATATTATTTATTTCAACAAATTTAATAAACCATCTTATACGGAAGATCCTAAAATTTTCTTACAAGCAAGTGAGGAAAGGAGTTCAAGTCAAGTGGGCAGATGACGGTGAAGAGCACCTTAGCCTTGTGGTCAAACTTCCAGGGCCGCTCCATCACAGCCTTCAGGGTGTACCTGATGAATCCAAAATCACCTTCGAAGGACGAGGGAAGGTTCTTGGGCAGGGTGTAGTAGAAAGGGAAGGAGTACTCGCCAGGCTCCAGCGTTTCCTCCCCATCAGCTGAAGCGTTTTAATTCAAATTAATTCATAAATATATAAAATTTTGCATTTACCTCTTCCGAAAACTGCAAATTTGTTGTTGAAGTAGTTCTCAAAGGCTTGATGAACTCGAGTGTGCTTATTTTGCCTTGTCGTCCAACGCACGTGTGACTCTCCCTTGATCTTGACGTAAATTCCTATAAATGAAATTTTTAATTTTATGCTAATTTAATAAAAAAAAAAAAAAAAACTCAAACCTCTCAATTTTTTAGGCGTGCTGGTGACAACTACAATTCTGCCGGTCACAATTCGCCCAGAGTAAAAGACGGCCGGATTTAAGTCGAAGAAGATCTGAAACTTTTCCAAACCCATTTCTACTTTCAATTTGAGATTTCTATCACGAATATTGACCCAAAAAAGCAGGGTTTGTCAGCCTGAAAGAAAAGGAAACAGATGAATGGAAAATTACATATAGAGACAAAACCATTTTTTACAAATAATTTTTGGAAATTAGTTTTACCTGTGTGCCGACTTGTATCTTTCTCCACATTGCAACTTCAAGAATTGAATGCTGTTTGCTGTTGTCACTAATTAGTAGCAGAAATACTAAGAAAAACAATTGATTTTAGTATGTAATTAAATGCACTCCTCTATGTTGACAAACACAGCAGCTGAAAGCAGCCGTGAAAATGCGCCTCTCGCGGAGTTCTTTTGAACCATATTATTATGCTTTGCGGGACAGCAGTACATATTTAGCGACTTTGGTTTTAAGATGCCAATTTGCAATTAAATTTAACAATTTTTTTGGTTTGAAAAAGTTCTGCTCCACAGCATCGCATATAGGAAAGATAATGTAAGGATTGGTTTTTTCCTGTGTGCATTTTGCCAAGACGGAATTTAAATTATTCATTTTTATAGTTTATCGAATTTATAGTGATTGTTATTAGATTGATTTAAATATTATATATTGACACAAAAAGTCTTCTAATGTCCAAAATTTTTATATTATCAAAATCCTACCAGTTTTATTTTTACAAAAATGCAAATACATACAGATAGATATAGATTGATATTCTTCTAAAATACAACAATATTAGGAAACAACTTTTTGAGATAATTTTAAGTCAATTTGAAATTTTAATCTCTATTTTGTTGTATTGACGATGTCAATAAGTTAATATGGAGTTTGCTGCTGGAGAAACGAAATTGCGGTATTTTGTTGATCATTTTTCACAATTTTGCAATCACATTATTTATTGTTTACATTAAATAATAAAAGTAAATGTTTAAGAAAAGGAATTGTTGCAAATAAAAAGACTCCATGAACCGCAGTAAGCCTTGGTTTCTGTGCAATAAAACTTTGCTTTTCAATTCATATCATATATATTTAAAAATTTCCTTTTATATTCTACACTCGTTTTTTTTTAACAAAAATCTTTTAAAAGACAAAAACTTTATTTGTTTATTGATTGTGATTTTTAAAGCTTTTAAAAAGCTATAAAATTTCAAATCTGATCTAATGCTTTTGGTTTAGATTTTCCTTTTGATTACAAAAGCTTGCTGGCAAAATATAGAAGTTGAATGAGAGAGTTTATGGCAACGACTCTCATGAACAACTCTAATTTGTTTTCATCGGTTTTCCTCTCCCAGCGGCGCTTTTTGTATTTCAAATAAATATCAGTCTAGCATACGGCACACTCTGCTACTCCATTCAACAATGAAAGGATGCTGCGTGGGGCCGCCGCGCTTCTTTTCTCGCGCGGCGTGACCGATCGCGGGCTGCATTGCATACAAAAAGTGTCATAGTGTCTGTGTCATCTGCCGATTGTCCGCCGCTTCCGACCGTGATTTATTCGCCGCTCTCGAAACTCGAAACGCTCTCGGTCACGCTCGTAATTGATATTGCATTCGGGTATTTGGCTGCAATTTTACACAAATTATGTGTATTGACTGGTGCGAGAGGGGGTGCCAGGTGCTTGATCAAATTTGTCACACGAGCGACGACGAGTAATAAAAATGAAAAAGCCTCTTTTCGCCGTGATAATATGTCCGAAAAGCTACACCAGAGGCAGAGGGGAAGACCTAAAGAGGAACAAGAGATACGCAAACTTGCTTTTTTTAAATCTAAAATCATTGAAAATTATTTTTAATTCAACACTCTGAAAAAAAAATATTTCAATTTTTTATGCAAGTTTACAATTTGTGAACTTCAAAATAAAAAAAGCTAAGTTTATTTGCATTTTATGAAAAACTTTCTTAAAATAATAACTAATCAATTTTTAAAAATCAAGGCCTCCTTATTAGCACTATCGAATCAAGTCTTATTTATTACAAAAATGCTATGAGTGATTAAATTTCCTAAATTTCCATTGTTTTCTAATGATTGCTCCTATAGTTGTAAATGCTTGGATTTTGAAAACATCATTTTGCTTATTTTCTTGTTTTTTTTTTTATAATTTTATAAATTTATTTAAAAAAATGTGAATTTTGAATAGAACTTAATAGAAAATTGTTTGAAAAGAAGCAGTAATTTTTGGGACATAACTAAAAAAATGTTGATAACTTTTATGTAAATAAAAATATTCACAAAAAATGGGAGAAAAAATTGTGGTACACAAAATTTATTCCATATTTTTCCCTTTTCGCCTCTCTTGAACGTCAGATGTCCGCGCTCCTAACTACACACAATGAATCGCACCGCCGCGAGTTGAGAGGGTCATTCATAAACTACCAAAGTATTATTTGGTCCTCGCCGTGCGTTCACAATCACAATGAAAAAACGAGAGTCGGTTTTGCGCCGCGCACGTTTTCTTTCCCCTGAATATCTTTTTTTACGTCTCATTAGGCATTGCGCTTTTTTCTGCGAAACGGGCCAAAAACATCTGCGGAAAGGGTGTCCTTATTCACATTAGTATTTATAAGCCGTGTGCCGAAAATGATGGATTAGACCCATTGTGTGATTTATTCTAATTACATGGTCGTGTGCGCGCGCTTTCCACGTTTTCGGCAGAATTAGCGGATTATTTTCCGTTTCAGGGGATTTAAATGAGCGAGGGGAGTCGCGTTTATATCATTTTATTTCCAATTTCCGGCAAAAAGAGCAACACTCGCAGATTTAATCCTCAAACAATGGTGAAAAAGAGGAGAGAATAGTATGATTATATGAAAACGGTATCATATTTGCTTGGATAATAGAGCGCCCAGTATAATCCAAAATGAAATAGAATAATATCAATTTTTCCAAAGTAATTATTAACAAAGTTAATTATTACATAATTTCAATTTTGTTTTTTAGAGCGCTGCTTTTAATTTAGTTGAAAAGCTTAAATATCAGCAAAAAAATTTGTTTACTAAAAATATTTTCCAGAAAAATAAAAATAAAACGTTTATTAAATGGAAAAAGAAAACCATCAAAATCAAAATATTTTGCAATCATAAAAATTTAGAGTGACTAAACATGTATTTCTTTCAAACATCGGAAATATAATCTTTTCTTTTCAAATTTGCAAATTTAAAAAAAAAAATTTAATTCATTTATATTTGTTTGAAGTAGTTGACACTCAGGGAGATGATCATGGAAATGAAGAGATCGGGATTTTCCTCATTTATATTATTTTTTATTTGGATAGAATATTTTTTAAATAAATATGATAAATATATAGAAATTTTCTTTCTAGTCACAAAATTCCGCAAACATTGGCCACCCTAAGAGGTCCCGCACGCGAGTCGGACGCACCCCCGGTCTGTGGGGAGAGGGTGTTCGGGGAGGAGCGTCGGGTCAGGGGGTTGGCTCGGCTGTTGAAGTCTCTCTACTGAAAGGGGTGCCTCTGCAGTTGGAAACATGTCGCGCTCCTTCTTCGTCGACTCGCTCATCCAGCAGCAGCAGCAAAGGCCCTCCAGGCCGTTCAATCTTGACCTGCTGCCCAGGATGCTGCCCTCCGACCCTGCCGACAACAGCGGCTACTTGTTGTTCGCCGCCGCAGCCGCAGCAGCCGCCGCAGGAGGGCCGCAAGGGGCTGGATTTTACTACCCCGCACACCCTTTCGCACCAAACACCGCCTTCACCCCATGGCCTGGAGGCCAACCTGTCAACCCTTTCAGGTTGGACAGAAAATTTTAGAAGATTTTGATATACTATTATTTTAACTAATATTGAGTGCATTTTTGGTTAAGAGTTAATAGGGATGCATTATTTAACAAATAAAATATAATTTTAGGACACTCTAATTTTGAGTAAAATGGCATTATTTAGTTTTAATTTGCATAACATATTTGAAAAAAAAAACGCTAAAATGATAAAAAATTGAAATATTCCATATTTTTTATTATAAGTTGGGCATTTCGATTTTGTAAAAAATCCACAATTTTTGCAGAGATTTAATATATTAGCGTTAAAAATTTTTTGGAATATTTTTTTTTAAATTTTTTTTAGCAGAAGATTAACAGTAACCTTTTCCATTGCAGCTCTTCACTTCCAAAGCTCTCACATCATCTGGTTCGCAATTCAGAAACTGTTCCTCCTGCACTCAGTCCTGAATCGTTGTGCGTCTCTGTTGACCCAAAAACTCCCTCTGCTGGTAATTAAATATTAAACTTGAATTATTTACTGCTTTAAAATTACTTTCAAACAAATTGTTGTTCAATAATTGAGTGAAAACACCATTGTATAATTTCCTCAAATTTTTTTCTTGTAATTGTTTATTTTAGCATCGACGAGCATCAGTCCGCCAGCGTCGCCGGCAAGCAACTCGTCCAAATCGGAGCTCACCACCGACTTAGGAAGCAGCAAAAGGGTTCGGACCGCTTTTTCGAGCACCCAGCTTCTTGAATTGGAACGAGAGTTTGCGGCTAACATGTACCTTTCCCGGTTGAGGAGGATCGAAATCGCCACTTGTCTCCAATTATCAGAAAAACAGGTAGGAATAAAAATAATAATTTTTAGAAAATCTTAGACTTACTTTAGTGATATTTTTGTAATTTTTACAATATTTAGAAGTTTCTTATGTATCTGGCTTAGTTTTAGAAAGTTTATTTAATTTCAAAATATATTTTAATAATTAAATTATTAATCAGTAATGAAGACAACACCTTTTAGTAAATTATTTTTGATTCATTTTTTATAATGTATATCTTCAGCTTGTACAAATTTGTGTACATTTTTACTGTTTCAAATTGAAATGTAGAGTCGGAAAGTATAATAATGAAATCTGAATATTTGTTTTAGGTCAAAATTTGGTTTCAAAACCGACGCGTGAAGCAGAAGAAGGACGAGAGCGGCTGTTCTTGGCCTTCGGGCAAACCGGCGCCGACCTGCTGCTGCCTTCGAGCTTCGTGTCCCTCAAAAAGTGGCCATGCTGACCATCAAGTGACCACTTCATCGTCAACGACTAGTGACGTCAAGAGGAAGGCCGAAGAGCAGACGGAAGAGTCGGAGAAGAACGGCAAAAAGGACGCGAAAGTCAGGAAAATTTGGAGGCAACACGAAGAGGAAGATTCTGCGTGAGTGAAGATCCGAGTGAATTTTTAAATTAAAATGAAAATGGATTAGTTCATTTAGAGAAAGTGTGATTTCTGTACAGTTGCCAAGTAATTAACATAAATAAAGTCTATTTTGTTAAAAGAATGAAGATTGTGTTTTTAATTGAAAAAAATCATTAAAACATAATAATTTTGAAATGTACTCAAAAATTTTCAGTATAATTTGATGCAATTTAAAATCATTTTAAAATAATTAAAAAAACTAAAAATCAATCTGATTTTGAGCCCTTCAGCAATTAATCTTTAAATTGTGACAGTAAAATAATTTGGAATTGCCTAGGTATTTTATAAGGGATATTTTATTATTTATAATATTCCGGTGCCGATTTTCAAATTCGTTTTGTGTCAAAGCAGTGCTCATGGCGTGAAGAGTCGCTCAATTCAAAGAAAGGTTTGTTTTGTTGTCAACCACAGGAACGAAACGCCGCCGCCCCGAGGACATCAAACGACAAAACGCGCAATTGAAAAATCTGCTCCTCTCAAAACTTTTTACACGCTTTTCTTTCAAATCTCAAAAGGTGCGTGTTCGAGAGAGCCAGCGTGAGTTCGAGTGGCTCGCTCGGAAACTGGAATAAATAATAAAACACGGCGGAGACAGATTATGATGGATGGCCGATTGAACGCTGACACTTTACAAAAGCTATTTCGAATGAGATGAGACACGTCATTAACAGCGTGGCAAAAAAGTGTCACTCGACAACATGTACGAGAGTAATGAGAGCAGCTTGAAATTTGTGTAGAACCATCCGAGAGAGACGCTTCATATATGCAATGTAATAAACATATTATGTGAGAGTGATTTTACAAACTTTAAAACGGGATGAATTTAATCTTTCACGCTTGTTAAAAAAGTAATGAAAGCAATTTTGGATATTTATAATTAGTAGAAGAAATTTGTAGAATGTTGCAAAAATACAAGACAAAATCTGAACCTGTGTATTTTTGTAATTTTCAGGATTTAGAGTAATATATTAAAATGCAAATAATTTTTTTTTAATCAACATTATTCGATTGTTAAGAAATAAGTCTTCAATACTATCAATAATTAGAATGGAGAAAAGTGTTCTTTTGAAAAAAAAATTAAGATAAAATAATTATGCAAACTTTGTTCCTCAAATTATACAAATTTTTGCTAATAAACCAGAAATGTATTTTGAATTAAATTTTAAATAGTCTAAAAAACTCAAAGGAATCTTTTCCATTACAAATAACTCATGTTTTCACATTTTGAATCAGCAAGACTGGATTCATTATGAATAATGAAGCCATTTAAACAAATAAAAAAGCCCATAAAATATTAAAAAAAAATCTTTATTTCTAAAATCGTGGCTCTTATCTTTCTGTTTATTAGGAGGAGAGCAAATTAATATAATTATCGATAATAATTATCCTTTTTCTTGCCTCCTTGCAAAAACTCCTTTGACAATGAAAAAAGGCGTCAGTGGCGCCACTCGTCAGTCATCAGCTGGATTTGTTTGTGATCGGGACTGGAACTTTGAGTTATGTGATTTCGGAGACGGAAAAGTGCCTCAATTTCCGAGTCATGGACGCTTGTTCTAAAAGTGGAAGAAAAACAAGAAGAAAATGAAGAGATTGAAGAACAAGAGAAGGGAAATTGGAGTTCGCATCGGCTGAGATTCAAGGTAGGAAAATCCAAACAATTTCGTTTCCAGAACAAAATCAGCCGCAGATTTGCCAGGAATCTTTTTTTATCAAACTGAACGAATTCAAATTGATAAGAGTTAAAATTTTCATCTTAAATAAATAAATCTGAGATGTAATTTTTAGGAATTATGAAATCAGTTTGCCTCGACCCTCGAGCAGATCCGTTCCGAGTTGGAAAAGAGTCGCACATGGCAGAACTGGTTGCCCTCCCAAATTGTCGCTGGCTGTGTGACTAATTTGTCGAGAGGATCACATTTTGAATATAATGAGCACGGAGAGGACGCGACCGTGTCGTTTGCTGTCGCGTTTATTGCATTTATTTCGAATGGGATTCAAAAGCATGAAAGGAAAAAGAGAAGAGAGCAGGCGTGTTGCTCTGTTTTGTGGACGAGAAAGAGAGACAAACAGTGCACCAGGGCAGTGAAATAAAAATAATTTAAGCAAATATGAAGAAATTGTTTGCGAAATTAACGATACAATTTAAAAGGAAATTAAAAATAACTGAATTATTAAAAACAAATTTAAAGGATTAAAAAATCTATTTTTTTTTTTTAAATTTATATGCAATTTTTCATAATTATTTGTCTCCTTGAAAATAAAATTAAAAAACCAATATTAATTATAAATTCTTAATTAAGTCTAGTAAAAAAGAAACTTTTATAAATTTGCCTAGGATAATTAAAGTTTTTCTATTTTTTACAAAATTAAATCTCCAATAAAATGTTGAAATCCACATTTGTGATATTTTGATATTAATTCAATATCTTTTACACACGGCCCTGAATATTCTGCTGACGTTTCTGAGCATAATGAGAATCGGTTGATAGGCACTAAATGAGCGATTTTCCTTCGCGTTCGTAAAAAAAATGTCGCGGCAATAAATAATGCACACACGAAAGGATTTCGAGTGCGTGTCCAATTTGAAATATTTAACCACCTCAATGGTCTCTCTTTCGTAAGTGATAATAATTGCGTCGCGCGGAAAGAAAAACGGCGCTCGGCGGCTTTTCCCCTCTGCTTTTTGTTCAGCGAGGCAATAAATAAGTGAATTAGCCACCGAGCTGGGGGTTTTATTTGTTCAACATTTCGTCGAGCCCACATTTGTGTTTTTTCCAACGCAAAGTTTCACTAATTACGAGTGTGGGCAATTTTACTTCACCCAATTCTTAATGAGTGCAAGTTTTTTTGGAGAGCAGATGCAAAGTTGATGATTTAGGACCAGTTTTGAGTTATAGGACAACTTTTTGCAATTTGTTCTGGATTTTTTGCTCACTATTTTAATTGCAATCATTTGATTGAAACTGAATTGGAATTATAATTATTAAATTGAGATTATTTTTAATTTTTTCAATTTAATATAATGTAATTTTTTTATGTATTTAGCAACGATTTTAATTTGTATTTATTCAACTAATTTATTTGATAAAAATCTTTTAATTGATAATAAATAATCATCTCAATTAATTCTCTCTGGATTTCGTCAAAGGTCTATAAATCATTAGAATTAAAAGAAAAAAACAATTACTAATAAATATCCAAATTTATGCTAACAAAATTAATTAACCCTCTATGAATATTGTTTAGAATAAAAAAATTTTAAAAAATAATCAAATTTTGTAACAATTTTCTTCAACATATAAAATTTTATTCAGCACATCTTTTTTGTAACTGTTTGAAAAAGATTATCATATTTTTGTTCAATGTAATAAAAACTGCTTTAAATAATTGAGGCAATTACCGTCGAAATAGATTCAAATCAGACAGCATAATTACTTTTTTTGTGCCAGCCGCAAACTCATCCCTTGCTTGTGAGATAAAATACAGTTAAACTGTTAACAGATTTAATTTGATCGCATGAGGAAAATGGAAAAGAAATCGGCAACAAATTGGGAGTGACGTGGCGACAGATAAAGGGGTTAAAAGATTGCCGGCCTCCGATAAGATCAAGAGCGGTGCTTTTGTTCGGCTTGGTAAGCCGTTAGTCAGTGCGCGCCGCCCCTGATTGACATTTCAATGAAACTCGCAACTCTCTGCGCCGGAATGTATGAAAAAAAAAATACAGCCGCGTCGTAGTTTATTATATAATTGGGGGACAAAAAGAATGAGAAAAAAATTCTGCAGAAACCAAACAAGGGAGAGGAGAATTGAAAGGATTTTAAATATATTTACTTGTGTATCTTTTCCATGTTAAAATAAAATTGAAAATTTAAAATTTGTTTCTTCTGATGATTGATAAAATTATAAAGACACTGATTTTTTAAATCAATAAAATAGAAATTGAAATCAAATTAATTTAATTTCACTCTAAAACAATTTTGATCCAAATTACATTTAATTTATCCTTATTTATTTTAAAATAAATAAATTCTAATTATTATTTAAAAAAAAAATTAAAAACTGTTCAAAAATGGTCAAATTTACTTGAAAATATGTTCATTCTTATCTGCTGAAATCTCTGGGATTACAAAATTTAATTCAATTTTTAATTTTTCAGGAAAATATGTTTTAATTTTTTTCCCTGTTGAAAGCTTTCTCTCTCACCCTCTGTTGCCACCGCTTGCTGCTTGTATCGAATAAAACGCGCGTTTCGAGGGTTGCTCCTCTTCATCTCTCTTTCTTTTTTGTTCGATTATTCTTTCAGAGTTCATATGAATGCATTGGTGCAGCAGCCCTTTTGTGCTCTCGCTAACCAGCTAAGGGGGTGCAGGCGTGTATATATATTTGTAGTACATCACTCTCTTCCTCTCATAGACACACACAGGCCATTATGTAATTATGCAGCTAATGGGATGAAACGGAACCCGTAAATAGATAGACCGTCCGATTCATTATTTATATCTGAAGGGCGCGGACGCGTCCAACATATTTTCGAATATAATAGAGAAGCTGAAAGGCAAATTGCGTTGAAAACGAGAGGAATATATCGTGTGTCAGGCCGTTCAACCGGATGATTTGTTAATGAACCCTTTTATCACTTGTTTGATTATAATTATTGCTGAATAAGAAGACATAAAATATCAGTTTGAAACATAAAACTTGCATGGAGGAAATGAGTAAGTTATTAAAATTCAGTCAAGGTCTTTTTAAATATTTATTGTACAAATAAAACTGAAATATTTGTTGAATTTCAGGTCCTTTCCAATTTTCCTGAAGGATTTTTATCACAGCTTAAATCTTTTAATTAAATCGTTTTTTTAATTTATTCCTAAACAAAAATTAGCCAACAGAACTCAAAAGAAGAAATCTAATTTAAAAAAATTTTGTCTTGGCCGTTGGAGAATTGAAAATAAAAATGAAAAATCTTCAATTTACTCTGAAATATTATAAAAATAACAATAAATATCGGGCACGAACTTTAAATTTATCAAATTTAAATTTTTTTCAGAACTCCATTGATTGCTTTGAAAAAAATCGTAATAATTTATTTATTTCAAAACTGCAAATCTCGAAATAAACCTCGTCACTGTTGACACAACGAGCCATTAGCAAAGCGTATTGTGAAAAAGAAAACAACGCAAAGTTTGAAAACAAGCTGTTTTGCATTCGAAAGCAGGCACACTCGAGCGGCGAGTCGAGCGGACCGAAATCGAGAGCCCTCGAGATGCATTAGCGCACGCACGCATTTAATTGGCTCGAAAGCGCACATTACATTCGTAAATTCCCACAGGACAAACACGAACGCGTGTGTAATTCTAAACAAACAATTTGTCGTTCGTTTTGTATAATTCCGAATGCGGTGACACATTTATTCGATTCTCGAGTGCTTTATACATCAAGCTCTCTTTTTTTTCTTGCTTCTTTAAGCAAACAGAGGAGATTTTGTGCAGCATACAATGGATGCAGCGATGCGCTCGGCAGCTCATGATTTTTAATGTGGCCCGTTTGTTTGCTTTGAGCGCGGCCATTGATGTCGGATTAATTGCTCAAATGTACATTTCAAACTTTTATTGTGCGTTTTGAAACTGTTTTTTATGTAGCGCAAAGGGTGCGTTTCGCCAGCGGCTGATTTTCCTTCACAGCTTGTCGGGGTTTAAAAATCGGTTAAAAGCGAGTTGCTCTGCAATTTATAAAAGAACTGCCTTTTTAAATACAATATGAAATTGCAAAAGGAAAAAATAATTTATTAGTGTCCAGTGTTGCTACTAAATTATTTGATAATATCTAATCTATCTGGGGTAAAAAACCCTTTTTTTAGTTGAATTTTAATACTTACTATAAAACTAAAAAAACTTTTTAAGAAATTTCTAAAACATTACATGAATTGTTTTCAATTTATCTTATTTTGCTTCTAATATTGATTTTAGAAGGAGATTGTATTTCAAATGTCAATTTTTGTTTGCTTCAATTTTCTAATTAATTTGAGCCAACTCTTGTCAAACAGTCCTAAAATATTAAAAATTAGGTATATTGCAAAAGAAAGAAACAAGTTGAAAATCAGTAAAAAAAAAAATGTAACTCACAAATTTTAGGAGAAAATTCAATTCAAAAAATTTATGAACAATTTTTGCTCTGTCCCATATTGTTAGAAACGGATCCATTATCCATTATCAGAATTAATTTTGGAGTGAATTAAAAAAAATCAGACTTTTTTCTCCACTTTATTAGCAAGAAACTATGCCAAATACAGCTATTTATTTATTTTTTCTTGTCTCTGCGCCCTGCTTCTCGATTGGCGTCGCTGTCTGATGGGAACAAAATGCACGATCCGACCCTTGTGTACATCTGACTCTTGAAAGGTTCCCTTTGCTCGAGAATGGCGTAACTATTGCCCTTCTTCAGCAGCCTGAAGTCGCCGCAGCTCGAGCCGCCCTGGTAGTTGTACAGGACGTTGTCTAACTCGAGGCTTTCGAAGCCAAAGCTGGAGTCGAAGAGGTCGTGCTCGCAGCTTGAGGACGAGGAGGAGGAGGAGGAACAAGGACAGGAGGAAGATTCGGACGAGTCTTCCTTTCGGACGTAGAGGAACACCTTGGTGTCGTAACTCATGTGCACGTTGATGGGGAAGTTGAGCACCTGGTTACCCTTGTACGTCTTCATCACAATCACGTATGAACCCTGAGAAAATACAAATTTGGTCATTTTCAAATTCAAATAATTCTCAAAAAATCAACTTGCACTCCAATTGTGTTCATTAAAAAGAGGAAACTGGAAAGCAAAGGCTGAATTTCATGATTACCAAAAAATTTAAACCTGGTATCGCGTTTTCCCGCCAAAAGCATTTGAATCTCGGTGGGGAGTTTATATCATACTGCTCATTGGCTGTTTTCACCTAATTTGATGATTTTCATATCACGGCTAGGTTCAAATTCGTTTGGCGGGAAATGATAAAACTCCTGTTTTTTTAAACTCTGGGGTGCGAATTTTCTTATTGCGATTTGAACGCTGGCCATCAAATTTGGTCTTGTTTCACATTCAGGAATATAAAAAAATTACCGGTGTCCCTCTTTAAAGGTTCATTTCAAATTTGAAATAGGGGATATTTTGTGTGATTTGATTGGAATCTGGAAAAAAGGAATTACCCGTCGATTTGTCAATCTCATGACGAAGGTTCCTGGGAATTTTGAGTAGAACCTGAGAAGTTTGGTGTCGGGACCTGAGGTGCACTCTCGTAGCTTGACGCTGATTGTGAAATACGTGACTCCTGCCTCGTCCTCCACGCGACACACTGAGCTGTCCCACTGTTTCAATTGAGTTAAATATTAAGTTTTATAAAAGTGGTCACATCAACATGATAAAATTTAATTTAACCAATTCTTTTCCGTTAAATATATATTTTTAATTTTATGGTCAAGCTTATAATTTATAAGAATAAACTTGGTTTGGTGATATTTCATCAATTTTAACTAGGAAAGGCTGAGATTTTAAACTCTTTTAAGAAATTGTTCCTTAAGATCAATCGAAACTTCTTCATCGTCTCAATGGAAATGACTTCTTTAAATTTAACTTCTTTTTTGTTAAAGAAAATAACTTACAGTGGTGCACGCCCTCTTGGTCCTGGTCGCCTCTTCCAGGCTGTCGATGTGGCACATGTCGTTGTCAGGGTTGTGGATTATCTGTCTGAAGTTGGAAGGCACCACCACCGTCTCGATGCGCTCAATGTGCCTCGTTCCGTTGACCTCGGTGATGACCGTGACCGAGTGGGCAGTTCCGTTGGCTGGCTGCAAAAATCCGCCCTCCTCCAAACTCCTCAGGGTCACCAGGTCGCCGACGGTGGTGCACGAAGCCCTCATCACCCCCAGTGAAAGCAGAAGTAATATCCGAATTCTTCCGAAATTTCATTAAAACTTTGTCTCTTAAAAATGAAAATTATAAACTTACGCTCCGTCCATTTTATTTGCTTGGTTTGACTGCGGCCTGGAGTTTCCGTCATTATTTATGCACCGCGCTATCAGTTGGTTCATGAGATTTGCGGCAAATTGCAATCGCTTCGGCCATCAAGTTTGGAAATTTGTTTGCTTGGTTTATTTTCAAACAAAGCGTACTTTTATTCTATGAAGTAAAACGCTCTTGCAATTTTTAGTGTTATTATAATAATTTTTCTAAAAATTTTCCTTATTTTTAAGTTATTTTAAGTAAATAAGTAAAATATAATAAAGTTACCTCAGACTGAGCTGCGTGTGAAATGATAAAAACATTTACAAAACAAACTGGTAAATAACTTCTTGGAGTATTCTGTAGCAGATTGCTTAAAATCTCTCCTTCCTTTCAATGTGAAAAGTGCATCAATAGTGAGAAGTCTTACTAAACAAGTGACATTAACCGCCTGATAACGTTTTTTATTGGTAAAATTTTTTTAATTTTGGAGAATTTTTATTTACATTGGACAAGTTTAAATTAAATTAAACAACAATGAAGATAATTAAAATATTTCCAATTTGATTGCATAATTTTTACTAATTTTTATAAATTCATTGGAAAAAGTGCTTATCTAAATTTATTTCATTTTTAAAAATTAAACACTGTCAATTTTTCTTCCCTCTTCTAATTCTAAAATCAAAATTGAATTGAAATTTTTAAGCAAAATTTGCCGCATTATTAAATTATTTCCTCACCTTTTACAACCTGGAAGTATCTTCCACTCTTCCTTTGTGTCAATTTCCACCCAAGTGTCTCGTCTGCAACTGACTGTGATTGTCGTTCTGCCGTTGGGAAAAGCGTAATCACGACTGCAATTAACAGTGCAACGCCTTAAAATAAAAATTAAATATATTTTCTTCTTCTAAATTATTCATTCATTGAAATACCCAATAACGCAGCCTATTGAATCAAATCTTTTAGACTTTTCCGCCGATATTATCTGGCATTGTAAATTGTTGATCTCGCACTGATCTCCCTCGTAACCCTCGTATAGGCAGAAGCATTTGTTGCGTTCTTCACTTTTGACACATAAGCCACCGTTCAGGCACGCTTTTTTACACATTGAAGCTTACAAAACAAAAATTAAATTTTTCTTGTTTGAATTGTTCATTTTAACAATTAACTCACGGTCTAGTATAGATTTTGGGTCCGGAAGTTGCACGGCGCGACTTTTTCTGGGATGGTGCTCAAGAGCTGTTGGTGGATCAGGGATGACTTCCAACTTAATTTGTGTGTCGATTGTTGCAGATAACGCTCTGCATTAAATCAAATACGATCAATTTAATGCTTTTTTATTACAAATGCAGAATTTAATCTGAAAATTCTTGAGGGTAAATTAAATAATAATTATTTTTCCCTGGCAAATGCAAAATGCAACCCAAAAACACGTTATTTCGTTAATTTCTTTTCTCGGTTTGCTTTCATATAAATTCCTTTTACATCAATGAATACAAATTAAAAAATTCCTATATAAAAAATATTTTTTCTTTTGGAATAATAACTATGAGAATGCGCCTGAAAAGCCTAGTCAATAAATTATTTTTGAAATTAAGACTTGGATAAAAAAAACGATGAATCCAAACCAAAGTTTTTAAACGAATTAATGATATTTTTTAAATACTTTCAGATTTTATCCTTTTTTATATTTTCTTAAACATACACTCACAAATCGACTGTCACGACAATGACCAGGAGCAAAACAGATGCGAGCCCACGCATGTTGGCCAAGGCAATGCAATTTTTTTGTACACACGATTCCCCTTTATATAAACTGCATGGAAATAACTTAAACAAAGTAAAGGCTGTGAGGGGTGACCTCATTTATTAAAAGAAAATATGTTTATATTAGTGTAGATACAAGTCCATTCAAGCCCGAAGGCTTCTTGGCTGGTTAGCTCTTCGTTCATTTAAAGCACATATTTTTTCCCGCAAGACCAACACGATTTAATTAACTAAGAATAAGAGTTTTTTTCTTCTAAATTTCCTTGTTATTGGATTACTTCTTTCTAATCTAATTTTTTAATAAGGAGGAAAATCGAAAACTTAATTACGTTTTATTTTTATAATTGCTAACTACTTTTTTATAAACATAATGAATTACAATAAATATTAAAATGTTAAGACTGGTTAAGTCTAAAGAATTATTACCTTTTTTAATAAGCTAATTTATTGGTTCTACAAATTTTTGAAATAATTTTTAAATTGCATTTTTCCCGGTAGCTGAAGTTAGTCAGAAATGCACTGCAGGTGGTAAAGTATCTTGATCTCTAAATTTAAAATAAAAATAATTAACGTGTTCAAATTTTTCACTATTAGTGTTACTTGGATCGGTTAAAGCTGCACACCAGACAGCTTCTTTGGAAGTGTAGGTTTTCTTCTTCTAAATTTCCTTGTTCTTCGATAACTAATTTCTAATCTAATATATTTTTTAATAAAAGTTAAGTCTGAGGAATCGAAAATATAATTATGTTCATTTTATTTTTATAATTGCAAACTACATTTTTGATAAACAAAATAAATTACAATAAATATTAAAATATTACATCTAAAGAATTATCACCGTTTTTAAGAAGTTACTAAATTTATCAAATATAATTATTAAATTGCAATTTTCCCGGTCACTGAAGTTAGTCAGAAATGCACTCCAACTGGTGAAGTATCTTGATCTCTAAATTTAAGAATAATAATAGAAAATTTGTTCAAATGTTATTAAATGTCTCATACTTGGATCGGTTAAAGCTGCGCACCAGACGGCTTCATTCGAAGTGTAGGTAATTCCGTTGGTTGCACAAACTTCTGCAAAGCCACCGTTTAATTGTCTCTTACACGGTCCTGTCTCGTCTGATGGAGAGCACGGGCCGTCATGCTCTTTTAAAATGAGGTCTAAATCCATTTTTATTATAGAGATTATTGAAAAATAATTGCAGCATTGTTACAGTTTTCAATGCATCCAAGGGCCTTCTCGTCTGGATAAGTGACACCGTCTGTTCCACAGATGGGACTCGTTCCATTTGATTTTGTCATTTCATTGCATTGGACACAGTTTACAGGCATTAAATCTGTAAATTTGAATGAATTTTTGAGCAAATTAAAGAGGTAGTTTTTAGATACTTCTTAAACCAGTAATTAATATTGGTGAAAAAATACAAAAACTATAAATGGGATTTAGACAGTAGAATTTCAGAAACTAATTAATAGACAATAATTTTGTGTATGACAGAGGAGAATAATAATAATAATTCTGATTATTTACAGTAAACATATTCTTATAATGAAAAGTAAATCCATGGCAAAAAAAATATTTCTAATTCTTATTTTCTTACTTCTTTTGTAGTTCTTAAATTTTGTTGCTGGTAAAGATGTTTCATTACCCAAATAATTACTATTCTTGATTTAAAATTTTTGTATTCATTTCAAACTCACCTTGACCTTTGGCTTTTTTGTCGGCTTGCGCGACCAAGAAAGCAAAAACGGAGTGATAAGTTGAATTGTCCGATCCGCAAATTGCGCTTGATTCAGACCGGCTTCCGGCCAGTTCGCGAATTTGGTCAGCTGAAAAGAGGCCTTTGACCTCGTCAGGGGTGCACGCGCCGTCGTGCATCACTCGCAGTTTGGGGTTGGATTTTCGCAGTTTGCGAATTTCATTCACATTTTTGTATGTGAAGCCGTTAGTGCCGCAAATTATGTTGACTGGTGCAAAAGAATTTTCATAATTGAACACGCAAGCACCGTCATACTTCCGACTAAGATCTGAAATAAATTTGGAAAGAAATTCAAAAATCAAAATATTTAATATTTTTACAATAAAAATAGAATTTAAAAAAATAAACGGATTAAAAAATCAAATGGCGTGATGCAAGTTATGAGACTTTTTCAAATCCTCAATATTATTTAATTAAAGAATTAATTACAAAATATAAATGTCCTTTAATGATATAATTATAATAATAATAGATTATTTGGAAAAAAACCCTCAAAATTGAAGACCATTGCAAATCTAAAGGAAACACTTACTTAAGTAAGGATTTTGACTCGAGAAACACTTGAACTCTTCTTCGTTGGAAAAAGTTTGTTCAGAATCTAATCCATAAGAAGAGACGCAGACCGGTTTGTAAATGGGCGAAAAGGAACAATCGATTTTGCACTCGCCCTCATGCTGAACCGTGATTTCTGAAAATTTCAATAAGAATTTTTTTCTCCTAGCAAAAATGTGATTGTCTGACCAACTTTGCGGTACTGAGCGACTTCCTGCATTTTCCAGACGTTGATGTAAGTGACATTGTCGGAACCGCACACCTCGTGATCGGCAGCATAAGTCAGGAAAAATAATTTGGATTCGTCCTGTTTTTGTGCATCACATTTGTCGCTCTCCTGTTTCTCAACTGCGTGACCTGTAGGAAACAAAATCCATGTTCTTAGTGTCCTCAATTGAAAAAATTGAAACTATCATTCATTTTTTTGTAAAAAATATTCTTATATTTATCAATTTAAACAATTTTTTTATTAAATAACCAAAACTTTTAATTGGAAAAATGCTAATTTTCACCTCAAGTTTAAAAATATTTTCCCCTTTAACCAATTTTGAAATTTCTGTCCCGACAAAGAAGAATGAAAAAAAAAATAATTATCTAACCTGAATAGTTTTTTGCACATTCGAGTGCGTCCAGATTGGGATAAATAACTCCGTCGGTGCCGCAGACCTGAAGCTCCTTTTTGATCGGCCACGCGTCCGGCTTCACTGCCCTTTGGCACGATTTTGCTGGTCCAACTTAAAAAAAAAAATTAATTTTTATTTCTTCTGAAAATTCATTCCAAACGATACCTATGTTGTACGAGCGTGAAGTCGCAAACGCCCCTGCCAGAAACGCGAGAAACAAACTTGAACGCGCCAACAACATTATTCGCCCTCGTCGGTTTCTAAACAGAACTGATCGTTTTCCTCCACAGCGGTGCTCTTTATGCCATCCACGTGTTTATTCAACTCTCGTGAAAATCTGACACTAAGCAAAATTTCAGGAACGGACTGACGTTTTCAGTAAATATTTTAAGCAGAGATTTGAATAAATTTAATATTGCAAAATTGTTCTTCTTGGAATTTTCATGCGGCAAAAAAAAATTTAATACAAAATTATTTTGATTACTCTAAACGTATGGAATTCAATCACATTATGCGACATAACCCATCAACTTTTAATATTTAGGTTAGCACTATATAATATTTTTTTTTTTAAATAATTTCAGTTTTATTACAAGTTTTTTTTTTTCAAAAAGAAATTCAAAGGAGTCAGTCCGTAGCTATTTTCCTTAAGAAAATTAGTGTAGTTTGCAAGATTACGTGTGCACGCTAAAAATTTCATGTTTTTCCTCGAACGTAACTGTCTCTGGCGACTCACTCAACGTGGGCAAACTTCGGGCACGTCAGTGTTAAAATCAATGTGCCACATGAAAAAGTTTATAAATATGATTCGCACTTGACACTTTATTTTGATTTGGAGTACTCACTAAGAAATTAGCGCCTCTAAATGTGCTTAACGTAATTTTTATTCAAAACTTTCAATAATCCATTATTTTTGTTTAACTTAATTTGATGAAAAGCCTTAAATAAAGTTTTTTTTTAAATTTATTTTCAAATATTGTATTATATTTTTTTTTTCGATTTTAGCATCACGATAATTATTAAAATTTTGAATTGAAATTTTATTTCATATCAAAATTAAACTTGGAATGAAAAAGCAATCTGCTTGTTCACCCTATTGTAATAAGGTGCATATTTTAAAAGCAACAAACGTTAAAATGGATTTAATAAATAAAGACAATGAATATTTTTGGACTTTGGAGGAAAAAATTGATAAATAAGTATTTCATTTCTTTTTTAGATATTATTGTAATATGTGGGTAAGGAAAAGCAAACTTTTCATTTTTACAAAAATGAAAACAACCATTTTAATTAGCAGCTTTGATTTTCAATTGTGCAAGCTCAAATTAATAATGTCACAAACATTATTAAAAATTATCATACACAATTTTAATCAATTTATAAAACGATTTTCAAATTCCTCTTTGCCTGTTCGCCGCATTTAGACACTCTCCCTGGTGAAACAATTTGATCTCTATATTAATTAAAAAGAATTAGAATATTTAGTCACAAATTTACTCTTTCTCTTACTTGGATTTGTTAAAGCTGCACACCAGACGGCTTCTTTGGAAGTGTAGGTTATTCCGTTGGTTGCACAAACTTCTGCAAAGCTATGTAATTGTTTCAAACACGGTCCTGTTTTGTCCGAGGGCGAGCAAGGGCCGTCGTGGTCTTTTAAAATGAGGTGGTCTAAAATTAATCAAAATTAATCATTATTGTTGCAAAATATTGCATTTTTTACGGGTTTTGGTGAATTTGAGGGTCTTCTCGTCATGATAAGTGACACCGTCTGTTCCACAGATGGGAATCGTTCCATTTGATTTTGTCGTTTCATCGCATTTGGAACATTTTACAGGCCTCAAATCTTTAATTAAAATTGAATTATTGCACAATTTTCAAAGCTTTTGGTGTAAATTTTAGAACTTATTAAATGATTAAATAAACGTTAATTTTTAAAAAATATAATAAATATAAATTATACATAAATTTGATTCCAATAGTAGAATTCCAATGATGTATTTTAATTTTTACACACGAAAAATCCCTAACGATTATAGGAAGTTTAAAAAAAATCGATGTCTCTTTTTGAAACTTGTTTTTTAACATTTTTCAATTTTTCTACATTACTTTTTTATTGGACTATGTTGCTTTGAAACAGGGAAAATAATTCCATAGAAGTACCCCAATACTACATTATTTAAAAAATTACTCACCTTGGCCTTTGGCTTTCCTGTCGGCTTGCGCGACCAAGAAAGCGAAAACCGAGTGGTAAGTTGAATTGTCCGAGCCGCAAATCGTACTTTTTTCAAACCGGTTTTCGGCCAGTTCGCGAATTTGGTGAACAGAAAAGAGGCCTTTGACCTCTTCAATCGTGCACGCGCCGTCGTGCATCACTCGCAGTTTGGGGTTGAACTTTTGCAAAGCGCGAATTTCGCTTACGCCGTTGTATGTGAAGCCGTTGGTGGCGCAAATCTTGTTGGTTGGTGCAAAAGAATATTCGAAATTGAACACGCAAGCACCGTCGTGCTTTCGAACAAGTTCTGAAATTAATTTTAAATATAAAAAATTAAATTCACAAATTAGAATTTAATTTAAAAAAAATAATTAATGGGGCGATTCAAATGAGGCTTAGTTAGACTTTTTCAATTACTCCTCAATTTAATTAAAAAATAAATAAAATTAATTATTATCCTTTTTATCACTCATTAATTAATTATTATTTGTTTTTTAAAGATTGCTGAATTTAAAAAAAAAATTGCTACAAATCTCAAGGAAAAAGGTAAAAAAATATCTGCCTACTTAAGTGTGGGCTTCGAATATGGAAACACTTAAGCGCTTCTTCATTGGAAAATGTTTGTACAAAATTTGCTGTAAATGAGGCGCAGACCGGTTTGTAAATTGGCGAAAAGGGGCAATCAATTTTGCACACGCCCACGTGCTGAACCTGAATTTCTGAAAATTTTAATAAGGAATCTTTTTTCCAAACGAAAATGTGATTGTCTGACCAACTTTATAGGTCCGAGCTGTTTCCTGCAAGTGCCAGACGTTGTTGTAAGTGGCATTGTCTGAACCACAAACCTCGTGCCTGGCGGCGAAAGACAGGAAGGACAATTTGAATTCCTTTTGCTTTTTTTCATCACATTTGTTGCGCTCCTGTTGTAGTTCAACTGCGCGAGCTGAAGAAGAAAATGTCAAGGAATTAAAGAAAAGGGCCATTCCTCCCTTTAATTAACCCTAATTAAAAAATTAGTTTATTGGCCAAAAAATTTGAAAATGCTTGAAAAACATTTTTCTATTTTTATAAAACATAAATTTTTTTAAATTCCAATTTTTATTTACTTACTAAACATATTTTAAGGAAGTAACTTTTTTAAAGAAAAAAATTCCCTGGTTTTGCAAAAATTTCCGTTTCTCCCAAGATTGTAGTTCAAATATGTAAAATAATTAAGCTAACCTGGAACGATTTTTAGCATTTTTGAACATTCTAGAGCGTCGAGACTTGGATAAATAACTCCGTCGGTGCCGCAGACCTGAAGCTCCTTTTTGATCGGCCACGCGTCTGGCTTCACTGCCCTTTGGCACGATTTTGCTGGTCCAACTTAAAAAAAAAATTAATTTATATTTCTTCTGAAAATTCATTCCAAACGATACCTATGTTGTACGAGCGTGAAGTCGCAAACGCCCCTGCCAGAAACGCGAGAAACAAACTTGAACGCGCCAACAACATTATTCGCCCTCGTCGGTTTCTAAACAGATCTGATCGTTTTTCTCCACAGCGGTGCTCTTTATGCCATCCACGTGTTTATGCAACTCTCGTGAAAATCTGTTACTATGCGAAATTTCAGGAACGGACTGACTGTAAAAAAATTATAACATAATTATTTATCATAGATGTGAGAAAATTCAAAATTGCATAATTGTTTGTCTTGACTTTTTCACGCGGGAAGGTAAAAATTTAATATTGAATTATTTTTATTACTCTAATTGTAAAGAATTTAATCACATAATACGACATGACCCATCAGCTTTTAATATTCAGGTTGCTATTTTTATTTTTTACAAAATAATTTCTGTCAGAAAGATTTTGTTATTCTAAAAAGAAATTCAAAGGAGTCAGTCCGTTGCTATTTTCATTAAAAAATTAGTGTTGTTTTGTAAGGTTACGTAAGCACGCTAAAAATTTAATGTTTTTCCTTGAACGCGTACCCGTCTCTTCGCGAATCGCTCAACGTGAGCAAACTTCGGTCGCGCCACATGAAAACGTTTATAAATATGATTTGCACTCGGCTCTGGTTTCATTCTTAATGCTCACTAAAAACTTGCATCCTCTTTTAAACACCTCCAAATTTACTAGTAAAATGATTTAAAAAACATTGTCCAGTAAATCTTTTGCACTTTTCTTGAAGAAATCATCATCAATTTTTTTTTAATCAATTTATTTTTGAAATATGTATCTTTTATAATTGATTATATTTTTCAAATTTAGCATTCAACGATAATTATGAAATTTCTAAATTTATATTTTATTTAATACTATATAAAAATAAAATTTGGAGTGAGAATATAATCTGCTCATTCGCCCTATTGAAAGAAGCTAAAAATTTTAAAAGCAACTAACGTTTAAATGGATTTAATGTACATTTTTGAAGGAAAAATGGTGATGATATTTTCAACATTTTTTTAGACATTAGTTTAATAGTGTTTTTAATTAAAAAAAACAGTTTATTTTAATTTAGTAAACTGAAAACAACAATTTTTTAGCGGCTTTTATTTTCAATCACATACAAGCTCAAAGTAATAATGACACAAATATTATTAAATATTTGATCCCATGCAATTCTGACCAATTCATGAAATGATTTTTAAATTCAATTTTTCCTCTTGGCCGCGTTTAGGCAGAAATACACTCTCCCTGGTGAAATATCTTGATCTCTACATTGGAAAAGAAAAATTAGAAAATTCATTTTTCTCTTTCTCTCTTACTTGGATCAGTTAAAGCTGCGCACCAGACGGCTTCATTGGAAGTGTAGGTTTTTCCGTTGTTTGCACAAACTTCTGCAAAGCCACCGTTTAATTGTCTCTTACACGGGCCTGTGTTATCCGAGGGCGAGCACGGGCCGTCGTGGTCTTTGAAAATGATGTGGGCTAAAATTGAGGAAAATTAATCATAATTATTAACAAAAATGTGCATTTTCTACTGGTTTGGGCGCATTTGAGAGTTTTCTCATCTGGATAAGTGACACCGTCTGTTCCACAGATGGGAATAGTTCCATTTGATTTTGTCGTTTCATCGCATTTAGCACATTTCACATTTCTCAAATCTATAAATAAATGTGAGTTATTGAACAATTTGCTATGGTTTTGGTTTAATTTTAAAATTTTTTTGATGAATTTAGATTAAAACACATCGATTATTAATTACTTTGTTTTTACACACAAAAAAAGAACATGATAATTTATTTGTATTTTTTTTTTTTAAATAATAAAGAAAATTTCTCTTCTATTTCTCGTTTTTAACCTATTTTTTCATTTATTATTTTTGTGGTTTAACGTTTGTTCTGCTATAAAACTCAATATATAATTATGTCTAATAAATTTTATGGAAAGATTTTAATGAGAAGCACTTACCTTGGCCTTTGGCTTTTTTGCCGGCTTGCGCGACCAAGAAAGCGAAAACGGAGTGATAAGTTGAATTGTCAGAACCGCAAATCGCACTTGATTCAGACCGGCTTCCGGCCAGTTCGCGAATTTGGTCAGCTGAAAAGAGGCCTTTGACCTCGTCAGGGGTGCACGCGCCGTCGTGCATCACTCGCAATTTGGGGTTGAACTTTCGCAGATTGCGAATTTCTTTCACGCCATTGTATGTGAAGCCGTTTGTGCCACAAATTATGTTGACTGGTGCAAAAGAATGTTCATAATTGAACACGCAAGCACCGTCATGCTTTTGGCTAAATTCTGAAATTAATTTTAGTTATAAATAAATTTAAAATGTTGGATTATTAAATATGAAATAATCAAGAGGGCGATGCAAATGAGGCTTAGTTAATTTTGTTCAAATCCTCTAATTCATTAAAAAGTTAATTGATTCATGAATTATTATCCTTTTCATGACACATTAATATAAACTTTTTTTGTAAAGATTGCTGACTTTTAAAAACATTGTTACAAATCTAAAGGAAGAAGGAATAAAATTTGTGCTTACTTATGTATGGATTTCGATGCTGGAAACACTCAAGGGCTTCTTCGTTGGAATAAGTTTGTTGAAAATCTCCTGTAAATGAGGCGCAGACCGGTTTGTAAATTGGCGAAAAGGGGCAGTCAATTTTGCACTCGCCCTCGTGCTGAACCGTGAGTTCTGAAATTTTTAATAAGAATTTTTCTCCAAACAAAAATGAGATTGTCTGACCAACTTTATTGGCCCGAGCTGCCTCCTGCATGTTCCAGACGTTGTTGTAAGTGACATTGTCCGAAGCACAAACCTCGTGTTTGGCGGCAAAAGCCAGGAAGGACAATTTGAATTCGTCCTGCTTATTTTCGTCACATTTGTTGCGCTCCTGTTTCTCAACTGCGCGACCTGGAGAAGAAAAATTTACGTGGAAAAATCCATTCTTTTATTAAAATCTTTTAAAATTCGTTACAATGTAAATAAACCATAAATTTTGCCCTTGTTTTCATCAAAAAATTAAACCTTTTTAAAAGTAGATAAAAATAATTATTTTTTAATATATTTTAATGGAAATATTCCTTTTCTAAAATTAAAAAAAAAATACATAACATTGTATATTTTTCAAAATTGGATCTTACCTGTAGCGTTGTTTGCACATTCAAGAGCGTCGAGACTTGGGTAAATAACTCCGTCGGTGGCGCAGACCTGAAGCTCCTTTTTGATCGGCCACGCGTTAGGCTTCACCGCCCTTTGGCACGATTTGGCTGGTTCAACTTCAAAGAAATAAAATAATATTTCTTCTGAAAACTCGTTCAAAACGATACCTATGTTGAATGGTGGTGAAGTCGCAAACGCCCCTGCCAGAAGCGCAAGAAACAAACTTGAACGCGCAGACAACATTATGTGTCGCTCTCTCGGCACTCGGTTTTAAAATGAACTTTTTCCACCGCAGCAGTGCTATTTATGCCACGATTCTCTTGCTCATTGAACTCTTGTGAAAATCTGTTGCTATGCGAAATTTCAAGAACGGACTGACTTTGAAGAAAAATAATTATAACTTTTAACAAACGCAAAAAAGTTTGATTTTTCTTTCGGAAAGTGTCAAACTTCATCAAAACCCATATTTTTTCATTGCAATTACTGGAATTTAAATGAAATCACATAATTATAATATTGTGGGCAGTGTGGCCCACCCAATTAAATTTTCTGGATACATATCACTATTTGTACAATATATTTTTGTATTAATTTTCAGTTTTATTTTTTAAATAAGATCATTTTTCTTTTTGTAAGACAATCAAAAAAGAAGGTCAAGAGAGCCGGTCCGTTGCTATTTTCCTTTGAAAAATGGGTAAATAAAAGTAATATTTGTGATACTTAATATTTTATGTTTTCCTTGAACGTAACAACGATCTCTTTGAGACTCTCTCAACGTGGGCAAACTTTAGAGACATATCAGTGTTAAAATACTTAAAATCAATGCTCTCTCTTGTCACCCTACCAAAAGTAAATATAACTCTTTGCGTTCAACTCTATTTTGATTTAAAACCACTAACAACTTGCGCAATCTTATAACGCCTTTAAATTTGTTGTAATTTTTTCCAAAAAACTTTAATTTCAAAACATCAAATAATTTATGTTTTTATTAATATAAAATATTGTTTTATTCCCCAATTTTGCATCGCAATAATTACAAAACTTTAACATCGAAATCTCCAAATATTTAATATTTTTTATTGAATTGAGACTTAACATAAAAAAAACCTGTCCATGATGAATATTTAATTTTGAATTTTTTTTATTAAATTCATTTCAACACATCTTTGGGAATATTTTCGTGGTGCCTTCTTCAATATTACTTTTGCTCACATATGAAATATTTCTTATTGGTAGCTATTTTACAAAAGCTGATCTCCTTTTCGAACACTTTGTAGGATATTCCATCTTCAGAGGGGCTTTTTTCCCACGTAGGCCGAATGTCGAGGAAATTACTTGCGGTAGAGAAGGGCGCGTTGGAAGTGCACCACACCGGATTTTGAGCGTTCTTCCGAATGCCGGCTGTCCATGACCATATTTTTGCAAAAACAGGATTAACTGGAATTTTAAATTTATTTATAAGAAAAAATTAACTAGATTTCAAAAAAAAAAAAAACTTGGGGTTAGAAGACAATCTGCTTTTTCGGCACTGTCTACTGAAATGAGCTGCAAATTGTAAGAGCAACAAATGTCCAGAGCACTTTTCAACGATACCTGTCAAAAAAAAGGCAATGGTTATATTTGAGAGAAAAAAACGTAAAATATTTTTAACATTTTGCGAATAGTAGAGATACTTTTTGCCACAATGGAACCGCACAAATCCATTCCCATTTGTTATGTTTGTTTCACCTGAAAATTTATATTTTTATTTTGTAAAATCTGAAAACTTTAACATGCCAGCTGCAGCCAAAAATTCATCCTGCAGAGTTTTCTGTTTTTCGTCAATCAACATTTAAATTAAAATATTATCCAAGTTCAAATTTTACATTGATTGGACATGACGGCGTGTTCGGACATTGGGCAATGGGGAAATTTTGTGATGTCGGCTGAAATTTATTTTTAATTTTTTTTCGGGATTTTGTATAAATATATTTATTTTTACAAGAGGAATAGATTGATCGACTGTCGTGATGACCGCATTTAAAACGTCTGGTGCCTTCTCATTGGTGCATTTAATCATTTGGGCCGCTTGGTCGCACTCATCCATCCCACCTTTAATAAAATTCTAATTAATCCAAAATACTGGCCAAATTTGGAAATTACTGGCAGAATTTTGGCACCCAACCAAGATATCCGTGTTCTTCTTCAAATCTTTTAAGTTTCCTTTCGCCATTTTTTCTAAAGTGGCCAAAACCTCACCGTCGATGAATTTCCCATTAACCATCTGAAGAACATGAATAAAATTTAATAATTATTAATTATCATTTAGGAAACCAGTCCGGCACTATCTCCGATGCATCTTAAAAAACACTAAAAATTATTAAAATTAGCCAAAGTAAAAAGAAAATGATATAGATATCCACTTTAATCCTCAAATCAAATTTGCTTGTGTCATTCATCAAGGTGTCGATCTCCTCTGAAATTTATTGTATAATGTTTACCGTAATTTATTTTGTAAATTAAGCAACTTTGGGTAACATTGTAGGCTGCGGCACATTCATCTCGAATTGCATTTCCACCCGTCTTTTTATACGCCGTTTCCCTTGCCTTGATTAAAGCGCAAATAATTATTTAAATTTAAGACCCTCTCCAGTAGTTTTAATTGCTCGCTACTCTGACAGAACTGAAGATTTTAAGTATATTTATTGAATTGTTGCTTTGCAATATAGCAGGAAAGTATGAACCTGAAAATACTTTTATGAGTTTTATCAAAACAATTCATATTTTGGGCATTGGTGGCGCTGTGAACGCACCAACAACAGCGCCACCAACGACCAAAATATAAACTTTTTAAGAAATCTTCAGGTTCGTACTTTTTTAATGCGAATTTGGTTTTCTTACAATATTGCGACAAAATTTTGCATTGTGTTTTCACAATATATTTCAAACATATTTGAAATTATAAAAAAGAGCAATTAAAACCAAAATCTTTTGCATCTTATACCTCGCAAATGTATCGAAATTTTTGTTCCTCACTGAAATCTGAAAGTAAAGCGTGGCTGCCGTTGATGAAAACAGCGACGGCGTTTTCATTTCCGTTTGAATTGTCCGGCTGTCCAAAATCCCAGATCGCCTCTTGACGCAGAAGTCGTTTTGCGGTGCAGTATCCGAATTTTCCCTCGCAACCCCTGTCTGATCCTGACGTCCAAAAAACGTCCGCCGTGTACGATGCGTTTCCTGAGTTTGAAAGAATTAATTTGCCCAGGATTATCATATTTTTATTACTAGTGAGAGCGTATTTGAGTGAATTGTATTTGAAATCGTACTCGATGCTGAGCAAAGTCATTCCGATTTCGCAGCACGCTTGAAATGCGCTTAAAAACTGAGAGAATTTCAGTCAAAGTTGCTTGATTGTTTTTCAAAATAATATTACTGTTTTGGTATTGTTTGGGTAGCTGAAAAGATAGCTGCGACCTTTGTATGAGCACCAGCTGCCATGAAAATTTGGATCTATTATAAAATCAAGAAAATTATAAATAAAAAAATTTGAAATTTATTATTAGAATACCTTTTAAATTAGACTCATTGTTATAAAAGTATGGCTAAAAATAAAAATGAGGTGCATTTCTAAAAACCTGCCGAATTTAATATAAATCTTTATACATTTTTCTGACAGGTTATATTTGGGCAGGTGGGGGCCGAACATTTCGGGGCTGCAGTCGGAGGACCCTAATTTAATTAGAGAAACTAAATTTAGGCTTTTTGTAGGCAAATTTTAGTTTCCAAATAGTTAGAATTTTTTGCTATCATGGAGGAGATTTCCATCATATGTATAAGTTACCTGGCATGCGAAAAATAAAGTTTCGTTGCACATCCGCCGTGACAATTCGTACGTGGCGTTGGCCTTCAGTATTTTCAACTGGACACAGTTTTCACTTTCTCTGGCCGATCGAGGTTGTCCCGCGGCCCAAAGGATGGACGAACTTTCTGCGACTGTTGTGCCATTTTTTGTGCACCAGGAATAATAACTCGTTGATGTTCCAAATCCAGAAGTCCAAAACATTGTAGAGCCCGTCCAGTCTGACGCTGAAATTAATTATGCAAAATTATGCAATTTTATTTTTTAATTAAATACTTAATTTTTGGAAACATTCATTCTTTTTGTCATTCTCTAACGACACTGGTTCCATTCCGATTTTCAAACATTTTGCCACATTTTCTTCCCAAGAAACCTGTTTTTAAAATTTTACTTAAAATAATAAAGTTCAAACAAAAGTTATACCAAAGTTTTTCCAATCAAGAATTGTTGGTCGCAGGAATTCATCCAAAATCCTCGCGTGTCTGGGTCTAAAAATGATATTTTTAATAATAAATTTAAAGTTTTTGAGTGAAATTAAGAAACTTTTCAAAAGTCCATCATTGCTGAACTCGTTTGGCTGAAATTTTGCATTATTAAAATTGAAATGAAAATTTTTTTCATGCCTCCGGTTGAATTGAATAGTTGCAATTTGGTAAATTGACAGCCGCCTGCACAGAAATAATAATTATTTTTTTTTATAAATTGAAATTAAAATTTTAAATGAAATGGAAGGCTTTTACAATTAATGTTGTTAATGTAGTGGAAGAAGAGGTAACTTCAGCAGATTTAATTGTCGTTGCAGTTTGCATTTCTGTCGAAATTTGTGTTCCTGACGCAAATTGTGTTCCTGACGAAATTGTTGTTCCAGGCAAAGACGATTCCATGCTGGATTCAGAGGATGACTTGGTCGAAATAAAATTAGTTGTTTGTTCCTGGGAAACCTCAGCAACGGTAGCGCCACTAGAATTACTCGATATAAATTTTTCAAAAGATAACCTAATTGCTACTTTTCTGTCGGAGAATTGTCCGTCTGAGCGTCAGTATTTGTTTGACCATCGCCACTTTCAGAGAGTGTGGTTATTTCCTCAATGTCAGCAATCGGCGATGTTTCGTCGTTTGCGTCAGAATCCAAAGCCGATTTTGTGTAAATGATTGTTTCAGTTTTATTGCCAAATGTGCTATCTTTTTTGCTAGAAGTTTTAGTGCAGGAGTTTTTTCCGCAGCATTTGATTATGCTTGTCCTTATTTGCTTCGGATTTCTGGCCACTGTATTAAAAAAAATCAATAAAATCAATAAAAATTTGTTTTTAAAACACTTACTATGAAATCTTGCTCTGTGGATCTTTGCTTTAGCCGCAGTTACCTCGTTGAAGCAAATAATAATCTGCATAAAATATTAAAGCATTTAGTCACACTTTAAAATAAAAAGATCAGCAGAGACTGTTAGCATAAGAATCAACAAAGTCAACACAAAATCTTTCTTGTACATTCTTGGAGCTGCTTTCTGACTTCTGACCAAGTGTCACTGAGCACTTCCCGTTGTGTAAATAATGTAATGTACTTTCAAATTACTCTACGAGCTATGGATGGTATTCCCAATCGATTTTTCCATCCGTTTTTTTAGGTAATTTATTTTACATCAGGAAAAATGAGTTTTTACTGCTACTTACGTAACAAATTTTGGAATCTCCATGATACTTGAGTTCAGAATATGACGATTGTAGAAAATAAGCAACCTTTGGCTATAGTTCTGGGAGGACTTAAATCTTGCACTTAATTATATAATAAATAATTAATGTAAATGTTTAATATTTAAAATATAAAATAAGAATCAATTTTTTCTGTTAAATTTACATTGATCAATTTTCGTTGGTTAATTTTATACCAATTTTTAGCAATAATAAGAGATTAAAACTGTATCTGTATTTTTTGCCAGTATAATATCATTTATGAGCAAAAAAGTTATTTGATTTGGGTATTTTTCTGACTGTTTTTGATTGATTTTTGAAACAAAATTTCTGAACAATGGTATTCCCAATCATCAGGACGGGCTACTTTTGGTACTCCTAAGCGTTTTTTAAAATGAAAAAGTGTGTGCATTTAAAAATCTGATAATATTTATTGGTTTTTATTATGGCGAGATTATTTACACCGAAATTATCTAGATTTTCGTCGCGCCTTAATTTTCATTTCTGACCCTGCACATTTTAAAAGAAATTAATATGCAGACATTTATTTATTCTTTTGTGTACGCTAGTGTTGAATGATTTTATTTTAAAATTTCAATTCTGTTCGCAAATTGCAGGAAATTTTGCATTAAATCGTATTGAAATTAGCTGTTTCGTAGTCAACTTGACTACGAAACCGCCGCCGACTTTAGTATCTTGGATGGTAACATTGAGGAAGGTCTTGGTATGTGAGAATGAAGCATTCTTGGAGCCGGTGCACCAGCGCGAGTTTTTGGCGGATCGCAAATTGCTTCCTGCCGTCCACGCCCACGTGTTGGACACGTTTGCAACACCTTGAATTATATTATGTTAATTTTATTTCAATCAAACGACAAAATTACTTTGAGACTCAAGGCAAGTGGCTTTTGCGGAACTGTCGAGTGAAACGATTTTCAATCCGCGAATGCAACACTGACGAAATGCTTCCGTCATGTTCACCTGAGATGTTTGCAAAATTTAATCACATTGTAAAATTTTGGATTAATAAATTTTTAACTAATGCCATGAAGAACAGATACTTCTTTCCACAGCGGACTTGCACAACTCCATTTGTCACTTTTGATCCATCTTTAAATTTATTAGTTTCATTTAAATGACTTTTATATCATCAATTTTTTTTTGGTATTTATTCAAAAATGTAACTTCATTCTACTAAAAAATCGGCCAGATCCAATTTTTGATAATTTTCCTTAAATTTACATTTGCTTGTAGATTTTATTTCCAAGGAGAGATCATAGGGAAAATTGTATTCATTTCAAGAACTGAATTCTGGAAAATTCACATTTTTACTCATGGTAATTTTCCAAAATAATTTTTTTCTCAAAACTGGCCCGACCAAAATGGATAAATATTTGACCAATAGAGTTGAAAAATAAAATCAATCTTGACTTAAAATTTACATTAATTAGTAAACATTTTTGTCAGTGTATTTTTAAAAATATTTTATATTTAATTTCAAACACTCTCTTCTTATTCCAATCATTTTTTATGTTCCCCAATAATTCACCGAAAATCAATGCAATATTGTTGCATTTAAATATAATATTACTTTTTGCGAATTTGAATTCCTGCACCAAAGTTTTCTGTTAGGAGAAAATAATTTATTTAAATTTTAATAATTGATAGTTATTTTAATTACATTCACGACGCACTTATTGAAGCACCGAGCGAGGGGGAAGCTTAGTTTTCTAATCTTAAAAAGTTTAAAATTAATTCTGCATACCAAAAATGAAATATTTTTGTCTTTAGTACAGGCATTGCCTTTTGCACGGTCATGACAACCGAATTGAGAGCTTCGGGCGCCTTTTCACTGCTGCATTTGATCATGTGCGCCGCTTTGTCACACTCGCTCATGTTCTCTGTTGACAAAATCAATTTTTTTTTCAGATTAAAAGCTTAAAATTTTACCAGCGGCACGTTGACATGCGCTCAAGAGTTGCGTGTTATTTTTCAACTCGTTTGAATTTCCCATGGAAATGTTTTCCAGTGCTGCTAAAACACGACTGTCCACAAACTTCCCATTCACCATCTGCAAAAGTTTCATTATTTCTGGTACGTTAAAATGAATTTTTAAACAAACCATCCCTGCATTGTCACCGACGCACTTCAAAAAGCACTTGATTTCAAAATTTTAATTATAAAATAATTTCCCGTTTATAATAAATTTACTTTCATTCGCTCGTCAAACTTTTCTGTCGTATTGAAAATATTGTCGATCTCAGCTAAAAATTTTTGTCAAAGTTAAATTTCCTTTGAAATTTTCGATTTACTTTGACTAATGTTGTAAACTGCGGCGCATTCGTCTCGAACTGCGTTCCCACCAGTTCCGTCCGGATCGGAATCTCGAGCCTTTAAAAGAAAATTTAAATTTTAAATTTCAGGATAAATATTTTACTTGAAATTTGCCTCGCAAATGTATCTGAACATTTTATCTTCGCCGAAATCCGAAAGCAACGCGTGACTGCTGTTCAAAGAAACGGCCAGGGCGTGTTCGTTTCCTCCGGAGTTGTCCGGCTGTCCCGAATTCCAGAGCGCCTCTTCCTGCAAAGTTCGGTTGGCGGTGCAATAACCGAACTTGCCTTTGCAACCGTTGTCGGTGCCGGAAGTCCAGAAGACATCAGCCGTTGTTTGATTGTCTGGTTTTAATTTTTGCATAATTTGAACATTTCAGTCGGAAAAAGGGTCTAATTTTATTGTAAAAAATATATTTTTTCATTTTAAAAAGCTCATTTTGTCTGATTTTGTCAAAGAAAAGAGTTTTTAAATAAAATATAATTCTTTTCTAATTTTGTTGGAAATCAAAGGCAGAACTGATTTGAAATAGAATTATTGTTCCTTATAAAAAAAAAAATAAAATAAAATATTCAAAGTTTAAAGTTTTATATTGAATTTCAGGAGTAATAAAATTGCACTAATTTAATTTCAACAAAAAGAAAAAAAGTCTGGTCCTGAACTTAAAAAAAGAAAAAAGTGAAAACAATCCAAAAATTCTTCAGAATGAATTAAAAATATAGAATCAAAACAAAGTGTCTACAATTTTAATTGTAAATTTTATCCTTTTGATGATATTTTTCATTAATAATCTTTTGGTACTTTTGATCGCTGTGACAAGAGAGGTGTATTTGTAGTCGTATTCAAGGCTGAGCAAAGTCATTCCTACTTCACAACACGCTTTGATTGCCCCAGTAAACTAATGAGATTGATATATTATTATTATTATGGACTTTTTTTGCCAATAAAAACCGTTTGCGTCAGATTTGGGTAGCTGAAAAGAAACAATCGCCCCTTGTATCTGTACCAGTTTCCATGCAGATTCGTGTCTTTGGCAAATTCGATTACATAATTTTAAACACTTGCACTTGGGAAAAAAATTTATACACACTTGATAAAACTTCTCCTGAACCTTCTTCAGCCGTCGCGTTGGTGGAATTCAAGAAAAAGGAAGCCTGAAGAAAATACAAGATAAAAAGAAACTTGCAATAAAAAAAAAGTAGTTTTTACTTTTTTCTGGCAGGTTACATTTGGACATGATGGACTGGAGCATGGAGGAGGAGTAGTAGTTGGACCCTGTTTTGAAAATTGAAATTATAGTTCAGTAAAATGTCTGTTATTGCAAATTTTAATTGATTTTAATTGAAAAAGTGACACTTTTATCCATGTTAAAAGAAAATTAAATTATACATTTGCTGCAAAAGCCGTTTAAAATTGTGTTAAAATCAATCTGAATTTCTCAACCATATATTTAATCAATAACTGAAAAAAATGTTAGGTAGTTTGTTTTTGCTGATTTTCCACACCTGGCAAGCGAAAAAGAGACTCTCGTTGCACATTTTTCCTTTCAACTGGTACGTGGCGTTATCTTTCAAAACGCTCAATTGAACGCAATCTTCCTGGACTTTCGAAACGCCTGTCCACGGAATTGTTGGCGATTCTTGCAACGTGCTTGATACGTTTGCTGAGCACCAAGATATCACACTTATGTCCGTTTTCAAGCCACAAGTCCAATAGTTTTCTGCAAACGTCCAATCAAGTGCTGAAGAATTTGTAAATTCAGGAACTCTCGTTTAAAAAAATTTTAACTTTAAATACTCGTCATGTTCCGAAAACATTGGTTTTTGGTTGCGTTTGCAAACGCCAAAGGTTGCATTCCAATATTGAAACACTTGTCTATATTTTCTTTCCAGCTCATCTGAAAAGAATAAAATAAAAATCATAAGAAATTAAAACATTTAAATATACCAGAGTTTTTCCAAATAAGAAAAGTTGATCACAGGATTGAAGCCAGTACCCGTAACTTTCAGGCTCTTCAGTTTTAAATAAAAATTAAAATTCAAAAGGAATTTTAATTCTATACCTTTGAGGAGTCCATTATTGTTGAACGCAAGTGGCTGGAATTTAAAATTTTCAAATTTGTAACAAAGATCCAATTTTTATTTGGAATTATTACGTCTTTTACCACTGACGTTTCACTGCAGTTTGGAAAAACCTGGGGCTTTTGAAGCAGGAATTAAAATTTAATTGCAAATCCAGGAAATTAATTTACAGTGGTTGGTAAAGGAGTTGTGGTTGATGTAGTTTCAACCGTAGTGCTTGTAATATTTTCAACAGGTGGCGTCGACTGGGGTTGTGTAACTTCCGAGGTTGGTTGCTCTGGAATTACCGATGACGAAATACTAAACCTGTTTTATTTTCTATTAATTCCAAATTGTCATAAGAAATTCTCACGTCTCCATCGTCATTACTTCAGTAGATAATTCAGTTCCAGCATCGCTGCCAGTTTCATCTGCTATGGTAGTTGTTTCCTGACTTTCTGATGACTCTTCAGTTGACGATGGTGTATTTTCCTCTGTTGTTTTCAAACTAGTGGCCAAATTTAAGACCGTTTGTACAAATTTGGTTGACGTGTGATTCAAGCGTTTGTTGGACGTCAAACACGAGTTGGCACTGCAGCAGTGAATGATTTCCCTCCTCTTTCCATTCCTGAGATTGAAATTATTTAACGATGTGCGCTTTCTGCCGTTCAAAATCTTCGAAAAAATTATTCTAAAAATAGTCAATTGTAAGAAACAGAATTCTGTCTTCAATAAATTCATCTTTCATTTTCTTCATAAATTTGAATTGGTTAAATTTCTGGCAAACCTATTTCCTCTATTCCTTGGTTCTGCATCGGCTTCAATTGCGTTGAGACACTGAAAGCCAATAATTTATGAGCATAAAATTGTCTTCTGTAGATATTGATGACTTACTGTCATCAAAATAATTGTCAAAGTCAATATCATGATCGTGAATTTAGCCATCCAGGAGTGCTTTTTCACATTGCACTGCGTGGCTCTTGTTACGACTGGTGATGGTGTTGATGGTGTGGAAATTTTGCTACATTCGAGAAATCCCCAGCGTTAGACGACCAATTATTTATTTTTTCATAAAAACCTTCATATTATTCCGCATATTTATTCCACTAAAAACTTATCAGCACGAAAAAGTTGTTTCAATTATTTTGTACCTCATAATATTTAATTATTCCCAGAATTAGAAGACGAAATTTGATCTCAATAATATTATAATTATAAAATTGCTCTTCATTTTTACTTACGTTAATGATGCACTAAATTAATTGTAAACAAAATCATATCGCAGATTTTGATAAAAAAAAAATTAATTGCAGGCTGAAAGATTCCTTTCAATAATAATGCATCCTGCAAGACATGCCTGCTTGGCATGTTGCATAACTTTCAATATTTCGCTTTCAGTAAATTTTGTCCCTATCTGTTATAATTCTTGCGTTTCTCAAGATATATATTAAATTTGAGAATCGATTTCATCAGAATAATTTTTATCCTGGATTTTCCCCTAATCAGAAATCATTTAATTTAAATTTGATGAAATTTATTTCTATACTTTTCTTCTTTCATTGCATTCTGTTAACATGATTTTAACCAATTTTAATTCTAATAAATTAATAGGCTAGTTTTTCCCTCTCAAATCTGCATGCATATTTTAATACATCAATGAGATTTAATCAAATTTCTGGTCTTGTAACTTTTATTTTAATTTCAAATAATCGAATTGCAACCAATTTAATAAACCATTAATTCAGATTTATCCATTATTTGACTGAAACAATTTTCTAGGATCGCTCATTCTAACTTTGGCTCTCTTCTTGGCCTTCTTCTGTTGCTTCTTCTTCTTATTGTTGTTTTTCTTGTGATTTTTAGGTCGAGAGGGTTTGGAGTGAGGTGTTGATTTTGTTTTCAAGGAAATCCATTGGAGATAACTCGACACCCTGGTGTAAACCTCAGGGAAGCCCTTTTCGCATCCTTCACCCGCGCCAAACGACACCAAGCCAATCTGGATGTTTTCGTCGTTGAATTTCTGCACTAGAGGTCCACCACTGTCACCCTGGATGAACATAATTTAAAAAAAAAACGTACAATATGCAATTGTAAATATTATGAAAATATTTTTACCTGACAAGTGGCGTCGCCATTGTTGCCCAAAGCACAAACCTGCGCCGACGAAACAGAACCTTCTCCGAATGCGTCAAGGCATTCTTTATTGTCAATAATTTGCAGGTCAACTGTCTTCAAGACTTGACTCACGTCCATGCTTGCTGCAATATTGTTTTCATTTTAGCGATTGGAGAAAATTTCAGTAAATAATCATAGTAAATTTTTCTCTTTAATTCAATTTTCAGTTTGTATTTCAAAATAATTTAGTAAAATTAAAATAAATTCATAATTAAAATGAAAATACCATCTGATGTCCTCCCCCAGCCGGCAATTGTCGCATAGTTCTTAGGCAATCCCACTTGGTCAGCCTGACTCTTAGTTGGTATCTTGACCGTGCTAATTAAACCTAGTTAATAAGTCCAAAAATTAGGAAAGGCTGCATTCTTTGAAATTATAAAATCGTTCAAAATTTTATATTATAGAAAATAAGAGTAGTAATATTATTTAAAATGAACTTGTTTATTAATTTTTCCCCTATATTTCAATTAAACCCTGCTTTTTAAATAATAAAAATTTGATTAATTACATTTTCAGTTTTTCCAAATCCAAATTTTTTCTATATTTCAAACTTACTGGTTTCCTTGACAGGTTTTGGCAGGTAAATGATGGCGATGTCATTCTCCAAAGAGGTGGAATTGTATTCACTGTGGCAAACCGACTTGTTGCTGTACAAAGTGACTGACCCTTTGTCCGCAGTCTCCTCGTTAAGCGAACCGAAGATTAGCTCGAACTCGTTTTTTCTGCGTGGTTATTTTTGACCTCAACTATATTTAATTACTTAATCAAATCAGTCACTCAAAAACGCAGTGGCCCGCCGTCAGGACGTGGCTGTTGGTGACCAGGGAGCCGCCGCAAATTTCATCTTCGTCAGCAATCACTGTCACTTGGTACGGAAATTCACCTTTTTTTGCCAATCGACCTTTGATGATGCGAACTCCAACGTCCAGTTTTCCTTCACCTGATCAAAATTATATTTAATTATTGTAATTTATAAATAAAAATTACATAATACGAGCACAATTAATTCAATTCAGAATTTTTGATAATTTACAAATTAATTATATATATTTTTAAGTTTCTCGTCCAGTGTTGTAAATAAAAAATTGCCAATTCGTTCAAGGTCAAGTTTTCTTATGATTCAGTGAGAACTTTATATTTTACAAAATTCTCATGTAGATGTTGAGGACAATTTAATTTAGAAGATTCTCCACAAATGAATTTCTGATTTTCAAAAGAAATTAAAATTATATATCCGTGATGTTTCAATGGAAATAACGAAATTGCCAAAAAAAACTATCTTCAAAATACCTTCCAATATTTGCCTGATCAGAAAATATTACATGATTTTAAGAAAATTGGTTATTAACTGTTTAAAGATGCCTGCTGTCGAATTTTCTTCATTCTTGCCAAAATCTCGTCCTGCTTGCCTTCAACGATTGGCATCGTGGCGCGCGAAATGTTCTTCCCCGCGAAGACATCCTTATTTTCCTGCGTAGTAACTTCCGATTGTTCTTCACAGAAAACAGCCTGCGTTTAGTATTTTACCAATCAATTTCTAATAAATTTGTCTGATTAAATCTGAAATTACACAAACGAAAAGCGCCAATGTGATGTGGGAAAATACAATCATGCCCAACGGTCAGCGGCATCACTGTCAAGCTGGCCTGGTTCCGCAGCAACGCCATTGACAAGGACGGAAACGCACTTCCACAGCCGAACGTCAAATATACACGAGTTGTGACGACGATCTGCATATTTGATGATCAAAAAATTGAAAAACTCAAGAGCGAATGCAAAATTCATGACCATCAAAAAGGATCAAAACTTTGTCCTGATCCTTTTAAATTCATGAACAATTATGTTTTTAATTTTCCTCCCATTTGATTCATGAATTCATGAAAAATCAAAATTCGGGGTGCACTGAATTGGGATTATTTGAATTTATTTATTTATCTGCTCTGCTTCATTTTTAATTTTATAATATAGCTAATTCTTATTTCTGAGCTTCAGTTTTTTCATCTCAATTTATACAATTTTTTGACCTTATTTGACCTCTACAAGTGGCTAAACCATTATTTGCATAGAGAAATATAGGAATTAAGTTCTAAATGTGAACTTACATGTATGTGTAGGTTGTGTTCTTACCTAATTATGGATGCTTGCCTTTGACAAACAGTGGATTATGGAAAACTTATGAGCTTTTAGAAACGCTAAAAGAAAGGTTCAATTTGCATTCACAGGAAAGAACCCAATGACAATTTCAAACAATAAAACTAAAAATAAATATTGTCCATTTTCAGAGAAAAAATCCTAAATATTTTTACAAAATAAAAATCTAGATTACCAAATACATTAGAAAAAAAAATTAATTTGTCAAAAGCTACGCATAGAAAATTAATTAAAACATTTTGTAAAAATTAATTTATCATGACAATCAAACGCGGGCGTTTCATGGCCCAATTAAAATTCATTCATTAAATTTTCGAAATATCAGTGAAATTTATGGGACCTAATTTCCGTCATGCGAAGTATAATTAAACCTCTGAAATTTTGCTTAATTGCGGAAACAATGAGCGGCGACAATTAAAGGTGAGCGACCTGCTTATTATGAGAGACTTTTAAACGCGTGTGCGTCTCGTTTGTGCAGCGGAGGCAGCGAAATAACGGTCCTGAGGTCGCCGCCGCTTTGGGAACTCCCAGAAATCCAGTCTTTCGCTCGGTCAGCAGTGCGATCGCTCTGCTCTTTCATTCACAGAAGCATGCAAATCGGCATGATTTTGAGGTATGAGCAGTGAGAGTAGCTTCAGTTTCTCTTTCGCGTTTATTACATTTAACATGCATGCAAAAAGATAAAATTAATCAGCGGATATTACAATTTTCACATTCAAGCCACTTTTCGTGACCTAGTTCTGAATTAAATAATTTTTAATAATTTATCATTCCATTTGTTCTTAAAAAGTCAAAGATATAATAATATTTTTTCACTTCAGAGCAACCAAATATTAAATATATTTTTTGCTGTTAATCGATTTGATATAATTTTTACAAACTTTTCTCACAACCAATATTTTTTATCTTAGAATTTTTAATCCAGTAATAATGGCACTCACTTCGTCAGATAACTTAATTAAATAAATTAACATTTCCCACTGTACATTTAATTATATTTTGATAAGTATAATATTTAATGCAGTCACGCGCACACTTTTAAATACACTTTCTTTCACAAACACCTAATGTTTAAATAATAAAATATATTTTGAGCATACATATTTGATTTTAAATACTTTGAGTTTTCTGTTTCAGTTCAGTTTGATTTGGTGTGTTTTTCAATCTCACGACTTCCGTTTAATTTTCTCTTCGAACTTGTCAATGGCGTCGTGCACCTGCTGAACGAGTTTCGGCTGGTCAGTGAGGTCACGCCGGCGCCGACGGCGACCTCTCAGCAGCATGTTGTACATCAGGGAGAACAGGTTGACGGTCACGCCCATCAGCATCATGGGCAACATGAATCTGGACATTCCAGAAGAGGAGGACTCTTCCTTCTTCCTGATAGGGTGCTCCTCGTCAGGGATGTAGTGGTCCAGGATGTTCATGATGTCCTGCTCATCTTCCGGCGGGATGGGTTTTGAGTAGTAGGCCGAGGAGGAAGGTCTCCTCGGTCTGTAGATGGTGGGGGGTTCGTAGTCCAGTGGAGGGGGTTCGTCTCCGTAGTAAATGACCTCTGGGGGAGGTTTGGAGTAGATCAGGTGAGGTCGCGAGGGTGGAGGTCTGGGTGGAGGTCCTGAAGGTCCGCGAGGTCCAGGGTGTCTTGGGGGGCGGTTGAGACTTTCTATGGGAACGCGTCTGACCACAGGAGCCCTGACGGGGTGCGGTTGAGGGAGCCTCGCTGGCACGACGTAGGGATAGGGGGCAACAGGTCGCGGCGGTCGCGCGTAGGACCTCTGCGTCGTCACAGGGGGTGATGGGGGCGGGGCCTTGGGCTGTTCAGGCAGGGAGGAGGCGAGTTGAACGTCGAAGGTGGGTTCGCTCCCTGTGAAGGAGTCCGACCTGGACTGCAGTTGGGGCAGAGGTCGGAAAGGTCCGTTGGGGAGGACGTTGCCGGCGCTCTGGGCGTGAACGACGAACGGCTTGGTCACGTCTGTGGCTCTGCTCTCAGGGGTGGGGGTCACCTTTTTCGTAGTAGGGGTGGCCGAGGTGGTGGGGGGCTCTCTGCCAGGTACGAAGGGGCTCTTGGTTTCCGTGTCGTTTGTGGCGCTTGCAGAAAGCGCTAAGCACGTTAGCAGAAGGAATAAAGCTGGATTTGCCATCTGGAACAAATAAATTGGTAAAAATTAAATAATAGAAGCTATGAAATGTAATTAAATAAATATTTAACAAAGGACTAAGGAACATTTTTACTAAATCAAGAGTAGTGTAAATTTTGAGGCTGATTTTATTTTTGCCATATTGATTAGGGTGAAATATTTTACAAGTTTTAACCGAAAAAGAATTATTTTTTATAATCTCCATATAATGGTAATTGCTGCAAATTTTTATACCATGAATTTGCTCATTTTTTCTTATAATACATCCTGGGATATCTACAAAATATTGCCAATATATGTATAAAAAACTTCATCAAAATTAATCAGACAGAGATTCTTCTTTCAATTAGTTTTGGGATATATTCATCAGAATTTAATTTTCATTTCTTATAGTGAGAGAAATAATGCTTTTTTTGGTAGAAAAATTATTTGTAAGATTCTCATTCCGCCTCGTTAATCTTTAATTGTTTTGACTTTAGCACGCTCCAAAACTTCTTGAATTTTTCAACGGACTTCACAGCTCTGCTTGTTTAATTGTTTGCTCATTTAGAAATCACTTCCGGTGTTTAAACAGGTGTGAAAAGGAGAACCCATTTGCAAATTTTGCCTAGAATAGAATAGCAAACATGCAGAGAGCATGTACATCTTGATGAAGATCAAAGTTTGGGTCTGCAAAAGTGGAGCACCATTTTTTTTTTGGTGCACGTCAATCGAGGATGCTTACATTGATGAGATAGGTTGTCTATACGTGCGTTGATTGATCCGATATCGGAGGCGAAAAACGGTATTTTAGAACGTGTGCGCCGAGATTGACACGCACACGCCAGCAATTTCAAGATGCAATCGAGCTAGAGTAAAGCACCGGTTCTTACCAGAAAATCGTTTTGAATTTTTATAAAGAGGATACTGTAAAGCAAAACAGTTTTAATTTAAAATTAAACTGTCCTAATTGTCATATTATTAGATAATTTCACCGAAACCATTTTAATTACTGTTACACCGAGATTATAACACTGTGTGACACAAAAGTAGTGTCTTATTTCTCATGATATAATTTTTAACAAAAAGAGTCAAATCACGGTTTGTATGCAGAAGCGAAAAGAGGTTATAATCTAGAAAGATCAGACAAAAAGCGGAGGATATTTCACGCTCAGCTAACTTAGGATGAAAAGTTACACACTACTTGTGTCAACCGTAAACCCAGTTAATTTTTCTCCTGTGTGACATTTCTTTCTTATCTCGGCTTAGTGCTAAACACACATGTTCACGTGAGTCGTCTAATTTAATTGCCAGGATGTTTTTCGGTCTCTCTATTGTGGCCGCTGCGCCTTTTTTAGAGCCAAAAGAATGTGTGGTGTATAATCTAGCGAGCATAAATTAAGGTGTTGGCCTCAATTTGGCGCAGATTCTCCTCTCAGGTGGCCACGGAGCATTTTTCTTCCACGCACCTGCACGCGCCTCTTGAGAGAGAAAAACAAAGCGAGTTCCGCTCTGCGCGTTTGCCGACCTTTGATTTACACACTTGCGAGCATTCATAGGTGCGGATGTCTGAGTGGATAAATAGAGTGTGGCAATTAATGTGTGGGGGCGAGTTACACACTAATTGTCTTTGTTTTGTTTACTTTTAAAAGCCATCAAACTGAGTGAGAAAAAACTTAAAATTAAAATAAAAGTGATAAGATTGTTCCGAGTTTATTTTTTGTGAGCAAAACAATATATTGAAAAAATGTTGTGTAGTTTTCTATATTTCTATTATTTATTTTATTTTATTATATTCAAATCCTCTAAATTAAAGAAAAATGCGATCGTTTCAATCCAATTGCAATTGAAAATTTCCAAAGGGTTTCAGAATATATTATATTTTTGATTTTATTATTTTTTAAAATCTAATTATACCACTGAATTTTTGTAATTTTTTCCTTAAGTTTAATATTAATATGATGCACTTGAGAATCTGGGTTGAAAAATTAATTAATTTTAAAAACACTCCAAATCCTGTTGGTCACAATTCTTAGAATTGTATTTTTAATTCTTGTGAAAAATATCATTTTTGGTGATTTTTATGAATCAGGTAAGTAAAGAAAAAGAACTCGAAGCCTAACGGTTCTTCCCATTTTTGACAGAATATATATTTAAGAAGTGACAGTTGACCAAGGCGGATAAAGTATTATGAAAATAAATACCCATTCTCTCTCTCATAACCGAGACGAGAAACAAAAAAGTGTTGGCCGTAGGAGAAAGATGAGTTTCTTCCTCCGGGCTGACACACTTCTTCTTCTTCTTCTTCTCCACTTTTTTATGCTCACCGGAGGGTTCATGTTAAGTATATTGTGTTGCCGATCGGTTCTTTTTTACCAGCGATTGTGTGTATTGTAAGAGAAGTAGTGAGTGTGCTAATTGAATGTAGTCGCTTTTGTCACGCAAAAAGACCGGCGCCGTTATGAGAAAGAAAACTCAATTATTATCCAACGAAACGCCCGCCAACTCATTTGAATTGTTAATAAATACTCAAGCATAAGTTAAGGTCATTGGAGCACTGGAGCAGAAAATTCGCTTGGAATAAGAAAAAAAACTTTTTAATTAATTTACACTTTCCAATAAATTCTAAAATCTCCTTAAAATTTTAATTAGTGAAAGTTTTTTTATTTCAAATGAACATTATCGAGAAATAAATATTTAAAATTCAAATGTATCCATAAATAAATATGAATTTATAAAAAATTAATTTAAATATACACAAAAATTAAAGTCATATTTCTTTGTCTTACCTCTGAATTGGAATTAATCCGAGAGTGGTAAAAGTGGGATGCGTTCCTCGTGACTCAGCTCATAACAAGCGGCTTCTCCGAGTGGGAACTAAAATGTGGTCTGCCTTCCTCTGTGAAAGCCGAAGCAACACTGCCGCGGCTCACGAATCTCAAGATGAACTCTTTCTTCTTCTTGCTTTCTTTCTGCGTCTCCCACTTCCAGCTCCGATCGAGGACCGAAAAAAGGAGTCTGGCTTCTCCAATTTTCCGCCCAATTTTTTTCACTTTAACCCGTTCCTTACTTTCTTCTCTTCGAAATCACGATTTTGTCTCATTTCCACGCTAATTTTTATATATTTTTTTTTTATATATAGAAAAAAACAAAGAATTTTGTACAAGTGATTCATTATTTATTGAAATTTAATAAATTATTTAAAAATAATTTAAACTAGACTATATGCAATTACAAATATTTTTAATTTAAATTAATTGAGACCTAAAAAATATGTTTCTTAAACTTGTTCAATTAAAAAGCTCCAGATCTTGCAAAATTTAAAATTGAGAGCAATGAGATTTCTCTCTCATTGCCGGTTATTTCGCATTTTTACGAGCGCACATCCGCTTCTCTGCAAGTGTTCAAAATGGATCGTCGCACACCCGTTTTAATGTGCAACCCGCTCAATTCGAATGAAAATTGGCCCACTTTGGCCCAAAACAACCGGTTTTTGATTGGCACTTTTTTATGCTCTTCGCTCCGATACGACGCGTCTGACCCACGGAAAAATTTATTTGCGTTATTAATAGAGAGACTCGTCAATGGCACGCAAAAGGAATGTGGCAAACACTTTCTTTTTGGGGAAAAACCGTTGGACTTTTTAACCTGCGCGGCTTTTGAATGAACCGTAATCCAGGATAAATAATAAAAAATAAATAGTAGTAGTTTCAAAGTCCAATTTTTTTTGTATTAATTACTTGAAGATTGAAGAATATTATATGGAATAAAAATAAAGAACAATCGTTTTAAATCTTAAATAAAATAAATGAATAAAAAATTAAATTTTATATTAATGATTTGAAAAGTTTCTAAGCTTCAATTTAAATTTTATTTTTAAAATTTTTCAGCCACGATATTTACGGATATAACTTTTGATACAATTAAATTACTTTGATGTTTCCAAACACAGAAATCACAAAGATTCGTCTTATAACAATTTTTTTTGGTGTTTCAAAAAATCAGGAGGATTTTGTTTGATAAATACTTTAAAAAACATTGGTTTGAACTTTCAGAAAATTTCAATTCTTATTATAATTTAGTAAAAAAGTAATTCTTATTCTTGCTATAGATATACCTGAAGAAATTAAATAATTTTATATAAAGATGAAAATTTTGTCACTGTTTTAGAAGTTGTTGATCAACTCTATAGTTAAAAACTTGCCGATTGAAGTATAATTAATTTAATTCTATTTAATTTAAACGTTGCAACTTTTGTGTGCGTCACGTTTGCACGAGAGCGGAAACCATTTTGGATTTTGGGTCGTCGTCAGGTGGAAATGACATTCCGAACCAAGGACGGACAATTCATCAAATGGGTCGCGCCGCTAACGATCGCGTCCATGTTTTCGCGATGAAAATTACACTCGCCTTGCTCTTTCTCTTCGCACTCGGTGCACGCGTGAGTAAAAATTTTCGCAAGACCTTTATCATGAAGCAAGGCAAATTCGACAGGCTGAAGGGGCGACCGGCGATGGAAGCAAAGCGATGGCCAACGTCAAAAACTGGGTCCGAGCCAGCATGCCCGTGGTGAAAACGGCCGACGCAAGTCAAATAACTCCTGAACTTGGATATCACAGTGAGATTTTCGAAATTGTCATCTAAAAAGAAAATTAAATCTTAAAAATTTACATCTTCAAATAGAGAAAAGGGGTTTATAAAAATTAAAAATAAAATCATCTAATTGAATACCGTAGATATTAAATATTAATTTCCATTATTTATTGGTTGATGCAATAATTATTATTCAAGCAGAATTTCATAATTGATAGCTGATTAGAAATCTTTATAGTTTAGAAATATTTAAGCATCATTCTTTTGCAAATTGAAAATTTCATTCTCCAAAATGAATTACAAGTTAATAAAATCAAACGCGGTAGTTTGTTTCTTTTTATTTTAATATTTATTTATTTATTCTCTATTCAAATACGTTGAAATAACGTTTACTTTTTTTATATTAATTCGAATTAATTTGCAGAGCTAAACGGCGCAAAAGCTTCAATAAATGCGCATATTGTGAACGGCAGAACGGCGAACAGAGGCGACTTTCCGCACATCGTCGCCATCATCATGGACACCGACAATTTCTGCGGTGGTTCGCTGATATCCCGCAGCGTCGTCCTCACCGCCGCCCATTGCGTCAAGCCGTATACTAATTAATATTTTTGAACAATTCGCACGTTTTTTTTATTAGTTTCTCTTCCTTCATGTTGATTTTCGGCGCGCAAACTCGAGAGGGACAGGGACAGAACTCGGAGATAAGGGAATCTACGTCTGCCGTGTACCATGAAAAATACAATCCCAACACCATGAGGAACGACATAGCCATGATCTACCTACCCAGGCCGGTTGAACTTAATAGTAAACGCACATTAAAATTTTTATCCATTTAAAAAATATGTGAATTTTTAAATTTTATTATTTTTTTAGGCTTTGTAAAAGTTATCAAGGTGGCAACAAAATTGCATGATTCCAATATGCTGAGAAAGGGCGTTGCTGCTACCGTCGCCGGTTGGGGAAAAACATCCGATGGTGAATTAATTTTATTTAAAATTTTTTTACTTTTGAGCAATCAAACTTGGATTTATTGATTCATTGTCAGATAGAGATGAAGTTATAAAGATTTTAAAGAAATCATCAAAAGCTTTACAGAGGCTCAAATTTAGAAAAATATAGAATGATTGGAAATTGCTCTACGTTCCTTATCCTTTGACTTAGAATATCTTGAAAAAGATAATTTTAGTACATTCTCTCCCCACTAACTTTCACAATTTTGAAACTTTACAAAATATGTACCTAGAGGCACTTGAAAAAATTCATTTGATTTTGGCAACTTCGGTCATTTCACTTCTACAAAAGAAAATCCAACTTGGAGCCCTTGAAAAGTTTTGATAATTTTCCAAAAACCTTCGGTCCTTTAAAGAATAACCTCTACCTATGGATAAAATAACTGCTTTTTAATTAATAATAATATTACATTGAAATAGCTGCTGACGTGAGCAATATCTTGAAGACGGCCAACCTAATAATCCAAGGGAACAACTTTTGCAGCAGCACTTACGGGACTGACAGTTTTACTCCCAACCAAATTTGTGCTCTCGGCAGAAACGGAGACGCGACTTGCCAGGTTCGTTTTTTGTTTTGTAAATATAATTTTGGTTAAATAAAAAATTGTCGATTTAAAAAAGGGTGACAGTGGAGGTCCGCTGACCTTGAAGGACAGCAATGGCGAATTGGTGATCTTCGGTTTGGTTTCGTATGGTTCGGCGCAGGGTTGCTCGTCCGGAGACCCTGAGGTTTTCACCAGGGTGTCCAGCTACACAAAGTGGATCACCGTTAATTCAAATTATTAAAAGTGTGCATTTGCTGATTTGACTTATTTTTGTATAATCAGAATAATTTGATTGATGCTCATTGGAAATCTGTATTTTGCTCATTAACAAAGTATTGAAATGCCAGTAAAGTTTATTAAAAGATTTCATGCCTATGCCTACTTTTTTCCTGAATAAAAGATGATATTTCTCAGCATTTAAAAATTTCTAAATATATTAAATAACACTTTTTGAATCAACTGACTTTTAATTAGTTCAATTTAGCATTAGAAATAAAACTATTTTCAGTCAATATTAATGAATTAAAAATCAAAATACATTCACAAAAGGAAAACAAAATGGATAATATTCAGATTGAATTATTAATAAAAGATTTTAATTTAAAAAATTAATTTACTTAGATGAAATCATTAAATGAAATATATTTTTAATTGGAAAGGTTGTAACAAAATTATAAATTTATTTCAGTATAATGAAATATTTTGCTAGAACTGAGAGTTTTTAAATTTGTGCCGCAATTTTTGGAGGAAAATTTTGTTTCGCCCTCAGTAACATTCGCTGGGCAGCTCGCAGATGAAATGCAGACTTTTGGTGCATGACCACGTGTTCAATTTTCCTTTCGCCCAGTTGAAGGTATAAACGCAGTCCTCCAACATGCTCGGCTTGTCCTTCCACAACGGACTGTTCAGTTCAAAATTGGTCCCGTCGCGCCACCGAAAGTCCTTTTCACCTCGTATTACAGAGTTTTTCGCTGAAACCCAGCAACCGCCTGAAGAGATCAGAATTAATTTGAAAAATTCTAGTTTCTCTTTTTGATATTTTTGCCAAACCGTCATAAATTCTTGACGTTTCTGCTGCTACCACCTGAGCGTCATTTTGGTCCCTGAATGTGGCCAATTGGAGGCCCTGATTGGAGCAGGTCTCGTTTGCAGAATTCCAGTTCGCCTGAAATTGTGGAAAATTAGAAAAATTCAAACAATCAAAAAGTAGAGACTTACTTGAGTTGGATGGAAAAAGTACTTCTTTCCGTTTGATAGCGTCTTTAAAATTGCTGAACCTGAATTAATTATAATTATTAATTGGCATTTAGATTTCATATTTTTTAATATGTATTAAAAAAATATAAAAACTTGCGAGCTACGTTGCAGTGCGTTGGGAATCTGCTTTGAAAGAACTGAAAAAAGGAAAAAAATTCGTGAATAAAATAGTCTCATGAAAATGACTTGAACCTGAATATGACGCTCGGTGATGTTTGCCAAAGCGTTCAGCTTCTCTTCATCGTTTTTCCTCTTTTCTTCCGCCTACGATTATTTTCAAAATTTGAAATTATTTATATAAAAGTCTGCTTTTATGGCAAAAAAACTTGCGATTTAAAATTTGTCATCTCAATTATGTCGAAAAAAACATTTTCAGAATTTATCAAAATAATTTAATCCAATTTAGGCTTGAAAATGTTATTTTAAACCTGATTGTGGTGTTGGTTGACGATTGAGTCCAGTTGAGCCAGTCTGTCGTTTGTTTCGTTGGAAAATTTTATCAGCTTTTCGTTTTGCTCCTCCACCAGCTTCCGCGTCTCCAGAACCTGCAGAAATAAAAATAAATTAAAAAAACTTCAATTATTAGTAATCAAATTTGAATATAATTATGAATTTTGAACCTGTTTTATCAACTGGTCCAGTTTTTCATTCGTTGTATTCAAATTGTTCAAGATTTCCTCCGACTGTGAGGCCTGAAATAATATTTTTACAATATTTTATTCTAATATTTAAATAATTTATTTGTGCTTTTGAAACTGTTTTACTTAAAAATATTTAATTTTCAATAATAACATCATGATTTCAACTAAAAACAGTTAGAAATTTATCTCTAAACGCAAACCTTAAAAAAATGAAAGACAATAAACAATAATACAGTTTTTCTACTTTTGTTGAAGATTCGCTGGCCAGGACGGCAACGACGAGCGAAACGAGCAGGAACACAAAACGTGCCATGGTCTGCAGTCTTTCCACTAAATGAAATGGTGAGAGCTCAAAATTCCAAAGCCTCTCTTTTATCCTCCGTTTTATCACTGCCCTTTGCCATGCCCCAGTGAAATACAAACAAAAACAAGCAAGGTCGATGCCAAGATCAATCTCTGCTATCGATTCCCTGTTGAATAAGAATCATAATTTTGCGATCTTTGATTGTTATAAAAACTGATTAAAAATTGGCACATTTGGAATTTTAACATCCTATCAAATAATTATTGTTTTGTGTTATATTTTTCTCTGTATCACGTGTCAGACTTTTTTGTGGCTTTGACAGTTCAATTGAGGGCAAAATGATGACCGCAGAAATGATCCCTGTCAGTCAAAATTCAAAGAATAATCTGGAGTTCAGAAAATTGTTTTTAATTAAGTAAATTTATAATAAATTTCGAGTTCAGAATAATAAAATTATTTTTGAATTTATTCAAAATGAAAGATTCATTATTAATTTTGTAGAAAAAATTTTATCTTTGAAGGCAAATTGTAACCAAAACTTCAAAAAGATTTCAATTTATTTAATATTTCACAGTTTTCCACTTTTTTCAAACATAGCATTCGCTTGGAAGTTCACAGACGAAAAACAAATTGGCGGAGCAAGAGTCGCTGTTGAGTTTTTCGGTGACGCCGCTGTAGAAATAGACGCAGCCGTTGTTGACGTCGCCGTCTTCCCTCCACAACGGACTGTCCAGCCCCAATGTGGACCCGTCCGGCCACCGGAAGTCGATCATTTGCTCTTCAATTCCGTAATTCCTCGCTGAAACAAACGTCGCCAAATGTGAGAGCGGATTTTTTGCGGCAAATATTTCATTTTGTCTCACCCGAACCGATTCTTTTGACCTCTGCCCACAAAACCTTGAGGTCGTTCAGATCTTTGATTGTCACCAAGTTCAACCCTTTCTTGTCGCAAGTTTCATTCGCAACTGCCCAATTTCCCTGTTTGATAATCATAATAAAAATCAATTAAAAAATAAATAAAACTCACTTTGACTGGGTGAGAAAAAAAGTACATTTTTCCGTTGGAAAGCGTCTTCAATCCTGACTCTGAAATAATAATTCAATCAAACTTGATATTTCATTTTTATTTAAAAATTATTTTAATTAACTCACTAGCAGGCGTACAACTTATCAAAGTTTTGACTTCCGCAAACTGAAAATATCTTATATTATTTATTTAATATTTTCTAAATCAACCTCTTTGTGTTGCCGATTTTCCAAATCCTCCAATTTCTGTTCTAAATTCACCACCGTCTGTGAAATGTAAACAAATCGGAATTATGTAAATGAATTATGGGCAAAGTTGAACCTGATTGAGGCGTCGGTCGACAAGCTCAGCCAATGCTTCCAGCCTGCCATTTGTATTTTTGGAGAATTTTGTAAAATTTTCACGTACTTCAGCAACCACCTTTTCTGAACCCAACACCTGCCGAAGACACATATATCATTTTTATGTTTAATTGAAGATTTTTTTAAATAGAGATAATTATTTTTACTCAAAAATAATAAATCTAAATCCAACCTGATTATAGACGAGGTTTGTCAATCGATCCAACTTTTCTTTCGTCTCGTTGAAACTTCTGATCATCTCCTTTTTGAACTGTGACAGTTCTTGTGCCTGCAATTATTATTTTCCTATAGTCAAATATTTTTTCATGCCGTTTATGATTAACTGAAGCTTTAATTTTTTTTGTAAACTTTGTTATTTTTACCGTGGTGCAGGATTGCTGAAGGTGGCGAGGATGAAAAAAGTTGGCTTGGAAAAGCGAACCATCGTGTGCGTCTTTTCAGCAGAAACAGCGGAGAGTGACTTTGAGATTGAGAATGATTATTTTATCTCGTTTTGCTCTTTGCCCTCTGACTGATAGTCAGAATAGTACTAAATCAATGAAAGTGAAATTACTAACAACTGAATGATGAATTTCAAATTATGCAGTTTTCACTCTAGGGTCTGATTTCTTTGCTCTAAGACACCGATTTTATTGTGATTGATAATAATTAAATATTTGCAAATCATTTTTACATTTCTTCTTCTTTCTTACACAATTTTAATCAAAATGTTGTTCTGTCTTTGCAGGAAAATATTTACGGCGATTCTACAAGAGCATGCAGCTGAATCTTTTTCAATTAAGTAATTACAAACGGAATTTTCGCTTCCAAATTACTTGATAAAAGAAAATATCCTATAATTATAAAATTTTAACATATTTCCCGAAGATATACCAAATTTTTTTTATTAATCACAAAAATTCAGATGGAGAGGCAAAACGAGAATATAAAAAGTTTTGACAGCAATAAAGAAGTTTTGCAAAGGTATGAAATAAAATTTGGAGTTCAGAGTAGATCTTGCATTGGTCAGTAGCATTCAGTGGGGAGTTCGCAGACGAAATTCCAAAGAGCGGTGCATTTGCCGGTGTCCAATTTGCCGCCTTGGCCATAGTTGAACATCAGAACGCAGTCATCGGCCTTGTCCGCGTGTTTGTTCCACAACGGACTGTCCAATGGCAAGACGGTGCCGTCGCTCCACTTAAAGACGTTGCCCTCTTTCCTCGCCGAAACCCACCAAGCGCCCTCTGAGATGAAATTTTATGGTTTAATATTTCGGTGAGCAAATTGTATTTTTTCTCACCATCAATTTTTTCGCTCTCGGCCCACACCGAGCTGGCGTCGTTTTGATCTCTGATCGTGGCCACGTTCAGACCATGACTGGCGCACGTCTCGTTTGCAGTGTTCCAGTTTTTCTGCAGTGTTGATCAAATTTTGAAAAATATACAACAGGAAATTAACTTACGAAAGTTAAATGGAACGAGTACTTCTTTCCGTTGGACAGCGTCTTCAAATCCGCTCGACCTGCAAAATTTGGAATTCAAATCAAAATTTATGTTTGGATTTGAGACTTACGGACGAGGTTGCACTTGGCCGGTGGATTCTGCGTAAAGGAATTTTAATAATTAATGTGCGAAATTTGTTCTATCAAATCATTTGTTTGAATTAGTTTTTCTTTCGATTGCAACGCAACAGTATGGAATTTTCCAATTTTTTTTCCACAAGATATAAAAAATTTTCTAAAATGACGCGGACTATTGAAATTCTTCTAGATTTTTGCGTGATCCTCAGTTTCTCTTTCCAAAATTAAAAAAAAAAATCAAATGAAATGTGTTGTTGATAATTGGCCAATGTCTCTCTTAAACTACAGAGGACGAAATACTTGAATCTTTTGTCTTTAAAATTTAATTTCGCCAACATGGGAAATCAAAATAAATTAACCAATTAAATGTTTTTTATTTCATTTTATTCATTGTTGGTACCTTGGTTGTAGATTCGCTGGCCAGGGCGGCGGCGACAATCAAAACGAGCAGCAAAATTGAACGTGCCATGGTCCGTCTTTTTACTAAAGTGAGTGTCGCTCTCGATTTGCAAAAGCAGCTTTAATCACTGCCCTTTGCCCTTTGGGAAATAAAAATAAATCAAGAGCTTAAAATAAACAAGATCAATGAGTAGAAAACTGTGATCTTTGCTCTTTTTCTCTAAAACATGTAATGGAAATTCATTAAAATAATAAATTTATCCGAAATACAAATTTTGGAAAGTATGAAAAAATACAATAATACAAAAACCTGCAATAAATTTATTTTCGAATTTATTCCACAGTCGAATCTGAAAAGCAAACTCTAAACTGGTCAGTTGTCCTTTATATTTTTTCATTTTTTCTTTGCAACGAGGTTCGCCCGGTTTCAATTTTTCATGAAATCCACCTCGAGTGTTACCATTCAATCTAAACATTATGTTCACTGGAGTTGCAAATCTGCAGAACAAATTACATTTAATTTGCAAGTTAAAAATCTTGAAATTGGTTGAATCACAGAAATCATCCTCCCATTCAAATTGGCTCTCATGCATAGAATAATTTTGCACAGTTCTACTTCTCAAGTTACATAATTAAATCAACAACGTTTTTCTTGAAATGGCATTTTACTTTTATAGCAAAACTCCATATTATGCAACTATTTTGCCGTAAAAAGGTGCAATAAATGTCAGTAGCATTCATTCAGTATCTCGCAGATTGAAATATTAACGAATGTGAATAATCTGTCGGCGAGAAAACGACGAGTATTTTAGAGGCATCAATGAATGAGGCCAAGCTTGTTTAAAATTTGCAACAACAAGAAGTGTGAGATGTTATGTTTTGGACTATAAATTCTGGATATAACCATCATTTAGAGTAAAAAATTGAAAAAAAAAAATCTAGATTTTGTTCAAAAACAAATCAAACAAAAGCATTCAGATGGCAATTTATTAATGAAATTCGCTTGGCCAGTTAGCTCAATTTTAAATCATATCTGTTCCAGAATTTTATAAAAAATTATCAATAGCCAAAAATTATCACAAAATTTTCAAATTCAAATCGGAGTAATAATTAATTTGAATTTATTGATCAATATTTTGATAAATAGGTGGTTTACTGCAAAAATATAATCGGTCGACTGGATTTTTGAAGGTCTTGTCATAGTTTCAAGTACTTAATGACTTGCTTGGCTGGGAAAGAATAAAATATTTACCATTACAAAAAAAAACATTTATTTCTTCCAAAATACATATACATAATTCTAACAAAAAATCAAACAATTTTATAAAAAGGAGAGAAATAATAAATTGACAAATTTTCAACGTGTCATTTACTTTGTTGCATCGCTTTTAATTTACCTTTTTTTTTAAGTTTCATTCGCAGAGCGGATACATAATGGTCGACACTGGCGTGTTTGCCAGTTCCAATGTACCGAGAGTAATGGCAAATGCATCGTAATTGGGAATGGTGGAGATGTTTACATTTGGATATCCATCGGTCGAAAAGGGCACTGACGAGGTGCACCAGCGAATCGCAGTGCTGCCGATTTTACTCGCAGCCACCCAAGACCACTGGCTTGCAAAAGGGGTGTCTTCAGAACGCATTTTTCAAAATTAATATCACCTTTTCTACATTTTTGTTTTACTTATTGATGCTAGACAGTTTAATTCATCAACGCTCTCGATCGAAATTAGCTTTAGTCCTCGAACGCAACAAGTCAGGAATGCTCCATGAAAATTTACCTATCAATTATATTTTTCTAAATTAATCGAAGGTTTAAAGTTTTTAATTCATATTTGCTGGAAACTTTTCTTGTTAAACAATGTACTTTTTCTCCATTGTTAAATTACAAATCAATCCGTCACCCCTCATTTTTCATTTTAATCCTATGAGAATTTCCAAATCCAATTTTAAGTTTAAAATTTCATTTTATTTTATATATTTTTTTTCATTAAATAATCTATTTTTATTGCATTAAAATCGTTCGCCTCCTATAAGTAGTAAAGATCAAGAAAATAACATACTGTAACTTGTTTCAGACGTAGAGGAATAATTTAAAAAATCGAGACAATTATAAACACCTGTTTGCTATAATGGAAGTAAGTTTTCCCGCACAGAGTGCGCACATAACCATCGCTCAGCGTACTGTTTCCGCTTGCTTAAAAAGAAATGAACGCATAGCTTTTAAATTCTTTAATTTTAAAATTTGATTTAAAAATACGTAAACTGGCTTGAAATTCTTGTTGTAAAGTAACCTGTGGACCTAAATAAATAAGAAAAATTAGGATTTTTTTAATTACATACATTAAAAATGCAGTCAGTTGAGCTGTAGCAAAATCCGTCCGGAGGAAGTCCACTTGGAACCTATATTTAAAATTTTGTTTGCGTCATTAATAATAATAATATGATTTTTGTATGAAAAAAAAACTAACTATTGGCATCGATAGTTCGACGGCAGTAATGACGCTGCTCAAAACATCTGGTGCCTTTTCCTTGCTGCACTTGATCATTTGCGCCGCTTTGTCGCACTCGTCCATTCCATCTATATTAATTTTTATTTGAAATTATATTTTCTTTAAAATCGGTATTTAAGCAAAAATTTCACATGCAGAATTTTCACAATCGTCAACAACGGCCATATTTTTCTGCAATTCGGCCATATCTTCACCAGCCAATTTCTCTAAAATGGCCAGAACTTGGCTGAAATCGAATTTGCCATTGATCATCTTGTTTTCATAAATCAGTATATATTTTTTAGGTTTTCAAAACATTTCTCACTATTCCAGCGTTCTCTCCAGTACATTTGATGAAACACTGAAAAAATGCAATGCAATTTGTACAAATATCACAATTTTATAATTGAATTATTAGCTATAAATGTCATTTTTAATTCATTAATTAAGTAAATTTGAAAATTATAATAACATCTTCTCCTGGACCAACTCTAATCAATTTAAAATATAACACTACTTATGCTTTAAAACCTAAATTAAATTGAATATTAGCTTAAAAATCAATTATCAAAAATGATAAATCTTATGGAACTTTCAAAAGCTTTAATTTTTTAAATTTATAGAGACTTCTCACTTTGGTGCGCAAATCATGCTTTGTGTTGTTCAGCAAATTATCAATTTCATCTAAGAGAAAAGGAATTTCATTTTAATTTTATAATTATACAGAATTTTAATCAATGCATTGGCTGATGTTGTAAATTAAGGCACACTCGTCTAATACGGCAGTTCCTCCGGTCGTTGAGTTAAAAGTATCTCGAGCCTGATCATTAAATTAGAGAGAAATGAATCAAATTATTTTAAAACCTCGCAAATGTATCTGAGTTTTGTTTCATCATTGAAATCGAATAATTGTGCGTGGGTGGCGTTGATGGACACGGCGACGGCGGTCTCGTTGGCGTCCGCGTTGTCCGGCTGTCCCGGAGCCCAAATCGCTTCCTTTCGCAAAAGTCTCTTCGCCGTGCAAAAACCAAAATTTGCTTCGCAACCTTTGTCGCTACCTGAGGTCCAGAAATAATCCGGCATCGACCTATTATCTTTGTAAAATTTTGGTATCATTTCAAAAGTGTAATCGTTTTTTTTTTTTTAAATTATCAATACTTTGTATGGCTTCTATGACTGATTTGTACTTGTAATCATACTCAAGGTTTAACAAAGTCATGCCGATCTCACAGCAAGCCATCATTGCGCCTAGAAACTAAATAAACCTTATTTTTAAAATTTTAATTCAATCAATGATTTAATACGTATGTTTTTAATAATTTTTGAAAACAAAAGTAACAGATAAAATGTCAAAAATAAGAACCACGAATGTTTTTTTCAGGAAAAACTTTAGAGGAATAAAATTATTAAAAATCAATCAAAATCTCTAGTAACAAGTTCCAAAGAGAAATGGGATTTAAGAAATCAAAGTAAAAAAGCATTTCACCCCTAAAGTGCTGTTGGGGAAGCTAAATAGAAAGGATCTTCCGTTGTATTTAAACCACGTCCCATGTATATTTGGATCTGAACATTTAAGGATTAAATTAGGAAAAATAAATATTTTAAACTTTCACCTTTCAGCATTTGCGTATTGCCGTAAAGTGTGTACAAAGCTTGCTGTGGTTTAAAAGGAAGTTTAATTTTTCTATAAAACTTGACACGATTTTCACATTTTTGTCGCAGGTGATGTTCGGACAAGTTGGAGATGAACAAGAAGGCGCCGGAGTCGGAGGACCCTATTTATAAAAAGGTAAAGAATTTATGATTTTGATTTATCTATCAACAAACCTGGCAGGCGAACACTTGCGAGTCGGTGCACATTTTGTCCGAGATCTGGAAAGTTGCGTTCGATTTGCTCACGTTGAGGTGCAAACAGTTTTCGCTTTTGTTGACGTTGTTTGGTTCGCCGATTGCCCAAAGCAGTTGCGAATTGTTTGCCAACAACGAACCGTTTTTCTTGCACCACGAAAACTCGGTCGCATTCGTGCGCAAACCGGCCGTCCAGTAATTTGAGTTGAACTTCCAGTTTTGAACTGCGTTTTCAAGAAATTCAAATCATTTAAAATTCACTCATTATTTTTCCTACCCAATTTCTTGAAACATTCAATTTTTGTTGCGTTCTCAAAAGCAATCGGCTCCATTCCGATTTTGCTGCAACCAATCAAGTTTTCCCTCCACGTTACCTAATTATTTTTCAACTTTAAGAAAATAATCCCCAAGAAATACAAACTATAGTTTTTCCGAATAAAAATAATTTTCCGCAGGACTCAACCCAAAATCCATGTCTGTCAGGATCTGTAAAATTCAGAATTCTTCATGAAATTCAAAGTTGTTTTAAAAAACACCTTTTAACGTTCCATCTGTATTAAAAGCATCAACCTTGATGGAAAGTTAGTTTAAAAAAATCCCCAGTTTGAAATAAAGAAATATATACGTTAAGTTGATATGTTATGTTACAAGTTCCCAGAATTAGTTCCTAAAATAAAAAATTAAACTTCAAAATGCGATGATAGAAGTTTTTGATAACGAAGGTTTGCCTCTATTGTTGGAGGTCTGGTAGTAGTAGTTGTAGTTGTTGTTGTCGTCGAA